ATCACAATATTTTTGACCAAATATCTCCGACGTGACTTTTTTTTTTTTGATAAATAATCACCAGTTATGTGGATATAATGTAGGTTCAAAAATTAAATCACTTCACTGTATTGCAGTCTTTAAAACCAGGAAAAGACAACACTTAGAGTATAACGATATCCAAAATCTAAGTCCATATCTAGTTTCATATCACGATATGGATATAATATCAATATATTGCCCAGCTCTAATATAGCGTACACTTAAATTGTTAGGGTGTTTTTTTTCTGTTGGACTTTATATACATATATATATATACGTACGTGTGTGTGTGTGTGTGTGTGTGTAATTTTTTTTAAATGAATAAATAAAAAAATAACAAGGGGAAAGAGGATAAAAGAGATGTAGATCTGAATTGTGACTTACTCAGTTTCTGCTAGCAACTGAGCATCCGATTCCTCCACAAAGTCTAAAAAGGTCCTCCATGTTGAGTAGAATTTAGATATCGTTCCTCTCATAGTGTATCTAATTTTTTATAATTTCCAAGACTGCATGACCTCTCTTATCCAACGTGCAAAAGCAGGGGGTGAAGCCTCCTTCCATTTGAACAGTATCAGTCTCCTAGCTAGTAAAGTGGTGTAGGCCCTGTTGGACTTTTTTGGTGGTTAAAATTTGTTTTGTCAACAGCAGTACATTTCTTGGCTGCCCTGGCATTATCCCAGCCTGCTTCTCCAAAGTGGGGGCATGCTGACTGACATCTACTGTATCTTATACACTGACTATGGATAAGTACCTCATGCAGCCCCAAGATCCAAACTATCCCTTTAAGGTAGTGTTATGTCAGACCATCAAATATCTGCATTTGCATATAACCTTACAAAGAAATGTCTGTTAACTCCTGAGAAATAATTACACATAACCTCATTATACAATTGAATACACTTCTATGTTATAAGCAGCAGAATACGCACCCATCCATCCAGTGTGTATATAATTAGTTTTTAGACCTTATAAATCACTGTTATTATCCACCATTAAGATGATCTGATCAGAGCATAACAGTTATTATGAACTTAAAATAACACACAGCCTGGTCATCTGCCAGAGTCCGCTCTGTGCTTTTGTAATATTAAGTCACTATGCCCTAGTTAAGGTGCCAGACTGCAGCATTAGGTGCAGAATAATCCACTGCAGGAGTACGTTGTAAGTCTCACTTCAATACCACTGTTGTGCCTTTCCACCAGACTGTCAGCCACAGAGCTAATCACCTTAGATAGAGTATTAAGACAGTGAACTGTGTGTCTGCTGTGTTCTGGATCAGTCATACTGACACAGTGGTTTTCATACATTAGAGAAGAAGACATCTTTTGGATGTTATACAAGTTTATTCCCAGAGGGTACTGATGACAATTATACAATTTAAGAGATTCTTTTGTTTTGATTCTTGGTAGGTTTTTTAGCATTTCCTAAAAATTTGTTCCACTGTGTCATGTGTGGATGGAGAAGGCACCATGGAGGATTAAAAGAGACTTTTACACAAGTCTTGTATAATTGTTGGCATGCTGTTCACATTTTCATGCAGCGAGGCATCACCTCTATACATGAGCGGCGGCACTATCCACTAAGCTACCGACGCCCAGATTCTGTTCATTTTAAAGCTGATATCGGCTGATACAGATGACGTGCTGATATTATCGTGCATCCCTACTTTAATATAATGTTTTGACGCTATTTCAATCAGACAGCTTACATTTAAATGTTCAGTTCAACAGCAGAAAATAGTTAGAGTTTGGCGTCTAGACTCAAGCCTCATCACTCCCCACAGATATGTTTACATGAGATATTGGGAAGTGATGATTAAATATTTTATTAAAATATCCTATTTTATTAAATAGTCCGCCAAATTGGGAGGGTGTGTTTTGTAGATGACATGCAGAGTGATATATGTGTGTGTGTATGAATCAGTGCAGCTCGAATTGACTACCTGAAGTAGCTCACGGGCGTCGCTCCATTTGTCAAAAAAAAGGTGATCTTGTTTGAAAAAAAGATGCCTCAACTAATGCTTCAACAGGTAAAACAATGAGACAGGAACTGGCGGCATCATTAGTTGCTGCACTTTATTAAATGCTACAGTTGTAACTGTAACAGTGTGCTCCAGACCTTGCCCTTCCAAATCTTGCTTATATTTGTTGTTGTTTCAAAAGTTTAATCTTTTAAGAAGATTAACGCTTTCACAACTTCACAGACTGAATGATTGACACATTAAGCCCTTTTAAGGAGTTCAAATATGATCACCAGGGCCGCTCATGAGAGATTAAATGGGGAACGCTTTGGGGTAGGGGGAGGGGACATGGAGAGACCCTGTGTCCTCATGTGAGGACATTGCATTTTGGGTTTGCTTGACCTCGTACGTCATTCTGCTTAACTTGGACCTCTCGTCCTCGTTCGTGAACACTTTTCTGTGCCATCTAGTGGTAGTAAGAGTACAATACACTAATCCATGTAAAAACAAGATGGCAGCCATCTCTGCCAAGTCAGTCTGCAGCCGACCCTGACACAAAAGTGGACAAGGTCCAAAACCTGATCACATCTAATGGTGGAAACATGTTTATTTATGGTTAATAATGTTTGTAGTTTGATATGGCAACAAATTTGACTAATTTTAGCATTGGTAACAAGATAAGACGCTGTTAGTTAGAAAGTACTCGTTGGTAGACATTGGTAATTTTTCGTCAGCTGGGACTTTATTATTGTCTCATTTGAGGATATTGGGACTTAATTTATTATCATTGACAATGTTAAGTTTTTTTTATACTTATCAGGTCCTACTAATCTCAAATAGCTAGGAAAAATTGAAAACGCATACAAAACAAATGTTCGGGTCTCAGGAGGATAATCATGCTGATTTGAAACATCAGCAATGATGACCAGTTGTTTTTTTTAAACCATCTTCATAACCACCTTCATAATGAAAACCCCCTCTCTTGAAATTAATGAGTCCATTTTTTTGTAAGCTACACAACTGTTGCAAGAAAATGAAAAAACAAAAAAAAAACCAACACACTGGAACTTTTCAGGGGCTCAGCCATTTCTGTGTGTGGCCCTGGTTATCACATACGTTGTCACTTCTTTACAGAATGTGTTTGCAGGATGTGATTAACTATCATTATGATTTGGTTCAGTTTTTATTTTAGTTTGTACACTTTGTCCTTTCTTGTACAGTACAGGCCAAAAGTTTGGACACACCTTCTCATTCAATGCGTTTTCTTTATTTTCATGACTATTTACATTGTAGATTCTCACTGAAGGCATCAAAACTATGAATGAACACATGTGGAGTTATGTACTTAACAAAAAAAGGTGAAATAACTGAAAACATGTTTTATATTCTAGTTTCTTCAAAATAGCCACCCTTTGCTCTGATTACTGCTTTGCACACTCTTGGCATTCTCTCAATGAGCTTCAAGAGGTAGTCACCTGAAATGGTTTCCACTTCACAGGTGTGCCTTATCAGGGTTAATTAGTGGAATTTCTTGCTTTATCAATGGGGTTGGGACCATCAGTTGTGTAGTGCAGAAGTCAGGTTAATACACAGCCGACAGCCCTATTGGACAACTGTTAAAATTCATATTATGGCAAGAACCAATCAGCTAACTAAAGAAAAACGAGTGGCCATCATTACTTTAAGAAATGAAGGTCAGTCAGTCCGGAAAATTGCAAAAACTTTAAATGTGTCCCCAAGTGGAGTCGCAAAAACCATCAAGCCCTACAACGAAACTGGCACACATGAGGACCGACCCAGGAAAGGAAGACCAAGAGTCACCTCTGCTTCTGAGGATAAGTTCATCCGAGTCACCAGCCTCAGAAATGGCAAGTTAACAGCAGCTCAGATCAGAGACCAGATGAATGCCACACAGAGTTCTAGCAGCAGACCCATCTCTAGAACAACTGTTAAGAGGAGACTGCGCCAATCAGGCCTTCATGGTCAAATAGCTGCTAGGAAACCACTGCTAAGGAGAGGCAACAAGCAGAAGAGATTTGTTTGGGCCAAGAAACACAAGGAATGGACATTAGACCAGTGGAAATCTGTGCTTTGGTCTGATGAGTCCAAATTTGAGATCTTTGGTTCCAACCGCCGTGTCTTTGTGAGACGCAGAAAAGGTGAACGGATGGATTCCACATGCCTGGTTCCCACTGTGAAGCATGGAGGAGGAGGTGTGATGGTGTGGGGGTGTTTTGCTGGTGACACTGTTGGGGATTTATTCAAAATTGAAGGCACACTGAACCAGCATGGCTACCACAGCATCCTGCAGCGACATGCCATCCCATCCGATTTGCGTTTAGTTGGACGATCATTTATTTTTCAACAGGACAATGACCCCAAACACACCTCCAGGCTGTGTAAGGGCTATTTGACCAAGAAGGAGAGTGATGGAGTGCTGCGGCAGATGACCTGGCCTCCACAGTCACCGGACCTGAACCCAATCGAGATGGTTTGGGGTGAGCTGGACCGCAGAGTGAAGGCAAAGGGGCCAACAAGTGCTAAACACCTCTGGGAACTCCTTCAAGACTGTTGGAAAACCATTTCAGGTGACTACCTCTTGAAGCTCATGGAGAGAATGCCAAGAGTGTGCAAAGCAGTAATCAGAGCAAAGGGTGGCTATTTTGAAGAAACTAGAATATAAAACATGTTTTCAGTTATTTCACCTTTTTTTGTTAAGTACATAACTCCACATGTGTTCATTCATAGTTTAGATGCCTTCAGTGAGAATCTACAATGTAAATAGTCATGAAAATAAAGAAAACGCATTGAATGAGAAGGTGTGTCCAAACTTTTGGCCTGTACTGTATATCTTATTCCTCGTCTTTTACCCCCCCTCCCTTTTCCTCCCTCTGTAAAGCACTTATAGCACAATATGTCGGGTGGAATTTCACTCTAATTGTCCCTCTCTGCATTGTGGTTGAAGAACATTTATGGATAATGGATGTCTGTTTTATTTTCACTTTCCTTTCTCTTTCAGCCAGAAACTTCAATGTGCAGAAGTCAGAGGCCATGCTGCGAAAGGTAACATGTTCAGCCTCTCTGTTCAAGTCATGTATTGAACTGAAAGCAGAGCTATATCCTCCAGGCCCTCTCTTTCGGTGACTAATTTGTGTTGTGAGTGAAAGTGCAGTTAGCACCAGCACAGCCTGTTTATCAGATCAGGGGCAGCTGCAGATTAGAGAGGAGCAGTGTGGTTACGGCTCGCTGTGGGGAAACTGAGTCATCACAGCTGCCTGAGGAGATAAGATATAGATAAAAAGGATTATATGAATACTTAAAGTGATGGAGTAAGATTTACAGCCACCTAACTTAAAACTGCATTAACAGATTTGTGTCCACTAGGGGTCAAAAGAAGTCCACCACAAACTGGCTGATACAGAGCTCTGACATACTGTCGTCTTACAAAGATGTTATCGTTAGCTGCCTACCTCCACAAATCAGCACACACAGAGCATCAGAAAGATTTTCAGTTAAATAAATGGCTATTAAGTTTCTATCGTTGAGTGAGGTAACACAGTGGAGACTGAGTCTGTAGCCCAGTGATGAAAGCCCTTGCATTAGCGAGTTAGGAACTGGGTGGGTATAGACGGAGCTAACGCTAACAAAGTCATTTTTTAAATCACTTGCATGTTAAGTGGTGTACTGTTATTTTTACAGTCTCTGCTAGCATTGCAAGTAAACAGTCACTATTAACTCTGCTTTATACATGTGCTGGCTGGGCTTTACATGGTATGACTCGGTATGACTCGGCACGGCAGCCCAGCAGGTAACAAGACTACTCACTTGAAGGTGTGTCTTTAACAGATGACGCACTTGTGTTGAGTCGATGACATTTAAAAGCAGCACCCTCTTCACCGCTGTTTACCATTGCACAGTGCAACGGTTGTTGGTAGCATGTCAATTATCACATTTCAAGCTGCTGTTGCGTCTTTGTTTGCCACATACTGTGTATTGCGTGAGTTGGGTTGAGCCCAGTTCAGACCAAAGATTCACAACGAGATGAGTTGAAACAGGCAACTACTTCCAATGCGCCGTTCTGCAACGTTCTAAAAACCTGCCAGTTCACACCAATGCAACTAGATGAGATGGTGTATCATCTCTATGCAACAAATCTCTGTACCTCAGTTCTGATTTGCAGCTTTTCAGGCTTATTTTGTGGCTGCTGAGCACCTGCCGCAGCCAGCGAACACGCCATCTGCAGTCATTTCGATTTGACCAGCTGACTTCACTACAAACCGATTGGCTGTAGAAGCAGGTGACGGGCTTTATGTTCTAAAACCAGCTGCCAGTGATTTGACCAGCTGAGATGCATGTGACACAATCAACCGGCTTGAGTTGAGCTCAGACCGGCCACTTTATGACTTTTCTCTGCAACGTTCTAAACATTTTTGTCTTGTTGCGACTCTTTGGTTTGAATTAGGCTTTAGACACTGAACATCACTGAATCGTACCGGAATGTTGACCAAGTCCATCTGACGTCACTGCAACCTGCTCTGAGACAGTTTGGCACACATTGACCCAAATCCTGAGATGGTTGATCTCAGTAGCAACTCAGCACAATTTGGCATATTTAAATTGGTAATGGAAATGCAAATCACCGCAGCATGGTTGGAGTTGGCATGGCCAAAAGTGCCAATGGAAAATCCCTATATTGCCAAACAAAGAGATACCAAATAGACAGTGTTTGGATCTTTGGGAAATGAGATCTAAAAATGCATCTACAAATATCGCTTATGGCAGCGGGTGTCACCAAAGAGAACGAAACACAGAGTCATCCAGGTCATGGTAATCCTAAGTGCTAAGTTCTCAGCACTGAAGAAGCCTCTTGGATGATCGGTGAATCATCTTCAAGAAACTCAAAAAAATCCATTTGCCTACTATATAGCACTTAAGATCTTCAAGACTGTAACTTTAAAGTCATGTTTCTGTCCACCTGATGAAACTAAGCTCAATTTCCAATCTCTTTTTAACTCTTGTTGGCTCTCCACCAACTCCTGAGAAAAATATCTGGGTCTCAAGTCAATGTTAATGTGAAACTAGTCCATACCCATTGAGTACAGCATATCATACCATGACTTAGTCATACCAAAAATTAGAAAAAACAACAACATTGGTCCACAGGGGGAGACACAGCAATCTGTCGCATTTTAGCCATTTTTAAGCATTTTTCTGTTGTTATAGCGCCACCCAGTTGCCAATTAGAGTTAAATTTCTCCAGTCACCTTGAGGCGTCCTGTTCTACATATCTACCAAGTTTAGTAAAAATCCATATGGCGGTTAGGCCTAGATAAGAAATAAGCTCTCTAGCGCCCCCATTTTGTATGATGGGGTCAATAATGGAGGGGTCCCCTCAGATTATGTGTGGTCATATGCCTACAAAGTTGCGTGGTGATGGGTGAAACCCTTGAGATGTTATACACCTTTATGTGATGAGCCACGCCCTCCGCAATATTCATTGCCTTATAGAAGCTCAGTTTTAGTAAGTTTTCCAACTTTTGCCAAGAGGGAACTTTAGATATTGGTCCCTAGATTATGTTCACCCAGTTTCATACAGATCGCTCAAACTTCCTAGGAACAGATCGATTTTAAATTGTTGTTTTTTTTTTTTTTTTTAATTCAAAATGGCGGAAAATCTCTATAACCGGAAACTATGTTTTCTTGAGGATAATGTGTTCCTCATGAGGAGAGGCATCTCTGTGCAAAGTTGCATGCCTCTACGACATACGGGGCATGAGATATGCCCATTCAAAGTTTGCAATTTCAATCAGTTGCTATAGCGCCCCCCTTTGGCCAATTGATGTAATACTGCTTCATTGGCATCCTCCCATGACCCTCTACCACTGTGCCAAATTTCACATGGATTGACCAAGTCAGTGAGGAGAAAAACGTGGAACAGACACACAGACAGAGTTTTCGTCATTATATAGTAAGATATATTGATTATTAGCTCTTAAAAGGGGCTTTCAGGTGACATTAACTGTACTGGAGGTTCTCAGGATTAGTCAGGTTTAACCACCCTTAACAGTGATTCCTTTACATTTGTTTCTTGATTTAAAACAACAATATGTCATGCATTGAAAGGGCTTGTATCTGTGTTTACGTTCAAATATTGGCATATACTGCATGTAAGATAAACTGAACAGTCACACTGTCAAGGAAATGCCTCTCAGCACATCGGAATAGAGATTAAAAAACAAGATGGTTACTGTGTAACTGTAGCTTTAATCTTTGAACAAACCTTATCAAACTCACACTCCCATCTGACCTTCACCCACGCCACAGCCACATTGTTCTGGTTTCTTCATGATATCTGACACCAGTAGTTTAAATTATCTGTTAGTTTCTAAATGTATCGACCAGGCAGTTAACAAACAACAAAACAATCAAAATGAGCCACTTTGCCAATTTAAAACATCTTTTTTGCCTTTATTGTGTGTTTGAGTTTTGTAGCTATGTGTTGGCATACATGTGCTAACTGTAGTGTGAACACAGCACGGTACATAACTGATCCCCTTCATGCTGATGGGGCAGGTTTTACATCACCTTCTGTCTGAAACCACTAAGCCACTTAAATCACCACATTGTACCAGGGCGGATCCGCCACTGTACAAACTACCAGGGAAGTAAACTAGAATGATCACTTCACGGTTGTACGCCTCCGCGACCACCCAAGTTGCACTTACAGTTTACATCCATGTCTGTGAAAACATGGATGCTCCACACACATCTTTGCCCCAGAAGATCTATACAGTCAGCACAGTTACAAGGTGGGCACCAAAGATTAGTGTCACCAATCAGGCACAGAAGGGAAGACATCTGGTCAGAGTTCAGATGTTGAGTAATGGCCAGAAATGTCAGAACATTATATTACAGTAATGTTGACCTTTGACCTTTTGGATATAAAATGTCATCACTTTATCCTATTTGTGTAAAATTTTGTCAGACTTAGCATAAGAATTCTTATGTTATGACCAAAAAGATGTTTTGTGAGGTCACAGTGACCTTTGACCACCAAATTCTAATCATTTCATCCTTAAGTCCAAGTGAACCCAAAAAACCCACCATCCATCCATTTCATCCACTAATCCGGACGGTCACAGGGACAACAGGCCAAGCAAAGGAAATGAAGGACTTATAGCGACTTTGTTTAAAACGACGCAGTCGGACTATGTTTACGAGCACAAGAGTTCAGCGAGCCACCGAAGGACCGCCCTGCGGATTTACTATTGGTTCTGCAACGTAGGAAGTTTTTTTAAACTCTGAAATTGTATCCGCCCATTTAAACACAAAATCAGGGAGAAAGACATCAGTCTTTAGTTAAGCAAAGCGTCTAAAGACTGACTTGTGAGTCTAAACGGGAGGCGCCCAGGAGGATCCTAATCAGATGCCTGAACCATCTCAGCTGAACACTTTTGACGCAAAGGAGCAGAGGCTCTACTCCGAGCTCCATTTGAATGTCGGTGCTTCTTGTCCTATCTCTAAGGCTGAGCCCAGCCACTGCCTTGAACTATTCTTGAGATATCGCAATCACAACAATGAGACAGACGAGAGCAGAGTGATCTTCAACTTCCACCCATGACCACAAAAATCTTATCAGTTCATCGTTGAGTTCAATTGGACGAAATTTGAAGAAATTCCCTCAAGGAGTTCCTGAGATACTGCATTCACGAGAATGGGACGGATGAATGGACGACCCAAAAACATAATTCATCCAGCCACGGATATTGCCAGTGCAAAGGCATAAAAAAAACAAGTTTTAATTTACTCTCTGTATATATACTGTTCTGTATATACTACTTATAGTTTTACTGAACTTAACACACACCCCTCTTTTCTTTCAGCATTTGGAGTTTAGGAAACAGATGAAAGTAGACACAATACTCAGCGACTGGCGTCCACCAGAGGTAAAACTCCCCCAAACATTATAAACCACAACCTTCTGTAGGTTCAGCGTATTTCAGAGTAATTTTAGGAAAGATTCTCTTCAAATAAATACATCAAATATTCCAGTATGTGACTGACAAAACCATTTAAATTGACTGTTGCTTGCAGGTGATAGAAAAGTATCTGTCAGGAGGGATGTGTGGTCACGACCGCGAGGGCAGTCCCATCTGGTATGACGTCATCGGACCTGTAGATCCTAAAGGCCTCTTCCTGTCTGCCTCTAAACAAGACTTCATCAAGTCCAAGATCAGAGACTGTGAGATGCTGCAGAAGGACTGTGACCTCCAATCGCAGAGGGTAAGAGACCACAGAACAGAGATCCAGTGCGCCTGTTCACACGTTCAGAGCTCAAAGCTCTAAAAGCAACAATCAACAAAAAATGCCTCATAAAATTAGCATTAGATTCTTACATTCATTTGGCAGAAACTTTGATCAAATGCGACTTATATTTGGGGTTAAGTGTGTTTCTCGAGTTCACTTTGAACCAAGAACGAACCACCAGCCCTGCATGTAACGGGCACCCTGTTCTTTACCACCTGAACTACAGTCGCTTTTGTTTTTATATTGTACAGGTAATTTTAAAATGAATTTCATAAAATAAACGTTCCTGTCTTTTTTGTCACCAGCTTGGGAGGAACATAGAGTCAATCACCATGATCTACGACGTAGAAGGTTTGGGCCTGAAGCACTTATGGAAGCCTGCGATAGAAACATATGGAGAGGTACAGAGACACACACATACAGAATAGACAGACCTCCCAAAACAAATACATGAGGCTAGGTTGGTTAAACACTTCCAAATACAGTATATGTTTCTCTGTGTCACCAGATCCTCCAAATGTTTGAAGACAACTACCCAGAAGGCCTAAAAAGGCTGTTTGTCATTAAAGGTAAATCTGTCCTTTCATGAATGAGTCGGAGTACTTTAAACTGTGCTTCTGCGTTTGTATTCTCTGTCATCATATCTGGCTTTTGAAGAGCTAGAGTTTCGATTATTGCTGGTTAACACTAGGTTCACACTTTTGACTTTTGTCTCCTGCAGCACCCAAACTCTTTCCTGTGGCCTACAACCTCGTCAAGCACTTCCTGAGCGAGAACACAAGACAAAAGATCCACGTCCTTGGGGGTGAGACACCACACATCATACTGCATCTTATTTTAGAGACTATTTCACCCCATTCAGAAACACTTTTACCTCTGTCCTTCCTGATGAAATGACTGCTGTTACCTCTACAGCTAACTGGCAGGAGGTGTTACTGAAGTACATTGATGCAGAGGAGCTGCCAGCGATATACGGGGGGAAACTGACAGATCCTGATGGAGATCCTCGCTGTCGGACCAGGGTGAGTCAGTGAGTCAGCAAGGCAAACTGTACACCCTTGGGTGCTGGTTGTTTTGGCATTAAGGTGGGCTGATGATGAGTTGGAAGAGACAAGTATCTGATGCAGATGCTGCTTAATTATTCTGAGATCCTTTGAGATGTTCTCAGACACTTTACAGTGTTTTCACATGTAGTTCTTACAAACAAACCAACGTCAGTCCTCTTAAAGTGGATCAAAGGACAAGGGAGTTCACACTGTCAGTTGACTGGAAAGAGGACTGTGCTTTGGTCCTCATAACACCTGCTAACATTAGGCTTTTTAATGTAATGGGAAAAGTTATGATTGGCATTCACACTCAAGTCTGCAGTAGTCACGTGTATTTATCAGCTCTGGCTCTGATCGGCATTCTTGGAAACACAGCACCTGGTTGAACGCGCTAATTTTAGCCCCTTTACCGGCGAGATGCAGTGACACGCCACCACAAAATACCATCTGTCTCCACCCGAGCAACACTCAAACATCAATCCAAATGAGTCTGCATCGAGCTTGAAAGAGGGACTGAATGAGTAAGAGATGTATAAGAAGAAGTAACCACAGGCCTCCATGCTGCTCCCTACTATTTACTAACCTGTTTTCCAGCCTGTCTGTGATGTTGAATGTAAGGCACCAAAAATACAAAAACAACACACACACAAAAAGGGATACATGCCTGCTGCAAAGCTGTGTACACGGCTCTAATCTACTGACAATGGGAAAATAGTCCAATTTTTAGCATATTTAAAAAAAAAAAAAAAACGCGTACAAACTAATTTTGGTGGAAAAGGGGCATTAGGGTGTTTTCACACTTGGTCCCTTCAGCCCCCCATTCAAGTGTGAAAACACCCTAATGCCCCTTTCACACAGAGATTGTGCGGAAGAGCTGCTACCAAGTCCCTCCTTTATGCCGCCTTTGCATTTTCACACAGAACCGAACAATGGCAGCATAACGCAGCTCCAGTATGTGATTTTATACAGTATATTGGCATCCAAGAAACCTTTCCTTTCCTTCCTTGCCGGCACCCCAGAAGCAAACAAGACTTGACATGTAACACAACTAGGGCTGCAACGATTAGTCGACTAATCAATGACTTATCAACTATTAAATAATCAGTGATTATTCTAGTAGTCGACTAATCGGTTTGAGTCATTTTTCATAGAAAAGTACTATAAAAGTACCCAAAATACTCTTATTGCAGCTTCTTACTTTCAAATATTGGCAGCTTTACTCACTCTCCCATGACGGTGAACTAAAATCCTTTGGCGTGAGTACGGAACAAGACATTAGATGATGTAATTTTGGGGTTTGGGAGAGACAGACCGACATTTTTCAACATTTTAACACATTTTTTCGATAAAATGATTAGTCGACTAATCGAAGAAATAATCGACACATTAGTCAACAATGAAAATAATCGTTGGTTGCAGCCCTAAACACAACAGCGTTGGCCTCTAGTGTGACATAACATTCACGTTGGTAGTGCACTGTTATATGTCACACAAGCACAATACAATAAGACTATAACATGGCTGTAACAATCATTTACAATTTCTGTTATGTGTCAGCTGATCTCGTCCTCTGCTCGGAGGGCAAGGAGTGCCCAGACTTCATTGTAAAACCAATTTGTGGACATTTTTGGCAGCTGTTTTTCCTTCATGAGTTAGCTGCTAACTGCTGCAAGCGGCTTTTTAAATCTACCACAGTAGGTCGCACACATAACACATCATCAAAACATCACACCTTTTTACACAGACGTGCGGCACTGTTCTACCCACGCTGCTGGCTTTAGAGTGAGACAACTCAGTGTGCAACATTTCCTTTTTGAACAGGCAGTGTAAACGGGGCTTAAGATTTATCGTAAGTGGCCTAAAAGGACATGTTTTTTTCAAGCAGGATATTAACACAGGCCTGTTAAATAAACAGTAATCTGCCACTAGAGGTTGAATATAATATTCAGTATTATATTACGTAATGTTTGAACTCTGTCAGTTTTGCAAAGCCTGTTATCAGTGGTTTTATAATCTCCAGTTGTTATCGACCCTCTCAGTATGTGAGAATGATGTCAGCGACGAAAGTAAATATTTAAAGTCCTGAAATTCCTCTGCATAGACACTGAAATTCTGTTTTTGTTTAACGTGACTGAAAGGAACTGAAAGGAAGCACAGGCGGTCTGCTCTCAACAGTTTCTCCCTAAAAGTTTATTTTTCCAAAAATAACTTCAAGTAACAGCAAAAACGAGCACCAAAGTAATAATGTCGGTATAAGGAAAGGAATGTTTAGGGGCGCCCAGTAGCTCAGTGGGTAAAGTGGGCGTCCCATGTCCCATGCTGCAGCGACCACAGGGTTAATTCCAGCCTGCAGCCCTTTGCTCCATGTCATCCCCTCTGTCTCGCCCACTTTCACACATAAATATATACAAATGAAGGGAAAAAGCCAAAAAATAATCTTGAAAAAAAGAGAAAGAAATGTTTACCAAATCACTGTTCATTTCTTTAAGTGTATATTATATAATATTTATCATGATATGGCAAATTTAAGCAAATAAAATGTTGTGCTGTTTTGAAAAATATGAGGCATATTTTCCACAGCTATTGTCAGACAGAAGCACCAACGGTCCTGCAACAGATACAAGTCTCATTCCAACAACAGCTCATCAGCCCTCCTGTAAATGAAACAGGCAACAGTGCACCAGCTTTGGAGTAGTTAGGAGTCGTGCCCTGTGGTTTTTCTTTCTCTGGTTTGCATCCTGAGCTCAGGTAGTTTGGCAGCTTACAGCTTTGCTTTGGCGAGAGACCGTCTGGCTAATATGCATGAGGCGTTGATGCCTTGTGGGTTTACATTTGACTTGCAAACTATGTTTTATGTGAGTCCCCACCCCCACCAGTTTTACCAGTTTGTCACGGCAAAATAGAAAATATCTAAATGCATCTGAGGCACTCTGACTGTAGTTAAACATCCTTAATACATTAATACATGGATGAACAAACGTGTTTCGACTAGAGTCTTCATCAGGGTGTCACCCTGCTCCATTTTTGAACTGCCTGGCTGTACCATGGACTTTTACACTGAATGAGCTAGCCAGTCATTGCTTTTTATCTTTGTGACTTTTTGCCCCATCCTCAAAGAGCACATAATCTTTTACAACTAACTACACAGTGCTTACACCCTGTGCAGCACTCCCTTATTTTCCTCATACAAACAGATGATTTGCCTGAACAAGAATAATGCAACATCATGTTTTAGGCTACAAACTGAACACAGTGAATGAGATGTTAAAGCTGCCAATAGCACTGGCTGTGGCGAGGATCCTGTTACACATGAGTGAGCCGTGTGATCACAGCAGGTCAGTGACAATACGAGGACTATTCTGGACCAGCAGAGTGAATCAATACAGCTGCACACATGCTGAATACAGTTTCTCTCTGCCAGTATGAAAAGGAAGTGATGTAAAAAGGATGCAATTTGTCAGTCGCCTGGTTTCATTGAGCAGATGGTTTGCTGTGTGAATGACAGACATTTTTCCACAGACAATCCACAGGAAATTGCAGATGAGAAGTTAATTACATAAACTAATCAAGAACAAACTCCCACTTCATCCCCGCTGCATCCCTGCCTCGCTGCGTAGAAACAGCAAACAGCCTCAGTGCAAGAGATGTAGTCAAACCTGGCGGTGTAGCAGCGAGCAGCAGCTTGAGTAGTCGCACTTTTAGATAAAACTCTAGATGAGAAAACTGACCGTGTATTTGTTTCTGTAGATAAATAATTGGGCCCAGGAGACATGAGGAACAGGAAGAGAGAAATTCATTACGGCTACAGTCAAGATTCAAGGAAATTGAGATGCTCAGCCTCAAAGTGGTTTCTTTTTTCTACGGTTTTATAGTTTAGCTACCTGTGTGTCCTTGACATTGTACTGTATTACTTTGGTTAGGTTGTAGGAACTGGGTTATGTCATTAAAGGGATAGGCCGATATTTTGGGAAATATTCTTATTCTTGCTGAGAATTAAACAAAAAGAAGAGCTCGATACCTCTCTCTTGTTTGCACAGTAAATATGAAGCTAGAATCAGGAGACAACAAGATTAACTTAGCACAAAGGCTGGAAGCAGGGGAAACAGCTAGCCTGGAAGTAACTCCAGGAGGTCACTGTGTCCAACCAAGAAATAATCCAAGACACGATTCCCACAATTAAACATTTTAACACCTTGGTTTGTTGGATTTTGTAGGACAGAGCTAGGCTGTAGCTAACTGTTTACCCTTGTTTCCAGTCTTAATGCAAACAATGTTGAATTATTCTTTTAAGTGTTAGGCATCATTGATGAACTTGAGGAAATGCACTTATACCGAACAGTTTGTTTGGAAATTGTACGTAAAGATAATGTTTAGTTGAGTTCAAAGAACCATTGATACACTCTTTGTCAGTGCTTTTAAGGCCTCATTATAAAGCAAACATTTTCTGAGCTGATAATGTCGTAGGAGGATCCTGTCTGTTTCACACTGACGTGATCTGTGCAGCAGGAAAGATGACTATCGACATAAAATCACTGTGATCTCGTTGCTTTTACAAACTCTTGAGCCTTATGCATCTTGTATGTGAGGTTGTTCTTGCACTCTTCTTCCTTCAGCTTCATCAAATCTGCACAATTTATGTAAAGAAACAAAGATGAGGAGGTGCCTGATGAGTCTTTGCTCTCTAACGGACGATAGGACAATGTGTGTTTTTGTTCTTTCTGCATCTTTTCTTTTTGTCGGTGACACTTTCCCAACAATGGTTGTGTTACAATTCACATTTTTGCAAGACTTTTAGAGAAGTGGTTTCACATGAGTTTGACTTCCCTTACAGCAGTTGCTCACATGCAAGACAGGTCTGAAACATTTCTCTGAGCTGTGTGTGTCATCTGTAACGTATAATGTTGATGATCACCTGCTGGATTTAACTGACACCCTGGATTAAACTCATCCCACTCAGAAAATCACTGCCCTCTGTTGGTGGGTTTGCTGTAGTGCATCATATAGTACTGACAAACCACAGAAGTGAATTGTTTGATATTCATTTTATTCATGTGAATAAAGTGAAAATTGGAAAGGGGAGAACCTTGCTCTCTTTTTTTATGTGCAAAAGATGTAAAATTACAAGCACTCAGACACAAATCACAGTAAGTGATGGCTTTCTCTTTTTCCTCATTTCTCCTTCACCCAGACTTTCAACATTACATGTATTAACTTTTAAGTGCCCATATCCTAACTCATGCATGATCTCGGCTGCAGATAAACCACGTTGGCCCTGTTCCCCCCTCCTACTACGTGCGGGACCATGTGAAGGTGGACTATGAGCAGTGTATGACCGTCAGCAGAGGTTCCACCCAACAGCTGGACTATGAGATCCTGTTTCCGGGCTGCGTTCTCAGGTCAGCTGGTGCTACGTGTTTTCTCACTGTGGCAGCAATGGAGTCAGATGTTACTTAAGTCATTTTAGAGCTGAGAAAATTGTATTGGTTTGCTACTTTTCCGTTCTAAATCATTGTTAATTACCGATAAATATCTTTGAGTTTTGGAAAAGCTGTTTGAAGATGTGACATCAAGGCCTGGAAAACTGTGGTGGGCAGCTAGGGGTGGGGGGAAAAAAAATCGATACAGCAGCAATATTTTTGTGTGGTAATGTCATATAGTGAAGACTCGAAACAGCATGCACATCCAAAAATGATAAATACTGGGCGCTGGACAGAGGAACACCAGCCCTTCATCAGACATGAAAAAGATAAGGACACACACCTACACATACAACCGATGGTGGTCGCCCAACAGATCATGTGACAGCACATGTAGATGTACAGAAACTGAGTTCAACACACTGCAAAACCAGAAAAAAAAACGAAATTATACCACAAGAAAGCAATACTTTTACAAAAAATATATTAAAATATAAAAAAAAAGAATACTGAAACAAATACATAAAGAAAAAGGCCAACAGTGCCTAGAGTATCACCTCAAATATCACATGACTGAAACATCAGGTAAAAAAAACGTCATAATGACATGCAAATTCAAAGGGAAACTGTAGAGTAAGATACTTTTATAATTCATATATTTTTGGAATTTCTTTCTTTCTTTATTTTAAATAGAGGCGCCTCTAATACTACAAAAAGTAATGATACTCAATGAAAAATACTACAGCGATGTAGTATGTTTACATGCTGCTTAAGATTTGTTTATTACATGGCTGTGGTATTTCACATTTAGTAGCTCTACATTTTGTAGTATTACAGGTGCCTATATTAAAAAAAACATCCAAAATTGGGAAAAAAAAAGAATTATAAAAGTATCTTACTCTACAATTTCACCTTGAAGTGGCATGTCATTATGATGTTTATTTTACCTGATGTTTCATGTGATATTCAAGCCGATACTTTTGGCACTGCTGGCCTTTTTGTAAATATCATGTCGTCACGTCACACATTGCCAAGTCTTGATTGTTATTATATAATTTTGTTTAGTTTAGTAATCTTAATTTCGAACATGTAAACAAGCAGAAGTAAAAAGCAAAAAGTGCAGAAGGTAAATTATTAATATTACACATACAAATTTAATTTTAGGTAGCCACTATGATAATATAATCAGTTGCTTGTTCAGTCCACTAGATACGTTTTACTGCTGTAAAAAAAACAAAGGTAACAACTGTATATAAATAAATCATTCACCACAACATGTAGAAGTAAACCAACAAACAGTGCCACAGGTACAACTTCTTGATTTGCTGCTTTTGTGAAAATCTGGCATGAGCATGTGTCTTTTAACACAAAAAGGGTAATTAAATAGCAGCACTGAGTCTGATAGCTATAATTTTCATATATCTTTTGATTATTGCTCGCAAAAACAATTAAAAAATAATGGGCAAAAAGTGCATGAGGTAAATGCAGTGCATTGTAATGCAACAGTTACATCTTTTAAGGATCAAATTTAGTTGTTTTACCTCTTAAAGTTACTTTTTTCTTCTCATTTCCAACTTAAATCTAAGTATTAAAACATGTAGGGTGTTTTTCAAAAGGTAATCTGAATGAAATTAAGCTTAACAGACGTGTCACTTTGAGTAATATCACATCCTTGTGGTAATGCCACACCTGGCACAATAAATAATTACCGCTTTTTAAGTGCTTTCAAATGCAGTGCATGACACCCAATGTGTGCACAGAGTTTAAATAGAAATCCACAAAAAAGTCCAAAAAGCAGCATTAAATTGATTTGAAAGTCTTTCCTCTCTCTGCAGGTGGCAGTTTGCTACTGAGAGTGCAGACATTGGTTTCGGGGTGTTTCTGAAGGCTAAAAAGGGCGAGTGGAAGAAGGCGGCTCAGATGACAGAAGTCGTACCCAGCCAGCGCTACAACGCCCACTTAGTTCCTGAGGATGGGTCACTGACCTGTGAACGCCCGGGAGTCTGTGAGTAACCTGACACTGAGCATACAGAGGACTATACGATGTGTAATCGTGAGATCCAGCAGTGAATATGCTGTTCTGTTCGTCTTCCACAGACGTTCTGAGATTTGACAACACTTACAGCATGTTCCAGGCCAAAAGAGTCAGCTTCAGCGTGGAGGTCCTGCTCCCGGACCGCTTACAGTCCCCACAGACCAACGGAGAGTCCAAGAACCATGTACAAGCTGAGGGCGACAGCCAGTCATAACCAGGAGGATGACACAATGTGCCACTTCCATGTTGTCAGATCAGTAAATGTTTAGCCGCTACGAGTAAGCACAGCCTGAGAGACTTGAGTTAAACAGGAACATGCTGCCAACACACAACAAGTATTTAACCCATGTTTGACCCTTTAATCACCTGTAATGACGATCTGATTCACCTGTGGTCTATTTGGAAACATTTATGGAACAAGGAGGGGCACACGTGATGTGGCCAAAAATATGTGGACACACCAAAACACATCAGTTGGAGCTGCGTTTCTCTCCTGCTCTTGTAGCAGAGCGTACTCTGGGAACAGATGGAGCAGCAGAGCATCAAGCGCAGTGAAAGTTAAACCCAACTGTTAACACTTAATTCATATAGTTTGTGTTTTTCATTTTTCCAAACTACTTCAGATGAAACTGGCTGCGTTCCCAAAGAAACCACACACCTCACAGTACAGCACTTTGACTCGCCTCTGCAGCAGCTGCTCCTCTAATCCATCAATCTGACTCAACAACTTAAACCCCCTCTTGCCGTCAGCTGCTGCCACACGTAGAATCTATTCCTGTAGGAAACACTGGGAAAGTTAAAAATTAAAAATGTTACCCAAAATGGTGAATAAGAGGAGGAACACATAATATGGCCAAAAGTATGTGGACACTCCTTTACACATAATTCTGTGCATTTTTGGTCTGGTTTGTCACTGTTTGGGCTACACCACTCAGTTATTCATTCATTCATTTTCCAGAACCGCTTATCCTGTTAGGGGTCATGGGGACTGGAGCCTATCCCAGCTGACACTGGGCAAGAGGCGGGGTACACCCTGGACAGGTCACCAGACTATCACAGGGCTGACACATAGAGACAGACAACCATTCACACTCACATTCACACCTACGGACAATTTAGAGTCACCAATTAACCTGCATGTCTTTGGACTGTGGGAGGAAGCTGGAGCACACATGCAAACTAAGGCTCCCCCAGGTTCAAACCTCTTGCTATGAGGCGACAATGCTAACCACTGCAGCACCGTGCCACCTGGTTTTCTTAGTTCCAATTAATAGAAACGTACAACGATATTTGAGACAGCAGTGAGCACCCAACTTTGTGGCAACAGTTTGTGCAAAGTCCTGCCATGTTGTAATAGGATGCAGTACCCCCAATGCCCATAGCCAGGTCCCATAAAGAAATGGTGTTCCCAGTTTGGTGCAGAAGAGCTTGAACCCCTTAAACCCCCATCAAGCATCTGTGGGATAAACTGGAGCACCAACTTGCCACCAGGCCTCATCACCCAACATCAGTGTTGGACTTCATAAACACTCAAATCTCTGCAACCAGGTTCCCTAATCTTGAGGAAATCCAGAGACCAGAACAGACGAGGTTGTTATAGCTGCAGATAGAGTTCAATGCTATGTCCTCACATAATGTCTCAAACAGCCACCAAGTGAATCAGGTCAGTGCGCCCACAGCCTGCTGAAATGTTAAACTAATTAAGCAGCTACAAAATTACTCCAAGAGTGAAACAGTATTTAGTTTTCTATGCACAAAAACAAAGAAAATACATTTTCTGTGGATGTTTTTTTCACATATATGGCAAAAATATTTGCCGTAGCAGTCGGCAACAGGAAGCATTTCAGTTATACTTTATGTAAGAGTATTCAAAAGTTGCCATTTTGAGACTTAAAGAAAAAAAAATCTTAAAACGTACAAATCTTTTTGTCTTCACGTGTGATCAGAAATAATGGAGAGTTTCCACACTGAACATTCCTTTAAGTCACAATTACACATCGAAGCTCGTGGAATAATTTGAGTTTCCTAATTAAGTTTTATTCTTGTTTTTAAAGCTGTTTACATTCATAATTTATTGGAGGGACCTGTAATGATTCCCCCCTTCATATATATTAGCAAGGAACTTCTACATGTGCAGACAACAATGCAGATACTAATTTATTTACAGAAAATAATAAGTTTAAACTGCATATTTATTTTACAATAGCAAAACAGTAATCTCTGTGTATCATATTTATCAGACAAACAACACACAGTATTATATAATATTCATGTCGACTCGTTTATAGTGAATGTAAATGAACTTATGTTGCTCTCACCAGATGATTACTGAATGTAGACTGTGGCAGAGAGCCAGGATGATTATTATATTACATATTATTTTCATATGTATATTGTGACAGTGCTGAGAGACTTCTGCAACAACCTGTCAAGTCTCAGGTGGGAGAGAAAGTCAGCACACTGTCATGGCCGTACTGTCTGGACTGTTCGAACTGTGTCGATGAAGATCTTTTCACACATGAAGAAGATGATATAAACATTATGAGAGGAGTGAATAAATCTGTTGACAACATCCTGACTGTGTTTGCTTTACATGTCTGTGTTTGCCAAGGGAAATGTTTTAAATTAAATACTTTATTGACTCACAAAACATTAATTAACAGGCTGAAAGAGACAGATGGAAGATCTCTAGTGTGTGGAGCCTCTCTTATACTGCAGTGTCTAAGGAGCATCAGATTAGGGATGCATGATAACATCGGCACGTCATTGGTATCGGCCGATACTGGCTTTAAAATGAAATATCACGTCATAGGAAGAGTATGCATTCATGATATAATGTCAATTCCACTACAGAAGAAACTTGATGATCAGTAAAATTAGGTGAGGAAAAAAGGTAGACAGATCGATATCGGTATCAGTTATCAGTTGAATTAGTGCTACATATCGGCATATTGGATATCGGCAAAAGATCTAATATCATGCAGCCCTACGTTAGATGCAGATGACCCCAGTAACTCTGGGTCTCTACCAACACTTCAATTATATTACTAGTTTCATTTTACACCCTGCAGTGTGTGATTTGAACACAAGAGGGGGCTCTCTGCTTATTCAACAGTCTGTATTCTACATTTTACAAGACCCTGCACAGGTGTTTACAGTTACTGCTAATTAACTCAAGTTACTAACAATGATGAGGTAAAGATTTTTCCAGTGGATAAAATAAAGAGATATGAAGTCAAATAAATTCGAACCCCCCACAAGAAACAAAAGTCAGACAAATAAACTAAAAGTACCGACAATAAATAAAAAGACACCACGGCGGTGCAAGAATCGTCATTAGGTTACATAAATTCAACAGCTTGACACTTCTAATACAAACAACAGGAGAATAAAACATGATGCAGACAACACAGAGATGTAGCCTGCAATAGAAACTCCAAAGTGTTTGCAGAAGCTGACACACACACGCAAAAGAACGCCTGCAGCGTTACATTCATTTATAGTTTGGTGTTTCTACTCACCTGTCTGAAGACTTTGTGTGAGTCCTGAGCACCGCAGAGTCCTCCACTGTCTGCTCCAGGTTTAACTTCTTCATCCAAAGTCTCAACATAACCAGTCCACTCAGCCTCTGTTTGCTGTGCTCCTCAGTGAAGGTAAAAGTTTCTCAGCAAATACAGATGTCCCAATCCACCATACGTTTGCAGGCCTTCAGCATATTAGCCACGCCCAGTGCTACCTGTTGGTGACGTAACATCATGGGTGTGTTTGATTTGAACGACTTCGCTTCCTGCTGTGGTGATTCATTAAATTGTAAGGTGTGTGTAGGATGTAGAGGGATGTACTGGCACAAATGGAATATTAATTAATTAATATTATTGTTTTCATTAGTATATTATCACCTGAAACTAAGATTTGTTGTGTTTTCGTTACCTTAGAATGAGCTGTTGAGGGACGGGTCCAAAGAGGCGGGAGTCTATTATTTTCAGTCATACTAGTCCATACCCATTGAGTACAGCATACCATACCATGACTTAGTCATACCAAAAATTAGAAAAAAACAACAACATTGGTACACAGGAGGAGCCACAGCGATCTGTCGCATTTTAGCCATTTTGAAGCATTTTTCTGTTGTTATAGCGCCACCCAGTTGCCAATTAGAGTTAAATTTCTCCAGTCACCTTGAGGCGTCCTGTTCTACATATCTACCAAGTTTAGTAAAAATCCATATGGCGGTTAGGCCTAGATAAGAAATGAGCTCTCTAGCGCCCCCATTTTGTTTGATGGGGTCAATAATGGAGGGGTCCCCTCAGATTATGTGTGGTCATATGCCTACAAAGTTGCGTGGTGATGGGTGAAACCCTTGAGATGTTATACACCTTTATGTGATGAGCCACGCCCTCCGCAATATTCATTGCCTTATAGAAGCTCAGTTTTAGTAAGTTTTCCAACTTTTGCCAAGAGGGAACTTTAGATATTGGTCCCTAGATTATGTTCACCGAGTTTCATGCAGATCGCTCAAACTTCCTAGGAAGAGATCCATTTGAAGTGTTTTTCAAAAAATTCAAAATGGCGGAAAATCTATATAACCGGAAGTTATGGGTTCTTGAGGCAAATGTGTTCCTCATGAGGAGATGCATCTCTGTGCAAAGTTTCATGTCTCTACGACATACGGGGCATGAGATATGCCCATTCAAAGTTTGCAATTTCAATCGGTTGCCATAGCGCCCCCCCTTTGGCCAATTGATGTAATATTGCTTCATTCACATCCTCCCATGACCCTCTACCACTGTGCCAAATTTCACATGGATTGACCAAGTCAGTGAGGAGAAAAACGTGGAAAAGACACACAGACAGAGTTTTCATCATTATATAGTAAGATACACACTGCAGCTGAAATTCAGTGAGCTGCAACATGTGGGGGGTTAACTATGCCCAAGAAACTGATTTTGGACCCACGGTACAAGAGTAGGTTAATACCTCTATGATGATAGTCTACATGCTGCTTTAGAGGCTTTTATTCCCTTAAACCAGTAAACTTCTCAGGTGGACACACACACACACACACACACATGCACACACACTGCAAAGCTGCCATGTAAGCAGAAAAGAAACATTAATGTATTAGTAACACCTGTAATTTTCCCACTAGGACAAATTAAAATGTCTGCTGAGAAAAAGGTCCATTAGGAGTATAATTTTAGGAGTTTATTTCATGCAGTCACGTTCAGGTCAGAGCTGATCTGAGGTCTGTAAGAACTCACTTATGAGAGATTGATTTACTGCTGATTACAGTGAATAAAAAAATGTGTTGGAGCACAGATGACAGGACGCACTGCCTTGATTCATAAATATTTTATGTACAAAATATTGTTACAAGTATTTTCAACATATGTCACATTGGAATAATGATAACTACTTTACATACATTTGATTAATCTCCATATTTCACAGTACATACATGAAAAAGATCACAATTCTAGTTGACTCTGTATACAATAAATACATGCTCTGGTCGTAGGCTTTTATTTATTTATTTTTTTAACTTTTTACAAACTTACAGTTTGAGTGCAAGAGTTCAGTTGTCACTGCAGCTGTGGCCACTGTAAGATAACTCAAACCCTACCGCAGACAAGTCTTTGTTCAGTTTAACACAGCCGAACCAACATCAGAACTCTAAACTAGTTTCCAGAATACCTTGTTGAAATTCTACCAGAAGTTTGGAGCCACAGTGCAGCGAGTTTTGGCAAACGTGCAGTAAGATTTGGGACATCTACAGTGGCCACATCTGTCCGCAAACAACCCAAAATATGCAAAGAGAGCTAGTTGAACATGGCTCGCTGAACACTTGCGTTTCTTGGCACGTAGTAAACATACAATAGTGTGGATCAAACCCAGTTAGACTTAAGTTAGTTCAACAACCTGCCTGTTTTTATTTTCCATCCTGGTCCGAGTTTGTAATGCGCCCAATGCAGAAACACCAATCAGGTATTCATAGACATATGATTGGTGCAGGATGTGACTGCGCATGCACGACAAGGCTGAAAGACTTTTGTTTTGTTTTTTCATCCAATTTTGAGCTTTAAAAACAGATAAAATAAAATCCTTGGAGGTCCGTTTCTGAACCTCCATCAAAGCTGTTCACACGACTTCACGCCTGAAAACAGGTCGTCAGCTTTTGGCCATTTCCAGTCAGAGCAGGTCGACGGGTAAACAGTGTCCACAGTCACAGTTTCACACTTGGCAGAAACAGAATTTAAAAACCTTTGTTCTGCAGCCACAGTCCAGTGGTCAGTCAGATACTTAAAACTATACCCATAATCCTTTGCTTCAGAAAATAAAATCAACGCCTTTTACTTTGTAGAACCCATTCATTAAGGTCTGAATCCCACTGAGTACGGTGAGCTAGTGACGTTAGCAAGCCGACATTTTCTTAAGGCTACGTAACTGAGAACTGACTGATTTAAACTGAAAATCATTTCCTAGGGTGTCGTCTTTTCTTTCATTCAAGAGTCTATCTGGAAAAATACTACCAGAAGTCAATCACTAAAGGGCAACACATTTGCTGGCATCATTTTGGTCGTCGCCAGCTTGGATTTTTTAGCCATATGTGACCATATTTGGAGGAGAAGGTAGAGCTGTGGACAAGTAAGTGGTGGATCTGACTCATAGACTGTGGTGACGCCTCACAGACAGCCTGTTTAAACCATAATAAAATGTAAACGAGTGAGTTATTAAAAAAATTCACCCTTGAACAGTTGTCATGAACGTTGAAATTATATAAAGAGATCAAAATTGTTTTTCGTAACAGGCTGTAAACGTGCATTTCTGCTGTGACGTTGGGGGTCTGTGGGGACTGAATGGCTTTTAGAGCCAGCCCCAAGTGGCCATGAGAGGAACTGCACTTTTGGCACTTTTGCGTTGGCTTCTTTTTCCGTGCCCGAAGGTTGCCGCTTGATCTTGACACACTTGTTTTGGTTTGACTCAATCACACTTCATCACCTCTTGTACAACATTTCCCAGCGTAAACATGCTTCAGTTTCATGGCGTACCCTGGCTACTGTATCCTGACTATAGTGCTTCTTTCTGTAAGATGCATCTACGCTTGTCGACAGGTGTGAATCAAAGGATGTGACACTTGATACAAATGATGTGTGTTGCAGTTAATTCTATTGTCATGTTAAATGATAAATGAGTTACCATTGATCTGGTTGTTGTTGTGTATGTGACCGTGTGGCAATACTAAAAAGTTAAACAGGAGTTCTGTCCAAGCCTTAACTTTTTCGTCAGGATCCAGCACCCAGTCTTTCAGGTCTAATGTGAGTCAAGCGCGCTGTGTCTTATTTTTATGAACTGGCTGATCAATTCTGAGATGCTTAAATGTTTCTTACAAACTGAAGCTCATGCTAAGTATATCACATGTTAATCCTTATGCGTTATTGTGACATGTGTATCCAGTGTCATGTTTTTGGGAAACAGTGTTGGGACACTAGAATCAACAGTGGTGCCGATGTCACAGGATCTCTGTGAGCCTCAAAGGCTCAAACAGTACAAGACTCTTGGATTACCTCCTCCAACTCACTTCATCTCATGTCATAATTACTTATGATCATTAAACAGTCACTTAATAGCAGCCAGAATTTACTGCTCATGTTCAGACGGTGTTTAGACAACTGCGTTGGTAACATCTTTTTATACCGTCAGGTAGACAGCGACACAAGTCCATTCATTCCACTGAATGGATGTTTGGTAAAAAGGTGTGCATTAGCAGCTCTGATGGCCGACAGACAACAGATTTAGTTTGCTACACACGACATCAGAATCAGAAGAGTTTCTCTGCAGTGAATTCAAACAATTTCCGACCTCTGAGTTGGTGATTTAAACCCAAAGTCGCTCATGTTCTTTATCAACATTTTGAGAAAACACCTCCTTCCACAATTTGTCTATTGAATTGAATGAATTGAATGTATTTCTTTGTTCATCTATTAAAATGGTCATTTTAGTTGTGTCTGCTGCGTCTTTTGAAGAACCTCTTCCACATCAGAGGCTTTAATCGTCTGTGTTTACTGAGGATGAGGATGACAGTGCTCTTATAAAACAGACAGCCACGTAGCCCTGACTCAACCCTGACTGTGGTCATGTCAGTTTCACATTTTCAACATTTCTACCCATCTCTCTTGGATCTCTGCTCATCTGCCCTCCTCCACAGGACGAGTTTCAGATTTCAGCTTGACAAACTCTTTGGCCACTTCATCAGCAGGCCGCTGGGACAGGATACGCATCACAGTCAAGCCCGTCTCATCGGTCTGAATGCGTGGCCCGATCGGACACCAGCACACACAGCTCTTGCGATCAGCGACATCGCGCAGCTGAACCACAGCCATGCCGACCACCCGGTCTGCACGGCCGAAGCAGTAATCCTTCACCGTCACCTGGAGCTCGTAGCAGTCTGGGGACTCTTTACCCAGGGTGCTACAGAGCAGGAGAAGAAATCAAACATCAGACTCTGATTTCAACATTTCAGCTGTGAGTGTGTGAGCTCATTAAGCGTAAAGATTTCAAACTCACAACTGGAAAGACTCGTTGAACTTCGCCGACCAGCTGTTGTTCTTGGATTTTGTGGTGAACTTGCGCTTCTTGTCGGCCAGGAACGGACCGACCATGGAGACGTCAACGAAAGGCCGGAACATCCCTGATGTCTGCCACTTCATGTCGTTCACAGCGATGACTGGATGAAGAGAGAAGCAGATTCAGTGTCTGTTTTCAAGTTAAAAGGGCGTCACAGTGATAAAGTGGAATTATGTCGAGCCTTGTTTACTTTTTTAAGAGGACCATATTAGTATTATTGCATGTTTTAGAGTGTAAAACTATAAAGTGTTAATCACTGGGTATTACTGCTGACCATTCAGTCTGTTTCAGTTCATTTTAGTAAGGTATAAAATTAATTTGAAAAGAGACTTGCTGACTTACTTTATAAAGACTTTGTGATTGAGGAATCTTTTTAAAACAACAAGAGTTGCTCTTAATGTTTGATGGGCTTCGAAGTTCATTGTTCATCTTGGAAAATGTACCATGAGGTGAGGTTGTGTTGTGTATTTTGTTTTGTTGCTCCTAGTGTCAGGTATAAATCTCAAGCTTCAGTTGTGAAGCTCTCGATCGCACCAACAATATAAAGATTTTTCTGCACACAGTTGCCTTCCCATGTGCATAATGGTAAATGATTACTTGGCAGTAACATAACGTATAGACAACTAATAGTTAAAAGGAAAGTTATTTATTGTTTGGGAATGTTTTGATGTGAGTTGCTGAGATGTCTGACTTTCCTCTAATATAATGGAACTGGATGGAACTTGAACTGCGGTGCTCCAAGCTCCCCAGAAAAATAAATAAACACATATATAAAAGTGAAAGAACTGAGACATCTCTATGGCTGATATCTCCAACACTCAGTTACTCACTCCAAAGATTAATAAATAGCACTACAGGTAAGAGGAAAAATATGGTTTGGGGTGAAGTCAGGAGTTTCACCTCTGACAGTGACTTTGCGTTCCTTCCCGAGCATCATGTCGATCTGCAGGATGGCCTCTCCAATGGGCTTCTCTATCCCCGCGCCTGCAGAACACACCCACCACGTCACACATTAACATGATTAACAACATCTTTTTATTCTCATCCTGATCTTATTACCACTGCAGTGACCCACTTTCTTATCTTACATTATAGCTCTGAGCAAAGCTGCTAAAATCCCTTTCGTTACTGTAAAGAGTGATGGTAATAATGTGAGAAGTGGTTTGTGTTAAAGACACACTGCCGTATCTTGTACTGTTATAGTCGGCCTTTGATGAAGTGATAATTTTTTAAATTTACAGCATGAATTAAAACCCCAACACACAGCATGGGGCATCTGCTCTGCAGCGGGAAATGCTCAAGAAATATCTCTACAATTACATCACCACTCTTCGTTAATTAACAAGGAAACATGTGAAATACACTGCAACACTGTGTCTTGTTAGTTCATAGAGTAAAGCACATTTTCGCTGATGGTAATGTCCAAAAAGTACTTCGAAAAACGTTCGGTTTAACTTCTTGAACCTCTAATGTTTGGTTGTTACATTACATTAAATAACCTCAATTGTTTCCTGTAGAACCACAAATATCCGTATTTAAGTGTGAGGTGGACTCACCCCTGTCAGGTCGAATCTTCTCATTGCCCGTGATTCTGATGCCCATCCCATCATGCACTGGAGGACAGGAAAGAGCAGAATGGTTAAAGGAAAGCCTACATACTGTTCATGCTGTGAGTGTGTGTGTGTGTCTATGAACACCTTGGGAGTGCTGTGTGGTGACGAAGGTCTTGATGAGAGCATCTGTGCTCTGCGAGTAAAGGGAAAGGGCGTAACGCAGCGATGCCAGTTCAGGACTTTTCTCCACAAACGCCTTCTTCAGCCCGTTTCCTCCTGCGTGGAAGTATTGCTGGAAGAAAAAGAAAGCAAGCAGCGTGAAGGTGAGAAAATAATCCTTTTAGGTTGGAAGGATAGCTACAAGTATTTTATTATCACGAGAAGGCATTGATACTGTTACAGTAGACAGATCACACATAAGAATCACAAAAACAACATAAGGACATCCAAAGTTGAAGATAAGAAACTGTAAAAAAAACATGAAAAAAACTACATCTTAACTATAAACTGATTTAACACTAAAAGATAAGGACCACATCCTGAACAAAGACCATGACTGTGTCCGGGAGTATTCCAAATATGGTTAGTTCAAGCGACATACGATACGATACGATACGACACGACACAACACAACACGATACAATGCGATACGATACGATACGATACGATCAGATCAGATCAGATCAGATAAGATAAGATACGTTACGATATGATGATAAGATAAGATACGATACGATCAGATAAGATAAGATACGTTACGATAAGATCAGATAAGATAAGATAAGATGAGATATGTTACGATATGATGATAAGATAATATACGATACGATCAGATAAGATAAGATATGTTATGATAAGATCAGATAAGATAAGATGAGATATGTTACGATACGATGATAAGATATGATCAGATAAGATAAGATGAGATACGTTACGATACGTTGATAAGATATGATATGATAAGATACGTTATGATACGATAAGATAAGACAAGATAAAATAAGATAAGATAGGATACGATAAGATAAGATACGATCAGATAAGATAAGATAGGATAAGATACGATATGATACGATCAGATAAGATACGTTACGATACGATGATAAGATAAGATACGATACGATAAGATACGTTACGATGATAAAATAAGGTAAGATACGATATGATACGATACGATAAGATAAGATACGACAAGACAAGACAAGACAAGACAAGACACGACACGATAAGATAAGATACGATAAGATACGACAAGACAAGACAAGACAAGACAAGACACGACACGATAAGATACGATATGATAAGATAAGATACGACAAGACAAGACAAGACAAGACACGACAAGACACGACACGACACGACACGACACGATAAGATAAGATAAGATAAGATAAGATAAGATAAGATAAGATAAGATAAGATACGATACGATACGATACGATAAGATAAGATACGATACGATAAACCTTTGTTAATCCCCAGAGGGAAATTCAGGTGACACAGCAGCAAGTCTCATATATACTGTATATTGTCTTGTATTTAAATGGTAAGATGCCTTAAGGGAACAGTGTGTAGGATTTTGTGGCATCTATAGGTTAGGATTGCAGATTGCAAGCATCTGAAACTTCTCCCATGTTCCAAGTGTGGACTAAAAAATTAAAAACTAAAAAACTAAAAATTCAACTTTTTGTAGAGGCTCAGTTGAATATTGCAATAATAATGTGTGGTTATCACAAAATCCCAAGGCACACCTGGATTGGCATCACGGCACACCACTGTGCCGCAGCACACTATTTGAGAACCGCTGCACTAAAGAAAACATTATTGTTATATTATATTCCATTTCTGCCAATACATATCCCCCTAAATCCTACACACTGGACCTTTAACTGGAATGACATGAAAATAACTGCAGAGAGTTTAAATATACACAGGTATGTACAAGTACGTAATATACAGGAAGAAATTAAGTAACAGAATGAAATGTTAGTCTAAAGATTTTTCTTTTTCTGGTTAAAACATTTATATAAGAGCACCTCTGAGTACATTTCCTGGTTTATTCTGCTGAGTAGCTACATAGGTGTGTGTCACTTTTCCTAATAAAGCAGCATATCAAATCTGGTGGCAACATCTCACAGTTAAAAAGTGAAAGTATTGAGCATGCTGGAAATGTTTTTATATTTTGATAAAACAGCTGTTAGAAGTCTCAGTTTGTCCTGTTCATGAACGGTACAGAAAAAACATTACTTTTTACCCTCATCTTGCATTTTCTATAAAGCAAAATAAAAATCATATAAATGTCTCAAAATTGACCAGATTTTTTCCACACATTTTCCATGTTTTTCCTTGCCTGACATGTGACTGTGCAGGTCTCCACCCACCTTGATGGTCTCCAGCCCTGCGTCGATAATCACACACTGTTTGGGCGTCAAGGTTTTGGCTTCTCCACCTCCCTGCAGCAACAAGAGTTCACAGACTGATGTCAGATAAAATTTCCTCATAAGACCAACACTCAAAATAAATAAATAAAAATGAATCAGAAACTGGAAAAAACATGATTAAAGGTCTTTGTAATTTAGCATAGTTTTGAGTAGCCTGTTTGTGACAGTATGAATCCATTTAACAGACCAATGATCCCTCATCAGTACATCTACACTGACTGTTTTGGGTGACACGTTTCAGAGACTTCAACAGTAAAGGAGGGAAATACGTCTTCAATTTACTTTCAACATCCAGATTTTACCAAGTCTAACTAGTCTTCACACTGCCAGCTTTATGTACCGTCTTGCATGCTGCGTTAAAGGATACTTTAATACTTTGGTGAATCTAACTGACAGTTTACACATCAAACTCAAACAATAACACAAACTAACTAACTGATAGGCACTGACAGACCAGCAGCTGCCGAGTCTGGCTTTGAGGAGAGCATAGATAAATTTCACTTTCAGTTCAGTTCCACGTCGGACAGGGCTGTCTGTTTGAAATGTACTGAGCACACAGCTGGAAAAATGAGACCTGGATTACACTGCATGAGTTGTGTGAGAGTTTATAAACGGATGGTTTGGTTGATCTTTAGATCCTTTTATTGGTTAATAAAGCTCTTAATGGTCTTAGTTCTACCTATTTATCGTATGGACCCTCCAGAACCCTCAGGTCTTCTGGTAGTGGCCTTTTAATCATCCCCAAAGTTAGATCAAAAACCCACGGTCATTTCATAGTCATTTCATAACTATGGTCCACGTCTGTGGAACAGCCTTCCTGAAGACCTGAGGGCTGCAGAGAATTTTAATGTTTTTAAAAGCAAACTCAAGACCTACCTTTTTAGCCTGGCTTTTAATTGGACTTTATGTCTTTTTTTAATTTTGTATTTATTATTATTGTGTATTTATCTATTCCTATTAATCTGTTTTTTTTAGCTGGCATATTCTTCTGTTTTGGTACTTATCTATTCATTTATTTATTGACAGATTTAAAATTGTTTTTCTATTTTGAGTTTTTATCCTGCCTCTGGTGTTTCCCCACTTATGACAGTGTTTTGTTAGTTCCTCAGTATTCTTAAACTTGATGTAAACACTGCAGATACTGTGAAGCGAGGCAACAGAGAATTCACCTTCTCCATGAAATAAATTCCTTCTCTGTCAGTCCCATCATCCTCTGCTATTTTTATTAGTCTTTTATTGAGAGCCTCCTTATCTGCTGGTTTCACAGCCTCACAATGACAGACAGAAACAGTCTAAACAGCATTGTTAAAATCTGCTCTAAGATCACCATAGTGACACAGTGGGACTTGACCTTTTTGTGCAATCAGCAAATCCTCCAGAAAACCAGCCACAACTATTGTAGCTTCTTCTGGACGTGTTCTTGCAGGGAAATTTTCTCTGTTGCCGTCATGGCGTTGTTACGCTTTATCTTTATCTAAATTTTTATTTATTTATTTATTTTTTTATCTCTTTTATGATAATATGTCTATTTACGTTTATTATTTATAGATTCCTTTATTCCATTCAACTCTTTGGCATATTCTTTATTTATGTTTTTTTATTTTATTACTCATTTATTTATGTGTCTACATGTTACTCTATGTTGTGTTACAGTATGTGTGCAAGGCCACAAATTGCTCCTGGTGGGAATAATAAAGTTGTCTGTGTAAAACAGGCCAAGCCCTCTGCTTTTAGATGTTATGTGTATATGTGACGTGGTGTGGTGGCATTTGTTATAGGAGGCAAGACTCTCCTGCGTGTGTGTGGAAAAAGTAACGTAACCAAGCCGTCAAGTACAGCAGACACAGTGAAGTGCATGCTTTTCAGAAATGAAATTCTTATTATGGGCCCTTCAAAAGTCATGTTCATTTTGTCCACGAAAATGTGTTTGTGGGAACCCTGTGAACCACTTCAACAGCTTTCTTCTGCAAGAACTTGTGGTCTTTGTGGCCAATTTTAATTCTTCTAAATGTTTTGGTGGCAGTTTTGAAATAATTAATTCTATCAATAAGCCATTACGGGGTAAAAACACGTGTGAGGTAATTGCTTCTCTTGAGGCTCCGACTCTCTGCTCTGGCTTCAATAACAAACAACATGGCGAGGAGCAGCAAAACCAAAATCCAGGCTTTCAAATGTCCCTTCAGAAAAATAAAACTCCTTTTTCAACTCTCTGCGTGTGTTACCTTGAGATTAGACAGTCCTTTAGCTGCTGTGAGGAGCTGAGCACCCTGCAGAGGGGGAGGGGGAGGAGGAGGAGGAGGAGGAGAGAGAAAGAAGTGGATGAGGAGGGATTATATTGAGACTTCATATGACATTTTCATGCTTCATTGTACATCACAATTCTCTGTACAAAAGACAAAATGCAGTAATTCGACATGATTTACATATTTAAGGAAGAAATCAAAACTGGAACAAATCATGTTAAGATCATTCCAACATTTTGCAAAAGAGAAACACACCTGCAGACATCCACCACTAGGCGGAGGTAGAGCACAGCAGCTGACACTACTAGAATCCAATATACTGTAGATATACTACAGTGCCTTCCATTCATTCCCTTCTTCTGTTATAATCAACTTGCACAGACTTTGTTGACATATTTCATTCATTGAAAGTATGTTTAAAAAATTCATGAGCTTTGCTGTTTGAAGACACAACAACACACAAACATGGATGTTGAATGTGAATATGACTGTATGTAAATTCTCTTCGTGAGTTCTAAACTGTTGCTGTTCAGCGGCTGATTTTCAGATGTTACCAAAAAGAAGAGTTTTCAAAGACAGTCTGTGCCTGCTGCTCAATCACCACGGGACAAAAACATCATTTTGAAAAAGACATTACATGGAAATCAATGAAGAAAATAAACAAGATTGACTGATATTTGTAGTGAATGGGCAGACACATGCACAAATTTTGTCCTTTAATAACTGTGTGTGTTTTAATCTCCTTCGCTGTCCCCTGAATTCTCTCATCAGTATGTAAAGCTGGACTTGTGATGACTGTAAAGACATCTGACAGAAGAAGAGAAATACGGAATATGGATTACTCATTATGCAACTGCTTTTTCATTATCTTCTGTCTGTGCTTTTGTTCTTTTATCTTTGCGAGGACCAGTTTGAGACCTTATGATTGACATGTTTGCAGTAGAGGACTGGTTTTGACAAAGAAGAAAAATGTGTAGAATAAAATAGATGATGTCTCTGGTTCTGCTTTGTCGATTCTGATCCATTAAAAAAGAAGAAAAAATCCATAGTGAGTCTGACAATGATATGAGAATGCAGTGCTAAATTGGTGGAGAAGCCCACACTGTAACTAACTGCACTCCCTGAAGAAATATTTTCATATTTTTTGGAAATCATGATTCCAGAGAGAAGCAGACAGAGGGGTCTACAGTCTGTGTTTGAAGGATATATCCAGGATGTCAAATTGACTCAGCAGCAACAACAGGTTAAAAAGACAAAGATAGTTAAAAGCTAAAGCCGAACTATAGGCTACAGATCACAGTGTAAAAGTGAACCACCACATCACTGCTGATCGCCACACAAGACAATGAATATAAAGGGAATCTTTGCTGATACTGACCCAGCTGTGTGGCATCACAGTGTGTGCAGATGAACAGTGTTTGGCTTCAGCCCCTGTGCTGCTGCCAGCAGGGATCTCCGTGGGAAAACAAACAACGTTCATCCACGCACACTGTGATGACACACAGCTGGTTGAATATGAGCAAAGTTTCCCTGCTTCCCTTCACCGGTTCCTGTACAGCAGGGTCGCTCTTTGTTTCACTGTTATAATCATTAAAAAGCAAAAGCAGCATGTGTATACATTCAGTAGGCTGTATCTTCAGTAGCTAGCTAGCTAACCCTACACTTTTCAGGGTTTGATTTTGGTTTTGGAACAGAGAAGAAACATAAATCTTTTTCCAACCTATCCAGGTAACGAGTATCATTAATACACGACGTGCCCCAGGCACAACATTTAGCTCCAAATCCGCAAAACCAGCCTGAAAATGAAGGAAATCTGAAACGACTGCATTAGAGTCAATGGAGCACAGCTGTATTGTTGTCAGACACTGGTCTGAGCTGGCCTGATGCTACGTTATGATTGGCCAGTCTGCCTCCGAGGACGGGACTTAGCGAAGGGTCAGCTGGGTTTAGTTTAGAGATGGAGTTGGGGTAAGGCATGTAGTAGTGATGGTCAGGGTTCAGACTGTACGCACCAGGCTGTCATTGCTCTGAGGCAGGACGATGGTCTTCTCCAGGCTGCTCAGGACGATCTTCCACAGATCCTTCAGGATCCTCTTCAGCACCGTCTTCTCACAGATGTCAGCAAAGATACTGAGACTGCATCACACACAAACACCAAACATATGAGCTAAAACTTGTCTCGTCAAACTGTCTTGTACAGTGGTCATTGAAGGTATTAGTGCCCTAAATGCTGCACAAAGTAGTAAAATATGACACAATATAATGTTATAAGTTCAAATGGATTGTTTTGACTGGGGTTGGTGTTATTTTTTACATGAATGCACCTGACCTGTGTCTACAAAAAATAACTACCCACATGAGCCAACATGATATTTTTGAATGGTTCCAATCTGGCTTTTAGTACAAACACAGCACTGAGACTGCACGATTTTGGGTAGTGGTTCCCAACTGGCCCAGCCACAGGGTCCAGATTTCTCCTTAGTCATTAGTTCAAGGTCCACACAGTTGAATATTTTCAGTGTCATACTCGCATTAGGCCATGTCATTGAGCTAGTCTGCTGTCTCTGTCAAGTAGCTGTCCATTAGTCACTCACTCTACAGCAGAGAGACACACTTCAAAATAAAAGCTCTGTGGTGGAAATTTTCTATACTTGTAAATAAAGTGTGTTTTCTCACAAACTTGACATCTTTGTGAGTCACTTGCGGTCCATTCAGAACGGACCCGCGACCCGTCAGTTGATAACCATTGACTTAAGGTAACCAATTATCTCCGGCTTGCTGCTGATGCTGGTTTAGGGTCAGCCTTGATCCTACTTGACGTAAGTTCTGCTTTTGATAAAGCTGATTATAGCACCTTAATCTGCCACTGAGAGACACTGTAAGAGTTGCAGACACTGCTCTCAAATGGTTCATCTCCCATCTATCAGACAGAAAGTTTATGGTTACACTTAGTCATCTGTTGCCATTATGCACTATGGAGTACCTCAAGGCTCTGTTCTGGGTCCTCTTTTACTCTGTATTTACATGCTTCCTCTGGGCAGATTAATAATGAATCATAAACTCTCTTTCCATTGTTATGCAGATGACACTTGACTATATGTGTCTATAAAACTAGGATCACGTTTTTTACACTTTATCACTGGCTGTGAAAATCGCTCACATCACTGTACATTGAATGCTGCTGTATGTCCACAGACTCTCATTGTTTGGTCTTGGTATTAGTCTCTCCTTATGCTGGTTCCTTTTCATTTGTGTGCATACGTGTGCAAAAACCAAAATCAACATGGCCTGTGCTTTCACAACATTCTACAGATGTTGATCCCCAAAATTCGAACAGAACCAGGCAAAAAAACTTTTAAACACCCTGCCCTTTTTTTCTGGAATAATGTACAGAAGAAATTGTCAGAGCAGGTTTTTTTTGCACTTTGAACAATTTTTTGGGCAAAGATGTCTTGAATAAATAGTCTTCTTTTGCAATGATCTCATCATGTGGACCTTTTTGTGGCTCTCTAGCCCAGATAAATTGGTGTGCAAGACTTACCTTTGCCATCCTTTCTAGTTTGTTTGTTGTTCCAACCCACCCAAGATGAACTTTTTTGTTGCCCCGAGTAGGCGCAATTTCACAGCAGTCCCATGACTTTACATACGTGTGTAAAGACCAAAATCAACATGGACTATGCTTTCACAATGTTCTACAGATGTTGGTCCCAAAATTCGAAGAGAACTAAAAACAGCAAAAAAGCTTTTAAACACGCTGCCCCTTCTTCCTGAAATAATGTACAGACGGAGCAGAAATAGTCAGAGCTGATTACTATGGGGGTATTTAATGCAGTTTTAAAAAGATTGAACAAAAAAAAAAAATTGCACCCTCAGTCAGCGTTAATGTTCCTAAATTTTCCAATGAATTCGTTTTACCTGTTTATGTATCATCAGCTTTTTTCATTGCATTTTAACTGGATGTTGTTCTGTAACCCATTATTGGTAACATATTGTCCAAAATTGACCAAAATGTACTTGATGATCTTTACAGAACTACGCGAATGAGTTCATTCATTAAATTAGTGGTTTTATGAGTAACAGTAATTTACAGTAAAAGTCACTGATGCAGTCGTCTGCCAGCAGCTTACTGGACATCAGGAGTCACTGTGAGTGTGTCATGCTTCGACTTACTTCCCGTCCAAGAACTCCATGAGGGGCCTCAGCATGGTGTCAGCGTCTGCCTCTGCAGTGTTATGGTTGGGAGGGCCTTTGATCTGGTACAGGATCTCAGCCATCTGACGCATGCAGCCATTAATACGAGTCTGGAAACTGGAGAGAGAGGAGCCAGAGACAGAGACAGAGTTAGACGAGAAAACTTCTGCAGGGTTGACAGAGACTTGTTTTTCAGACATCCATGCAGTATGGTGTGTGTGTGTGTGTGTGTGTGTGTGTGTGAGTGTGCACCTTTTGGCAAACACAGTGCTGAAGTTGTCCAGGAAGGTGTTGAGCTTCACCTGCAGCTCATTGAGGATGTCAGCCGCCTCTGTATCCAGCTACAAAACACACAGAAATGAACAGGAGGAGAAAACAGGTTATTCAAAGCCTTTACCATCAGTTATATACAGCCACGACTGGAGAGCTGAAAAACTGAAAGGTCAACTTGATACAGCGGTTACAATGTCTGCCGCAACCTGACTACTACAGTGTAGGCACAGAACAACCATAAATTAAGGACACAAGCCACCTCACTCATGCTTTGTTCTCACTCCTTCCATCGAAACAATGCTACAGGAGCATCAAATCACACAACACCTGTCTCAGTAAACGCTTCTTTCCTCAGACAGTCAGGTTGCAGAACAGTTGACGCATCCATACACACTGCACTGTTGCTGTAATGTATCACTGTGTTGTATGTTCTCTAAATTCAAATTGTATGTAATGTTTACTGTTTGTTGTTGTCTAGGGATATGCACCCTTTGTGTAAGGCAGAGAGTGCCACAGAGCACAAGAATTGTCACTGTATACATGACAGTAAAGTTGAACTTGAGCATCCAGCTCCTCTTGAGTGAGGTTCACTTATTTACATTTTTTCTTGCAGTTTTCTTTTGGTGTTCTACCCCTCTTTATCTGTCTGTCTATCTGGCCCAGAAAGACCTGAAACACCTAAATATAACTCAGTAACACACACTGATTGGATTTTAATGTGAGAGCCATGTAAAGCAAAATAAGAATTTTACTTTTTTAAACTATACTAGGTCTATCAACAACTAGTATTTGTACACTGCTGCGAAGAATCTGCCTTTTATACAAACAAGACAACTAAAGTTTGCCTCTATGTGTATTAAAAACTGTGGTTCTCTATCTCAGCTGTGATTAACAACTAAAAACTAATATTAAATATTAGCATAATAATAGGGCCCTTAATACACACGAAGAGATGCAGCAGAGCAGGAGCCTCAATAACCAACTGTGTTTAAGTACAAAATTGTGCATATGCTCATTTCCACACAAAGAATCCTATGAATCTGTTCAATATGTTCAACTGTGTGGTCAAAAAATAACTATTACATCTGGGTAACACTGTATTTAATTGAGACAACTGTAAAAACAAAAAACATTTTTTAGTGAAACTTTTGAACATTTTTGGTTTAGCCGACTGTTATTTAGCTCAACATTGACCTTATTGTCATGATAACTGTGTTCTTTATCTTTGTCCGCTTCTCACGACAAGTAGTTCTGCATTTAAGGGACAGCTCTACCCTAAATCAAAAATGCATATTCTTCCCACTTACCTGTGGTGCTGTTCATCAGTCTAGATTGTTTTGGTGTGAGTTGCCGAATGTTGGGGATGTCAGCTGTAGAGATGTCTGCCTTCTCTCCAGTATAATGGAACCAGATAGCAGTCAGCTTGTGGTGCTCAAAGTACCAAAAAATGCATTTAAAAACTCAACAGCAATGTCTCTTACCAGAAATCATGACCCAGTTACTCAAGATAATTCATGGACCTTGTTGTGAGCAGTTTCATATAGGAACTATTTTCTCTCTATTGAACTACAACTGATAGCTGTATCACAGGGTAGAAGAAGGCATACATCTACTGCTAGCTCACCTAGGAGGATGCCATTAATATCTACATTTCATGCTGTTACGAGCACGAGCCTCTCACCCATGAGTAGATGCAAGCTTCCTTCCACGCAGTGATGCGACTGGAAGGTGTAGTTCAGTAGAGAGAAAACAGTTCCTACATTAAAAGTGCTCACAACAATGGATTATCTTGAGTAACTGGGTCACGATTTCTTGAAAGAGACATTAGTTTTTCAAATGAGCACCACAAGCCGAGTGCCATCTAGTTCCATTATATCAGAGAGAAGACAGACATCTCTACAGCCGATATCGCCAACACTCAGCAACTCACACCAAAACAATCTAAACTTATAAGAGGAAAAATATGCGCTTATGATTTGGGGTAGAACTGTCACTTTAATGTAGAACTAGTCGGCTAAACCAAAATGTTCACAAGTAGCTCTTTATAAATAAATAATAAACAATCTAGACTGATAAATAGCACTACAGGTAGGAAGGAAAATACATACTTTTGATTTTGGGGTGAACTGTTCGAGGCTATACCTCTCAAAAGGTTTTTCTTCACCGTATAAGACATTTTGGGGGCATATTTTTGTAAACAAGCCTGTTCATGCACAGGTAGATGGGTGTAAAATACCAGTAGGTGGGATTTAACCTTGTTTATTGCATGCTTGTGTGTATGCATGTTTAATAAACACAGACTTTTTGTGCATCAAGACATGCTTTGATAGATAAGGCCCAAGGTGTCTGACACACTGGATAGAAAGTCTTTGATTTGCTCTAGCAGGAGCACTGCAGATAGAACAAGACACAGCTGCGTCCGCTGGATATTAAGAGGTTACAGTCCAGTGTCTCTGTTGTAGGACAAGTGATGCAACTACAGCACACTCTGGAGTAATTGCACTTACATAAGCATAAATAACCAAAAGGTGGTTGTCTTGGTTGTGAGCTCTATTTCTGTGCTGCGAGTTGAAACTTTTCCAACAAACTCATGTTGAAGTTCCACAAATCAATATCAGCATCTCCTCGGTGCATTTTTGGATGTTTGAGCAGAGCTGTGCACACAGTTTGCAGCAAAATAAATATGTATGAAACCGTTCCGAACTGTGGTTGAAAAGGCAAACGTTACACAGTACATGTATTAGTGCAGGAATACATTTCGGGTGTGTAGATGAGTAAGAGTGTGTAACACCAGATTCATTTCTCTGTGTCAATGGATGAGACATTGTGACTACAGTGAGTCAGAGACACACACAGCGACTTACAGTATGAGTGATGTATACAGACCAGCAAACAGGAAAGAAGTGCTGACTGAAATGCAAATTGCAGAGATGGTGACTAAACAAGATTTTCAGCTGAGAAGAGTTTGTGGATTTAACAGGAGGCGAGCTCATTCATGCCTCTTCAAACCCATTCAACAGTGTGTGAAAAGAGCGCTTCAGGTTGTAAAGAGCACACCATTTCCCGAAGCTCAAAATATACCACAAGAGGCTGAATATGAAGTAAAAATAATTTTTTACATTGAGTGGAACTCATTTGACGGCAGGAGGCTGACATTCTTTATTCTGTTAACAGGCTCTTTGAGAGTAAAAAGCTGAAACTGGTGAATAATAACGTACAATAAACCTGGTGGGGAGCACAGTGAGGCTGGTGTTCAGGGCAGAAATAAGGAGGAAGCTGCTTTAGAATTGATCTAAAATTAGCTCTGACACTTACACACTGAGAATGTGGAGACTGTTTTCTGTGTATGCATTTTCAGCACTCAATAATCCATATTTGAAGGGACTCTGGGTTCCCTGTAGCTCACTTGGTAGATTTGACGTCCCATAAAGGCTATGTCTTTGTCACAGTGGCCACAGGTTCGATTTCAACCTGTGGCCCTTTGCTACATGTCAACCCCTCTTTTTCTCTCCCCCTTTCATGCTAAAAAACTGTCCCATCAAATAAAGAAAAGGGACTCAATGCAAAATTCAGTGTATGAGTTGTGTGGATACAGTTCTCAACCTAGCAGTGGCTGAGCTGACAGCTAGCAGCTAACATTGCTAACTCCATAAACAGTGGGGGAACCGTAGGGTGGCCGCTGCTCCTTCGTGACAATGATGTCCTGATATCAGTAACCACCGTATGCCTGCAGTGCAAAGTGGTTGCAAAGAGCTAACCAGCTGGATACACACATATACACATGCAAGTGCAGCCAGACCTCTTACCACAACCACCCACGAGAAGCTGGAATCGCAACACACGCACAAAGGTCACATTGCTTCATTCTCTGCTCAGGACACCATTATTTCACTGTATCTTTACATCAGTGGTTTGCTACTATATTAATGCCCTAAATGTCAATACAGAACCCTTTAGTAAGACGTGTGCATTGCCAGACAACAAGGACGCCACAAACTAGGGAACCTTCTCTGCAAATCTGACCGGCGACAACGTCAAAGAACCGCTGTAATAATTACAGTTAATTGTAAGCTAAGAGGTCAGACTCAGCTGCAAGCGCCGCTACACCTGTCAGGCATCTGATGTCCTCCAACCTTGGTTTACTTCAGCCCTGACTACACTGGCTGCAGGGAGGCCCCGGGGCCAAAATACACTGCAGACAGTCCACCTGCCTTTGTGGAAAGATTTTAATAGCTTTATTGTTCTGTTTTGTTTTGTCAGCCCTGCGTGATGCTGGAACTGGGACCCTGTTTGGCTGATTGTAAGTTCAGGCATGGAGATGAAGTTTGAAAAAGTGGATTATAGTTAAACATCCAGTTATCCTTGCTAATGCTAATCTTTCCTATTATTTAATTGTCTTTAATAAAAATGTCCTTTTTTTAAAAACACATTTCCTACTCTATATAGTGTGTGTCTTTGAAGACATTATAAACGACAAAGAAATAGGCATGCCATGGAGACAAAAACTTTACTAAAAGGACTTTGGGTTTAGTGGTTTTGATTCACTGAAGTTGTTTGAGGTTGACAGCACAATCCAACTTTTGAGTGCAGATCTGTCAGACTCTTATGACTCAGTTTCAGCCAATACTAGTGTGTGATCAGTGTGTCTTTATGGTTTTGAATGGTTTGCATTTAGACTCAAATAAATAAGGGTAAAATACAAAGAAGTGACAGTGACACAATGGGGCCAATGGAGCCAACTGCTGCTAAACCAGAAACCGTCTACTTTTGTCTTAAAATGATGACAAATTTTCAATGCATGCTGTATCATGCTGTGCATCATACAGATGTCTTTTTAGGTTTTATTTCCTTCCTTCACTCCTCCGCAGACACCATGAAAACTACAAAAAAGAAAAATCCCAAAAACAAGGTCTGAAATTCAAATCTCCCAATTACTTCTAGAGTCTCCCGAAAAATGTCAATACAGGCCACTTTACTGAATATTACAATCAGATACAAAACCAAATAAAGGTGCATTATTACCGTGTGCACCTCTTGGACCGTGCAGAATATTATTAATTTGGGGCCGTATGTACTTCCTTTGCAACCACGTCGGCTCCCTGCTCTGTAGCCACGTTGTCGCTCTCTGCCACCATACTGCCTCACCCCATAATTCAACACGTACGACCCCTGAACTCTAGACATGTGACCTATTACTCTAGATCAAAATAAACTTACATAAAGCACAATACATTTTGAACTGTGAATAATATTTAAAAGTGGTATGCTTTAAATTATTTTAAAATAAAGTTTCATGTGGACCACCTATTTCCTACATTTGAATCAGTTTTTAATGACAATGAATTCAAACATTGATGAAACTGTGACAGAAAATATGAAAATCATTTCAATTGAATTTCAGAACAAAATGTCCCTCAGATGGTTACACATGCCATGAATCTATCAAACATATCAAATACAGTTTTGGTGGACATCTGCATGCCAATATGATGATTAGGCTGCATTTGTGTAATAACAGCAAGAAAACCTCATGATTTTTTAGCTGAGTTGTTTTGTGATTAGTGTTAATATTGGATTTCAGATGTAACAGCCAGCGATGGTGCCTTTGCAGCCATTTTGCCACCGGTTTGTTGACACCTCTGCAGTTGTTTTCACCAAGAAGAAAGAAATTCACAATATCTCCAACAAGACAGAGGCTGCCATGAATATTTTTTCTCATTCAGTTGCTCGTAATTAAATTCTAAAGGGCATGAACAAAACGTTAAAGAATCCATATTCTTACTGTCAAAGTGCATCTTTCAGTGGTCATGCAGCATGCGGAACAAACTGGCCTTGAAGAGCCTGGTAATGGGCCTTCAATAAACCAGTAAGATACAGCCTGAGGCTCATTAGTATGCTGGACCTCAGGGATGCACCACATGTTACAAAAGCCAAGTGGCTAGACGATCAAACGATAAGACATCCCAAAGTGTCTTTGGGGAAAGTGTGCCATTGATAACTGTGTAACCGTGTTATTAGATAGAGGACGTTGGGCAAAGTGCCATAACATATAATTGGACTAAAAGAGGGTCGTGACTTTGAAGTGACAGTGTTTTAGTATCTTGAAATTTAATTGAGAAATGTTGAGTGAAGGAAAAAGTTTGGACTGTCCACTCTGCCTCCTTCTTGGTCTGAGTCCAAAAACGAAATGTACAGCTGTGTTTATGTGAACTGCAAGTGTCGAGCGTGGCCAAACATCTTTATGGGCTTTTGGAGGTGAGTGTGCACACGAGTGAGTGAGGTGTCCTTGAGAGATTAAAGAAAATACCGGGCAAAATCCTCTCCGATATAAGACATGAGGATGAATCAAGAGCTGTGGGATTGTAGATAAAACTAGTGCTTACAGTTTTGTACTTGGGATTCAAACCAGGCACTTTATGATCACATGCTCACTGTCATCCAGAAGAGCAACTGATTCTCTTTTCTTTTTCAGGTGAGTTATATTAAAAGACCAGTATCAATTTAAACTCATGATCCAGAATGTTTAAAGCAGTGGAGACAACTAACCTCTGTCAAAAAGAGAAAAAAGTAAACCTTCCTACAGCTTCAAAATGACCAACAGTTAATAGGAAAATACTTTGGCAGTTGATTTCACAAATCTTCACTCTGAATGAGAGGGTTAACACTACAACTGTGACAAAAATCAGCTATAAGACAAATAAAAAGACAAACAAAGAGCAAACATTTTAAGTATTACTGGGCAGATATAACTTCATCTTTTTTGTTCCTAAAGTCAACTTTATGGCTATGGTGTAGAGGAAAGATCACCTTCGGTACAGTTTGTAGCAGTGAAGCGAACCTGTCCAAGTGACAAATTTAGATTCTCTTCTTTGTGACACAGACACGCCAACATGCCGAAGAGCTGCTGGGTGATAGACTGAACCACTAACAACACTAGACAAATTCAAGTCTCCAGTTTTATATCATACCAGTAAAGGAATTGCGATGGAGAGCATGGCTGACGGCCATCAAGAGGGCTCAGGTAAACTCTGACTATAGAGTCAAGCAAAACAGACCCTGTTCGCCCATGTCAAATCACACTTATGTCTGCTCAACCCATTTCATAACAGGTGAGGATTTACAAATCTCATAAATGTAGCCTATAACAGTGACACTCCAAGCCCACGTGTTCTGTCTTGCATTTTGATGGTCATTACAGGCCAGTTGGCTAATGTTAAGTACTTAGCTCATACTCATACTCTACTCATTTTGTAAGGTAGCACAAAGGTAGTGGTATCATGTATAACCAGACAACCTAAGACATCATTAAAGGCCGCTCAGGGTGACTTTTCTTTCATATCTTGCCTTAGAATCACTAAAGAGGGCTTCAAAACAGTCAAACGCCATGTTCGCCTCAATACATGTCAATCAAAATATAACTCAAGGTTGTGAAATTCACCAGAAAGGACAAAAATATGAAGCTGACTCCTGATTTTGAGAATACACACACCCGCCAACAAAGATGGCGGCGATGTTGTCAAGTAATGTTGACTTCGGTAATGAAGGCATTTGTAACTAGGGGTGGGCGATATATATTGTTAACGATAATATCGTCATTGTTGTTTTAACGATGTGCAAATTTACGTTATCGAGTATGCAAATGACAAAAACAAAAACAACTTAAAACACACGTTGAAACCAGGTTGAAACCCCAAACATTCACTGAACAAGAGTTACGTAACTTGCGTGCAGCAGCACGCTGCAGTACGCCTAGGTGGTCACATGATCTCTCACTGGCACCTTCCCGGCAGGTCAGCCTGCTGCTAAACAAACATTAGCGAGACAATATAGCAACACCGCCCACGGATGCTCCAGCAGCTTCGGAAGACGTGGGTCAACTGTAGTGATAGGTCCCAGCCTGTCAGGCTAAAGTTCGCAGTACCGGAAGACCGTCTACGGAGCTACCTAGCCTAGCCACAGTTAGCTGAACGAAGCGGCAACATCGCCAGAAAAGTTCACCTTCAAGGCTGAAGACTGGCCTAAATGGATTAAACGCTTCGACAGATTCCGCATTGCTTCTGGATTGGAGACGCAAGCAGAAGAGATCGCCGGAATGTGATCTTTGAGAGAGTAAAGATTAATCAGCGGCTTCAAGAAACGGGCGACAGTTTCATTACGGCGCTGCACTGCCTGGCGGAGCACTGCAGTTACGGGGCTCTACATGATGAGATGGTGGGGGACAGGCTTGTGGTGAGTCTGCGGGACAAATGCCTATCTGAACAGTTGCAAATGGACCCGGAATTGACGCTACAAAAGGCCGTCACCAGAGTCAAACAGAGAGAGCAGGTAAAAAAGCAGCAAGAAATGTTAAGAACATTTTTCCATTAATGTCATCCATGAGAAACAATTAATGAGCTATAACGCAGGCTGTTAAAAACACATATTTAAAAGAATATCGTCTAATTATCGTTATCTTCAAAATCCCCCAAAATATCGAGATATTATTTTTTGTCCATATTGTACACCCCTATTTGTAACTAGCACTAGCATCACTTCTCATTTTTCTCATCTCATTTCAAGGTGACCCTACTCCCTTCCCATTGGCTCGCAGACCTGGGGTTGCCAGATGTGAGCACTGAAGTTGGACCCTTACAAAATGAGCTTATTTAAATGGTGCAAAACTGGCAATGTAATGATGAGCCGAGGTGCTGCTTCCATAATTGTTCAAGAGGTAACGTCAGTGTGTAAGACAACTGCTTGTTAAACCACAATTTCAAGTTCTATCCATGCTAAACACACAACATACAATAATTTGGACTGCACTTACATAGCGCTTTTCTAGTCTTTGGACTGCTCAGAGTGCTTTTACACTACATGTCACACTGGTGGCTGAGGCTACCATAAATAGTGCCACCTGCTACTCAGTAACCATTCACTTGCACTCACACACTGATGTAGTGGCCATTGGGAGCAGCTTGGGGTCAGTATCTTGCCCAAGGATACTTTGACAGGCGGACTGGAGGAGCTGGAGATTGAACTTCCAATCTTCTGATTAGTGGATGACCCACTTTACCACTGAGTCACAGGCGCCCCAATTTCCGCCTGCTTCTAGTGTTTATGCCCAGCTAGGTTAAAGATGTCCCAGAGGGGCAAACAGGCATATTTAACTGGAAGCAAATTAAAGGTAGCACAACTAGAGCTGTGGATTTTTGCAGTATTTTACTGTATCTTGAATTTACGCCTAGCTGGTCATCTTATTGGTTAAATAGGGAGGGCAGACACCAAAATCTTGTCCCAAATGTGGCTCCGCAAGCTTCCGTCCAAGCCAACACTTAGCATACAGCTACCTAGCTAACACTAAAATTCATGCTGCTCAATGAGTGATTGATTTGTTATCCATTAGATAATGTAGTAATGAGTTGCAGGACCGTTTTTTTTTTCCTCCAATTTTTTGGCCTCTAATATTACAAATTTGTAATCTAAATTTTATTGAAGGAGCAATCATATTCATGCAGAGTGCTATGAATTTTAGTTTTACCTTCTTAGACATAATAGTGTTTGCTCTGTTAACACAGTACAAATATTTTACATAAGCTTTTATGTAAATACTATCTCCTACAAGACTTCCAGCCTTAGGTGTGGATCATTTTAAAACATGCTCTTCAGAGGTATTACAAACTCTCAGTTCACTAGGTGCAATTTTTCAAGACTTTGGGGGGACAAAGGAAAATGAATGACTAAGAAGAAGAACTGCTTTTAATAACACAGACACCCATACATACACACATACACACACACACATACACACTCTCTCTTCACTAGAATCACAGCCTGAAATTAGAAGTGTCCTTTACAGGTAATACGTTTTGTCGGACTCTCTTATCTCTCTTCCACACAACTGTACCTTCTTTGTGGCAGCGGTGGCTTCGGTCTTCAAGGAAAGACAGAGAGGAAAAAATGACAAAAAAGAAAAGTAAAAAGAAACATAATGAACAAAAACTGCAACGTCACAGACACAGGATTGTACATTATGGTATGCAGCAGGTAAAAATAGTCCGAGGGTTTATTTTGGGTGGGTTTTAGTGATATTGTCTGGTGGATTGGGTGAAGGTGAGTGGGTGATTTTAATAAAAGCTTTATGTTTATTGCCTCTGGTTTACTGGGATGCTACAAGACAACGGGGAGAACTGACATCACCTGAAGAAGTCTCATGTTTTACTGCTTGTGTTCGCTACAGTGCTGCTGCACACTGACTTCATCCCAAGCAGGAATTATTGGGAGGAGAGTTAACTTATACAAAGAATGATCAGATACTTAGCTAACTGAGACAGATATTTCCTTTTACGTGTACTATACAGATGACTAAAGCTTATTTATGGCCCTGTAAGGCCTCTGATAAACTACCTTTTAGGGATGAACACACTTAACATAAGCAGCTACAACGAGAGGATTGTTTTTCATATTCTTTGCTGGGTACTTTGTGTAACTGGAAGAATAAACAGAATGTGGACTAGACGCCAGATGATGAATAGTCCCTTGCTGACTTTGGATGCAGCCAGCAGCAATCACCTAGTTGGCAGCTAATGGGGATCCTTTTAATAAATAAATAAATAAATAATGCACATGCAAATGTGTAGTTAAATACAAGTATATTAGCAGAATTTAATCTGTTGAAACTTATATTGTCAGAAAGTACAGTACAGGCCAAAAGTTTGGACACACCTTCTCATTCAATGCGTTTTCTTTATTTTCATGACTATTTACATTGTAGATTCTCACTGAAGGCATCAAAACTATGAATGAACACATGTGGAGTTATGTACTTAACAAAAAAAGGTGAAATAACTGAAAACATGTTTTATATTCTAGTTTCTTCAAAATAGCCACCCTTTGCTCTGATTACTGCTTTGCACACTCTTGGCAATCTCTCCATGAGCTTCAAGAGGTAGTCACCTGAAATGGTTTCCAATTCACAGGTGTGCCTTATCAGGGTTAATTAGTGGAATTTCTTGCTTTATCAATGGGGTTGGGACCATCAGTTGTGTTGTGCAGAAGTCAGGTTAATACACAGCCGACAGCCCTATTGGACAACTGTTAAAATTCATATTATGGCAAGAACCAATCAGCTAACTAAAGAAAAACGAGTGGCCATCATTACTTTAAGAAATGAAGGTCAGTCAGTCCGGAAAATTGCAAAAACTTTAAATGTGTCCCCAAGTGGAGTCGCAAAAACCATCAAGCGCTACAACGAAACTGGCACACATGAGGACCGACCCAGGAAAGGAAGACCAAGAGTCACCTCTGCTTCTGAGGATAAGTTCATCAGAGTCACCAGCCTCAGAAATGGCAAGTTAACAGCAGCTCAGATCAGAGACCAGATGAATGCCACACAGAGTTCTAGCAGCAGACCCATCTCTAGAACAACTGTTAAGAGGAGACTGCGCCAATCAGGCCTTCATGGTCAAATAGCTGCTAGGAAACCACTGCTAAGGAGAGGCAACAAGCAGAAGAGATTTGTTTGGGCCAAGAAACACAAGGAATGGACATTAGACCAGTGGAAATCTGTGCTTTGGTCTGATGAGTCCAAATTTGAGATCTTTGGTTCCAACCGCCGTGTCTTTGTGAGACGCAGAAAAGGTGAACGGATGGATTCCACATGCCTGGTTCCCACTGTGAAGCATGGAGGAGGAGGTGAGATGGTGTGGGGGTGTTTTGCTGGTGACACTGTTGGGGATTTATTCAAAATTGAAGGCACACTGAACCAGCATGGCTACCACAGCATCCTGCAGAGACATGCCATCCCATCCGGTTTGCGTTTAGTTGGACGATCATTTATTTTTCAACAGGACAATGACCCCAAACACACCTCCAGGCTGTGTAAGGGCTATTTGACCAAGAAGGAGAGTGATGGAGTGCTGCGGCAGATGACCTGGCCTCCACAGTCACCGGACCTGAACCCAATCCAGATGGCTTGGGGTGAGCTGGACCGCAGAGTGAAGGCAAAGGGGCCAACAAGTGATAAACACCTCTGGGAACTCCTTCAAGACTGTTGGAAAACCATTTCAGGTGACTACCTCTTGAAGCTCATGGAGAGAATGCCAAGAGTGTGCAAAGCAGTAATCAGAGCAAAGGGTGGCTATTTTGAAGAAACTAGAATATAAAACATGTTTTCAGTTATTTCACCTTTTTTTGTTAAGTACATAACTCCACATGTGTTCATTCATAGTTTTGATGCCTTCAGTGAGAATCTACAATGTAAATAGTCATGAAAATAAAGAAAACGCATTGAATGAGAAGGTGTGTCCAAACTTTTGGCCTGTACTGTACATAAAATATATAAAATATTACAGATATTAAAAATGCAATTCTCAATTTGTTTTAGCTCTAACAAAATTTCTAAATATTTCCAAGGAATTCCCCCAAATTTGGGATTGGCTTTATGGCTTCTTATCAGGCATTGTATTCAAATACACTCCACAGGGCTCTAAAAAGTAGTTTTGTTATGTCTCAGGCCGGCTCAGGTTTGCAATATTGATATTATCCAAATACTACCTGCAATATTAATGTGTATCAGTTTGACTGTGAGACAGGGATGTCTGTTGTGTCCACAGGCTAATAGTCTAAATTCAGGAGGTGCATTTAAATGGGAAATCAGAGGGAACAGCTCTACAAAGGAAAAATGGGGATGACTGTGACAAACAAACCTTGTTTACTTCCTCCTTTGACTAGTGAGAAAAAAAACAAAACAAAATGAAACATTAGACAACTGTCCTCTACGGTCATGTTTTCACCTCTTTCAACATGTGCCCTGCATGAATACAATGTATGCAGAGGGGAATGATAAGCCAACAATTTATATGTAACAAACACAGAAACAAAATGTCGAAGATCAAAGAAAAGAAGCTTCAACCTGGAAAGAGACAGAAATTGAATAAAGCTGTGCTGCCTTTGCCAATGGCCAAATCAAGTGTTTGGGCAAATGGGAGTGATTCTTTGAAATGGATTCTGGGAAAAGTCTGAGTCAACAGGGGCCGCGGACACAGAGCTACTGACACATGAACGGCTTTATTTGCCTCATACTCATCCTGAGACTCATAAACACACACAAGCAGGTACACAAATGGCCAAACATGGAACATAAATTTGCACGTCATTTGTCGAGGTGCAGCTACAGTTTTTAAACATGATTTGTACTCATGTATAAACAGTTAATACATTTAGTCTCATGTAGTCAGACTTATCTTTACAGCGCTGTGTCAGCACTAGAGACAGGTCTGGAATCACAGATTATCGTTCTTCTATAAGGGGAAAAACCCACTCTGGCTTGTTTGCATTTCTTTAAACCAATCACAATTATTTTGGGTGGCACTAAGGTTGGGATGCAGCGATGGTGCTCTTGCGAAATAGTGTCAGAGGGACGAACTTTGGTTGAACATTTGCACGTGATGAGGCAAGCACTGCCATTAAAATGGGTCCACAAAAAACATTAACGGACATATGTCATATGTCATATGTCATGATTCAACATTTAGTGATAGAGAAGACAAATATAATCTGATGATCGGGGCCTTAAAGGTAAAGCCTGCCTACACTGTAGCCCTGGAGGAACTTACTGGACCTGCTAAAACCCCCAGAGGATCTGGGGGCTGTATGTGACTCTTGCAGAACATTATTATGACGATATAACAAAAGCTCGTCACTAAAGTCACTAGATGCGCATCTAGAAGTATCGCATCAGAAAATTATGATGGAAACGCCAAAATTCAAATTAAAATCCCCTGATTCGCACAAACTAAAATACGCTCACTTTAGCCAGGTTTTGGTTGATTAAAAAAAATGTTGATTCACAAAAAAGGGGATGGAAACAGTTATGTTCGAATTAAGTCTGACGTAGCGCACCTCTCTCCATGGTGATATCCACACTCCGGGTCGGGAAGGCGGTACCGCATTTACAAGCTGGTTGCCAACCGCCAGAAAACGTAGAAGAAGAAGAATGTGAGACTTGTTTTGTTTCCAGTTCTGCGGAAAACTCACGCAAGTTCGTAGTTTTCACCAAAGTCTGTACATTTAATGGAAACACACAGGATTTGTATTTCTTTTAATGAACATTTCCCAATGATTCAAATCCCTTTTGGATGGAAACATAGCTACTGTCACTGGCACATGCTGCTGCCAGAGTTAAAATATGTTGCAAATCAAATTGGATTGGCTGTGTCAGAAAACAGATCAACATCAGGAACGAGAGTCCTGTGAGACAGCATCTGGGCTTTTCCAAATTGCCTTCACAAGCTGTTTTATATGTATAGATCAGGGGTGTCAAACATACGACCTGCGGGCCTGAACCAGCCCACCAAAGGGTCCAATCTGATCCACTGAATGACTTTGCTTGGTATAAAAATTGCAGAGAAGTCATTAATTCCAATTTTTCAGTGAAATGATCTGCTATTCCTACTTGTCAAAATGAACCAGTCCCTATTTCTGCACAGAGGTAAATGGGACGCCAGTGAGCTTGGTGTGCTCAAGGAATATTACATTCAGCACCACTATCAAACTCATCGCACCGAAAATACAACAACTTGTAAAAAACAACTAAGAACAGAGAGGATAAATTAATTGTTGGCAGGTTTGAGGAAACATAAGTCTGGTTTGAATTACAGCCAAGAGATCAGCACTGCAGCTGTGAAAGCTAGCTTAATTATTGCTAACGAAATAGCATCTGCACCAAAGCCACACTCTGAGGGTGAGTTTCAGACATATTGTTGAAATTGCACTTATTTTTCTTTCAGCCTTCATCTCAGGCTGTTCATCACTATTTTTGTAAATGGACTGTTCATTAATCTTTGTCAGAATGAGAGCTAAGTGTAAAATGAGTCTGACACCCCTGGTTTAGATCTTTACAACAACTGACAGAAAGAATAGAGCAGGCATGCCTTATTGCATGATCCAAATCTTCATCAATACTTGCCATTATCAGTGTGTAAGTTATTAGCTTGGAGGTTGTTGTTTTCCAATAGCTGAGGGGATTTGGAAATAGTGACAGTAAATATTACCTTTTTGCTGTCTTTTGTTTGGACTCTGTCAAAGTCTGTTTGCACTGACAAGCTTTCATTTTTCAGGTGCTCCGCTCTCCATTCGATAGATTCAATATGCCATTCGATAGAAAAGCTTCTGCTGGGACCTCAGAATTTGTTTTGTTGCAAACTATTAATTGAACTTACAGTAAAAGAATCTTTTCTTGCTGCTTCTGAATGTTCATTTTTAGTTCTGATGCCTTTACTGGCTTCCTTTTCTATGTGTGACAGTCTTTATAATAATTAGTCAGTACATGCAAAGTGATCATTAGGCCTTCAGTCAAAGTGGGCAAGACATCAAACAGCAATAGAAATCATGAATGTGGGACAAACTTGAGAAAGATGCGTAGCACAGGACCCTTTATTAGAGCTGTCATTGAAGCTTTAAATCCCTACTTGTACTTGTCTGCACTTGTTGATCACAAGATTTCTAAAATAAGGGTGATTATCTGCTTCTGGAGCACCCACCTGTTTGCTCTTAGTGTCCTCCTTGGGGGAAAGGCAAGAAAGGAAATGTATGAAAAGAAAGCCAACACTTCTGATCTCTCTTTTTCTAACACACACACACATTTTCTATTGAACTAGATTTAAAAACTGAATTGAATTGCAATAAAATAGAGGGTAAATGAGTGCATTCAAAATGACTAAAAACACCAGACGTTCAGGGAATATTACGGGGGAATGGGAGCAAATCTGAATAGATTTAGAGGAAAGGAGTATTGGAGACACTCTGGCAGAAAGAGGAGGTGAAGGACAAGAACAAACCAACCTGCTTCTCTTTGTCTTTCTTTTCAGCCTGCAGGGACACACAGTTGTGAGTGAGCTATGCTGACATGCTAGAAGAACCACTACACATGTTCACACACACACATTCATGAAGACTCTGACATCGCAACAGTAACACTCTTTGTGCCACTTTTATTAGGTTCACCTTCACTGTTAGCCCTAACTCCCTCCAGACAGTGACTCATATAATAATAAAGCTTATTGTTCCTTCCAGGTGAGACCCTCCTCGGTCCAGTTTTGCTGATTCTCAGACTTTATATCCAGCTTGGAGGCTCATATCTCCCTCTGAGGTGTGATAAAAACTTGGCTAAAAACTATTCTTAATATTTTGAGGGTACAAGCGTGATGCAGAGAGCATACGCAGGGTTTAGACCTTCAGATAGTGTCCGGATAAACATTATCAGACCACTTTGAACACGGATCATTAGGATCATTAACACCAGGCATGCTGGCAGCCGACCCACACTTCTGCAGTCTGCAGTCCTTTCAATCACCAAATCATTTCACTAATGACCTGCTCCTTTCTGTGCTCAAAGGTGTGGTAATGAGAAAATAGTTAAAACGAAAACCTGCAGACTCCTGTTTCTCTGTGGCAAATAATTGGCACTACTTTGGACCAAAACAACTTCTACTACAGCCACATAGGGAGAACATACAGCAGGGCTGACCCAAATGCTTCAACGCTTCGATCGTTGCCATAGTAATTGATGTAGAAATCAGTGTTCAAATGATGGATTTTTCTATACCATTACCCCCAAAATCCCAAATAGCTCATGAATTAAGAAACAGTAATCCAACATAACTCATCATGCATCAACAGTGACTATTAGCTAGTCACAGACAGATGATAGTTAAACTTAGTGATAGGCCTAGTTGTGAACACGACAGACCTGTGATTGACTAGATCTGCTGGCATAATGTCTAAAAAGTCAAGCTTCTGGAATCCTGACAAAATTTACAAAAATGACCCCCACACCCCCGAAGCTTCGATTAATCAGGGATATTTCTTACTGAAGCTTTGATACCCAAGAAGTGATATTCGAGACAGACCTAATGTACAGCAAGCAGGTCAAATGAACCTCAGTTCACTTCCCAATAATGAGGGCTGGGCAATAAATCGATATTATATCGATATTATGATATAAGACTAGATATCGTCTTAGATTTTGGATTTTGTAATACTCTTCCTGGGTTTTAAAGGCTACTTTACAGTAAAATGCTGCTATTTTCTGAACTTGCTAGACGGTTTTAGCTGTTCTTTTATTTGCTTTTACTCACTTAAGCCCTATTCGGACGGGATTATTTGACATGGAGACGTGGGGTAAAGTAATTATTACCAGGGATTTTAGTCCCGTGCAAACGCACCATGTCTGTAATCATTACGGATAATGTCAGTAAAACTTACGGCGACTTTTACCTTCTGTAAAACGGTCCGGAGAAAATACCTTGGGTAATATTAATCCCGTGCGAACACGATCCTCAGTAAAAATGTATGTAAATATTTTGTCACGTCCTGTTCACAACTATTTTTACGCGTTTTTTCGATGATGGAGGCACTTGAAGAAGCATTCGGTGTTGTCAGCAGTCATGATAGTGGACATTCTTCTAATGATCGCATAGCCCTACGTGGGAGACCAATCAAAGAGGTCAAGAAGAAAGCACTTTTCAGAGCCACGAGACTTCTGGTTGTGTTAGTAGGCCTAATATAAATCCATATTGCTAATCGTTGTGTACACATACAGGAAGCAACGTAGCACGCACATGCTGACAGGGAGGTGACGCCAGGGTGCAAACCGCATCACCACTCCCATCTCTGGTAGAATTACAGAGATTTCTTGTCCCGTGTGGATCGGACATTTATATTACAGACATCCTGTGGTAAACTGACATTAGTCCACATCCCTATGTAAAACTAATCCTGTCCGAACAGTACTTTAGTCATTATATCCACATTACTGACAATTATTTACTAAACATCACATTGTATAAATATTTTGTGGGAGCACTATAGTCAACTTTACAATATCGTCGCAATATTGATAGCAAGATATCTGATCAAAAGAATGCTTAGTTTGCACCATAGCTTACAGAGTCTATGGTTTGCACACACACACAGCTTAGTTGTAAACACACCTTTTCCTTCATGGACTCAGACTAGGAAAAAAAACGGGACAAAAAGAGATAATATGATGTTAATAAAATAAAAAGAAACACAAACATTCATCATTAACTATCAAAGGGAACATGAGGGTCTTTGTCTGGTGGCTCACCTTTTCCTTATCAAGCTTTTGGACAAAGAAAAGAATAAAACAAAGACGTTAAAGACAGAAAACAACAAACAAAAGGCATGTGGACATTAATGGAGCTGTAATCTGACAAGGAAAAAAATTGGAAACATGAACACAAACAGTATACACACGCAGACACACACACACACACACACACACACACACACACACACACACACAGCAAGGAGAATGGAGGATCTAGTCAACCACATGTTAGGATATCAGTTAGTTCTGAGATGACAGGCGGCAGAGGAGGAGAGGTTAGTCATGGAAAATGTTGGAGGAACCTATCTTAAAGAAAGCAAACCTTCTCCTGCTCCTCCTCACTGTCATCATAGTCTGAGGACTCGTCCTACAGGAGGACAGATGGCAAACAACTTAATGTAGACACACACTAAAACATCCAGTAAAATTCATCAAAGTAAAACGCTTATATAACCGACAAAGCTCTACTTTCTCAGGACTAATTAAGTTTTAGGAGAAAATATGTGCCCAGTGATGAATATTAAAGCTTAATTGCATATCAGTGTTACACTGTGTTTTCCAAGTGCCTTTGTTGTCTCCTCGTTTTGAATAGAGACACGCTGTTGTGTTCACAACAGCTGTCAGAGCTCCGCATTTTCTTTTTAGTACCCAAAGTTTAAAATATCTCAACTTTTTGTTCCCAACTTCAACCAGAGTAACAGCAGGCACCATGAAGCACCCAGCTCTTCCCTGGAGCATCTCTTTAGTGCTGTTGGCTGTAAAAAGAGATGTCTGGTGGAAACAGGCATTTAATTCTACAACAAGATGCTAATCTGCAGTGTCATTAGGCGACTGTTAGAGACCAGCGACAGAACCCAGGGACCTGCTTGTGCTGAAGTCAGAGCAAAAGCAGCATTCACAGTTTCACCTGTGATGTTGTCGTAATGAATCAACTAAATATTCTGTATGCAATCAGTATTTAAAGCTTCAGCTGGTGGCATTTTTATACAATAACATGGCTTATCGCTGCAAAACATGAAATCAAACAACACCTAAGGCCTTGTCCACATCTACAGATATTTTTTAATGTCTTTCATCCACATGCTGCATTTTAGGTCACTGATAACTGACCTTTTGTAAAACTCTGTTTTCAGAGTTGACGTATCGACGGAAAACAGCATTTTTGGCTTGTGACATCAAACTGCACACCGTTATCTCCTTTGTGAAGCATTACAACGAGGCGACATTTCGTGCAATGGCGGACGTGACCAAAATATTGGAAACATTATTTTACAAACTGCAAGTACATTTACAGTACAGGCCAAAAGTTTGGACACACCTTCTCATTCAATGCGTTTTCTTTATTTTCATGACTATTTAGATTGTAGATTCTCACTGAAGGCATCAAAACTATGAATGAACACATGTGGAGTTATGTACTTAACAAAAAAAGGTGAAATAACTGAAAACATGTTTTATATTCTAGTTTCTTCAAAATAGCCACCCTTTGCTCTGATTACTGCTTTGCACACTCTTGGCATTCTCTCCATGAGCTTCAAGAGGTAGTCACCTGAAATGGTTTCCACTTCACAGGTGTGCCTTATCAGGGTTAATTAGTGGAATTTCTTGCTTTATCAATGGGGTTGGGACCATCAGTTGTGTTGTGCAGAAGTCAGGTTAATACACAGCCGACAGCCCTATTGGACAACTGTTAAAATTCATATTATGGCAAGAACCAATCAGCTAACTAAAGAAAAACGAGTGGCCATCATTACTTTAAGAAATGAAGGTCAGTCAGTCCAGAAAATTGCAAAAACTTTAAATGTGTCCCCAAGTGGAGTCGCAAAAACCATCAAGCGCTACAACGAAACTGGCACACATGAGGACCGACCCAGGAAAGGAAGACCAAGAGTCACCTCTGCTTCTGAGGATAAGTTCATCCGAGTCACCAGCCTCAGAAATGGCAAGTTAACAGCAGCTCAGATCAGAGACCAGATGAATGCCACACAGAGTTCTAGCAGCAGACCCATCTCTAGAACAACTGTTAAGAGGAGACTGCGCGAATCAGGCCTTCATGGTCAAATAGCTGCTAGGAAACCACTGCTAAGGAGAGGCAACAAGCAGAAGAGATTTGTTTGGGCCAAGAAACACAAGGAATGGACATTAGAGCAGTGGAAATCTGTGCTTTGGTCTGATGAGTCCAAATTTGAGATCTTTGGTTCCAACCGCCGTGTCTTTGTGAGACGCAGAAAAGGTGAACGGATGGATTCCACATGCCTGGTTCCCACTGTGAAGCATGGAGGAGGAGGTGTGATGGTGTGGGGGTGTTTTGCTGGTGACACTGTTGGGGATTTATTCAAAATTGAAGGCACACTGAACCAGCATGGCTACCACAGCATCCTGCAGCGACATGCCATCCCATCCGGTTTGCGTTTAGTTGGACGATCATTTATTTTTCAACAGGACAATGACCCCAAACACACCTCCAGGCTGTGTAAGGGCTATTTGACCAAGAAGGAGAGTGATGGAGTGCTGCGGCAGATGACCTGGCCTCCACAGTCACCGGACCTGAAACCAATCGAGATGGTTTGGGGTGAGCTGGACCGCAGAGTGAAGGCAAAGGGGCCAACAAGTGCTAAACACCTCTGGGAACTCCTTCAAGACTGTTGGAAAACCATTTCAGGTGACTACCTCTTGAAGCTCATGGAGAGAATGCCAAGAGTGTGCAAAGCAGTAATCAGAGCAAAGGGTGGCTATTTTGAAGAAACTAGAATATAAAACATGTTTTCAGTTATTTCACCTTTTTTTGTTAAGTACATAACTCCACATGTGTTCATTCATAGTTTTGATGCCTTCAGTGAGAATCTACAATGTAAATAGTCATGAAAATAAAGAAAACGCATTGAATGAGAAGGTGTGTCCAAACTTTTGGCCTGTACTGTACATGATTACACATAAATGCACAGTTACTCTTCCACTATACTGACGGACAGAGGGGTCAGAATGTGCGACTGCTCCAGGCAGCCTGCGGGTAACAGCTTTTTCCAGGTAACTGATTGGCCAACATCATCTTCTTCTTTGTGTGTTTAGACCAGTTCAGACCAAAGATTTGCGATGAGAAGAGTTGAAACAAGAAACTACTTCCAATGCGCCGTTCTGCAACGTTCTAAAAACCTGCCGGCTCACACCAATGCAACTAGATGAGATGGTGTATCATCACTATGCAACAACTCTCTGTACTTCTGTTCTGATTTGCAGCTTTTCAGGCTGATTTTGTGGCTGGATATAATTTGTAGCTTCTTAAAATGTGAATGTGGATAGTGATAGTGAGATACTAGCAACAGCTGGCTACTTTAAATGGTGGAAAAATCCTAGCCTGGTGAAACCATCCTGATCTCACAAGCTCATATTCTATTTCGCTCCGCAGATTAGTCTGGCCATGGAGTCATAAACGCGAATTCTGGCATCGGTTTTGGCTTACCGGGCCAATCACAACCGTGTATTACTTTGGGGCGGGTTATCTGAAATCACGTCATCAGAACAGGAAGGACAAGGGGTGAATGCATTTCGTAAACAACCAACATGGCTACTGATTTTGAAACTGCGATGGTAAAGGTGTTGAACGAACTGGAATGTACATTTTCTCTAAAAGCAGAGCAAACGGCTGCACTGAAAGCTTTTATTGAAAAAAAGGATGTGTTTGCCGTCCTTCCTACGGGGTTTGGTAAAAGTTTAATTTACCAACTGGCTCCGCTGATCGGGAAAAAGATGGGACTCAGTGAAAACCCAGCGGCTATTGCTGTTTCTCCGCTAGTTGCTCTCATGGAGGAGCAGGTCAGGGAAGCGACCAAGCTGGGAATCAGAGCCATGCAACTCAGAGTCCACAGTGAGGAGGAAATCCGCAAAGATGGCAATACTCTTTCCCAGACATCATCACAGCTAATCTCCGCTGCAGCTTGCTGGTCTGTTTACAGTGGCGTTGTGCTAGCCTACGTCACACGTTTAGTTTACTCTGATTGGTTTTCCATCTTTTCAATTGCGTGAAGGGGCACTTTGAGTGACAGCCGTTGATACCGCCCCTCGGGAATAGAGGAAATGTACACTCCGTGTCCAGACCCATTCGCGTTTTGCAAATTGGGTCTGGCAACACCAGGCTAGAAAAATCCTGCCTTACAAAAATACCAGTGTACATGTCAACTAGGCCTTAGATTCAACCTTGTTTTCCCAAATGAGTATTGTGTTCTTTTATTTTTGTTTTTCTCATTGTTTGATTTAATTTGCCTCAGTGCAATCATCAGGGCAGTTTGCTGACAATATCGTTTATCTGTTTCATTGTTGGTATTTCTCTTTATTGTGTTTGTTCTTTGTCTTTTTCTATTTCTTAAAAGTGACAGATTTTATTTGCCTAAATCCTGCATCTTTTAAAATCAGTGTTCAACCACGTAAAGCACTTTGTAACTTAATTTCTCCTGACCCTTGGCTGCTCCTGGTCTCTTGGACGCCTAGCAGGTTCATAATTGTATGGTTGTAGTCCATCATATGTATATGAAAATACATTATTGACCTCCTCTGTCGCAAAACTAGCATTTTCATTCATATTTGCCATTGTTTAATTTGGCTGCTTTCCCCTTGTTACGTCACATCCGGCTGGGCATTTCTTGATGCGGAAGTAAAAATTACTCATAACAGCGAAACTAGGTGTCGCTGTATTGTAAATTTATGTATATTTCTTTTAAAGTCTAGTGTCTATATCATTTCCAAAAAAAACCTGATTCACTGGGGGCTCTAACATGCAAGTTGGTCTTAAAAAATAGTGTTGCTTACTATCATTATTATTATTTTTATTACATTAATATAAGTTGAATAATGTCACTGGTGGGATAAATTCTCTGCCTAAGCTTCAAAAAGTTAGATTCTAATATTATTCGGTTTCAAAGATTGGCTGGGTTTGCTCGAATTTAAGTTTATTAACAGCCTTTCAAGGTCACGTCAGTTCGCCTTGTGCAGCTTTTAATATGATGAGACTTCCAATAATGTCTTCTCTTCTACTCAATACTGAGTGTGTAGATGAAGCTTGCAGTTTGATATTTGGAAACGATTTGACTTCAGTTTGGTAAAAAAAAAAGAACATAAACAACACAGAGGTGAGTCTAGTTCACAACATCAACACACAAAACACAAAGTTCCTGTTGCACCAAGGCCTGACTTCAAGCTTACTGACAAACATCACAACACTGGGCCTGACAAACCAACCTTGTTCTCCTTTTCTTTGTTGTCAGCCTACAGTGAGGGCAGACAGGACAGGACAGGACAGGACAAGACAGGACAAGCAGTACAGCATTAGCACTGTGCCTTTTTGCAAAAAATAATATCATGATGTTTTCTAACAACACGGCCCCTAAAATCCAACATATTTCTGAATTTCCTCACTGGCAAGAGCTCTGCTTTAAATTCAAATATACAGAAGTGTGCTCATGTGACGATTTGAGTAAAAAAACAGCCATCAGCAGCTGTATGATTGAAGCGTGTTTGAGAATGCACAAGAGCAAGAAACAGAAAACACAAACTTAATTTTAGAACAGACCTACTGAGTGAGGCTGTGCTGCTCAACAGTTTGCACACACACACTCTGCTTTTGTTACTTGTGAGGACTCAGTATTTACTTCAAATATCCATTAACCATAGCAACCAAGACTTAAAATAAATGATCTGCCTTGTGGGGGCTTTTTGTCCTCACAGCATGATCAATAAAACATACACCCTATCCATAATTCCTGTGTTTGCATTCCCTTGTTTCTAACCCTAACTCTAACCATCATGACATCTAATCCCAACCTTTAACCTAAACCTAACTCTGACCTTAACCCCTAAAACCAAGTCTTAACTCTTCACAGGAATCATACAAAGTGTCTTCACTCCAAGTCCAGAATTGTATCTACCAAAGCCAGACAAACAGTACGAGAGCATACGTAGATCTTCCAGTCTTTAACTGCGGAGATAATGGCACGCCGTCTTAAAGGTTCACAGACTTTTCAAATCTGTCTGAAACAGCAGTCAGGAGTCGTTACGAACATTAAAACAGGTTTGTCTTGCTGTGAGCTTTCCTCTTGTTCACACAGACCATTAAGAGATCTCTTTCTAAAATGATTTCAGTGTAGGTGACAGAGGACAAAATCCACAGTCCTCTTTTTGTGCAGAAATATATCCAAAGTTTATTTGAAGCTTCAGTTGTCCAAGTTGGACAAGTGATGTCACGTCCTGTCCAGGATAGTTAAGTTTACCTTTTTGTTCTCCTCATGTTTCAGTGTCTTGTACTTCCTGTTTTATGCCGATGATCAACTGTTGTCTTGTTTCAGGTCCCTCATTTTTCTGCCCGTGTGTATTTCCCTCCTGTGTGATTACCTGCCCCGCCCTTATGTGTTGCACCTGTGTCTCATAGTCTCCCTTTCCTTGGGGTGCTTCAGACCTAGAGCTCACTTGCTTAGATTTGAATTTTGTTACAAATTTGCATAACTGCCTAAAGTTGGTTCGTGTTCTCACGGCAGCATTTACAAGTGGACCAGATTAAATGCCTGTGTGAGAAAGCTGCTTTTGATTGGTCGGAATTTCCATGTGGGTAAAATCCAGGAAGTAAAGCAAACGTTGAAGAAGAGTACACTTGCAAGATAAATGTGACACTTTCTAATGTCACAATGGAGGGACAACTACGCAGGTTGATTTTAGCGCTGCTCATCGTGGACTATATTGCTGTCATTGTTCATTTTAGTCAAACCATACAGTTTGAAAACGAGGCGCGGCTCCAACTAGAAAACAATGTTTTGATGCATTGGATGTGCTGAATGTGCATATTAAGGCAGTACAGGAGGAGGTGCACATTAATAATCCTCCAGGACTGTAACATGCTCATGTTTAACCCAAACAATGCGTCATGTGACTGCAGTTGGTTCAAATCCAGGTCGGAACACCTTCTCACCACAAACCTAGTTTTCATTAAAAGGACCAATTGTTTGAACTTTCTTGTTGGAATTTCTTGTTTTTGTTTTGACTGTTGACTGCAGAGCTAATTTCATAGTAGAAAGAGCATAAGATTGGAATTTATCCACTAGTGAAGTCTCAAATTAGCTTCAAATAAACTTTGAAATATATTATTGCAAGGACTGTGGATTTTGTCTCCCATCACTTAACATAAGAGGGCACTGAAAAGGGATATTTTAATGGCCATTATGGACTGGAGGAAGGCTAAATGAAAGCAAAAAACTGTTTTAATGTTCATATGAGCACTTGACTATTATTTTAAGACAGCCTTAAGGCTCCCAGGCCCACACTGCCACACTGTAAATTCGCCCTTACTTTCACACATTTAAATTAAACTATAAAGCAGCACAGAAGACCAACATTAAAAAACACTGAAACTCAGGGAGCATCCGAAGCTCCCCTTCTACAAACAGCTCCTTTATGAGGGAAGTCTTGAAAAGAATATTACCATTCCTTTTAAATGTTTCAACTAGCACATGAGGACAGCATCAATTAAGGAGCATGACAGGTTTTGAATAAATTCAGTCAGTTCCAATTAAATTGGCCAAAATACATTTATGAAACTAAGATTGTTTTGTAAAAAAAAAAAAAAGTCCTTACAGAACATTCCACTGCTGTGAGTCCACTTTTTATAACCAGTTACAATCATATATACATATACCGCCATACAAAAAAAAGATCCTCGCCTGCAACAATACCAGAGAAGAAGCATGTGTATGTCCTCACTACAACATCATCATTTAACATCTGTTAAGATAAGAGCAGCTTCAGCCATTAACCAGCACAGCTGAGACTCTGCCACACTTTATCTCTCCTCACCCTCTGCTCCGACTCTGACTCTCCTCCTCCCTGACACGCCACAGACCCCCCGCAGTCACCTGACAAACTCAACCATTTCAAGAAGCCATTTAGCGGCGGCTAAATACAACATTTCTACACACTATCAAATTCAATTATCTGGCAGCCCACTGTCTAGTCTATTAAGCACTCACTAGAGGAGGGAGGCTGTGTTAGCGCCCAGCTGTAAATGTGTTAAGAGCTTTGCTAGCATGTGGTGCTCGAGCCTTTATTGACATTTTAGCATCAGGGATATGGAGGGGTTTATCAGCTGTGCTCAGAGACAAGCAGCTGGGGGGTTCAAGGGGGTAATTGACACTTTATCATCCCATTTTAAAATGTGTTAAAAATGTTTTCCTGTGATCTTGGACACTTTATGTTTGTGATCTGACACTTGCGCATACTCACACTGTGCAGTTATGCTTTATATCTATCATTATATAATTATACTACGTCATATATTTATATCACTCTGGCAGGCCCAGTTTCAAGAGGGTAAAGTTGGCATTGTGCATTTCTGCAAACCACAGATACGTTACATTTGAACACTTCACACATATCATATCCTCCTGAGACACATTTTGGGTTTACGTGTCCTTATACTTCATTCTACTTTCACTCAGACCTGTTGTCCTCATTCATGGACACCTTTATGTGCCATCTGGTGGTAGTAAGCGCACAAAACACTAATCCATGTCAAAACAAGATGGCAGCCATCTCTGCCAAGTCAGTCTGGCAACAAATTTGACCAATTTTATCAACAGTAAGACACTGTTAATTAGGAAGTGGTAATTAGTGGTATTTTAAGCCAAACAGTTTTTGTTTCCGAACCATAACCTTGTGCCTAAACTTAACCACACCTTAACCACAGCGTTGTAACTTGTGACTACTTGTGCTCCAAGTCATGACCTGAGATCCTCAAGCCTACCTTCACCAGTCGTCCCTAAATCAAGGCTGGTAACTAAAGGTGACCGGGCCTTTGCTATCAAGGCCCTGCGGCTCTGGAATTCTCTGTCTGAGGAGATTAGGCAGGCTAGCACATTACCCGTTTTGTGCTTTATTTCCTTTTGTTCTGTTTTTGCCTCTGTACACACTATTTTTCGTAGCTCTTTCACATCTATGGGAGCACCCACAATCCCATTTGCATATCTATTTTTAAATGCAGGTAGAATTGCAACCAAATAGGCATATAAAACTGGAGGAGTTACACTAACATATCATGCATTCATCGTGTCCCAAAGCGCTGTTTTCTTGCACTAATGGGTTCGTAGAAATCCCAGGCAGTTGTGCTGCTTTCTTCTTAAGCATTTAAAACTCACAAAATGAGACACTAATAAAAACAAATACCTAAAAATAGGACCCCACTGGTAAGGTGACATACTGGGCAGCTTGTAGGTCTAAATGTGTTTTACTCTAGTCATTAACCAGCAATAAAAACAAGTCAAATTCAGACTTTGATGAGACAAATAAATGCTAAAAAGTTGTGAAATTTCCAGTTTCTAGCTTCCTCACAAATATTGAGATTATTATAATATAAAAAATGTTTCCCCTTGTCTGTTAGTTTTTTCTTTCCTTTATTCTCTCTTACCTCAGATCCCTCTGAGTCTGAGCAGGCAGACTGGAGTTGAAATGGACAAAACAGTAAGAAAAGAAGGTGAGATGACAGAAAAAGAATTTAAAAAAATTATAAATGACATTTAAGTAAATTATATGACACTGATTTTGATGTTTTTTTTGCAGCAGCTACCCACCATGTCATCCTCCCCTTCATTGTCAGTGATGGCCTGGTGAAGATGGTGTGGAAATAAAATAAATTATATAAAATGTAGGATAAAGAAAATGTGATGACATAAAGAAAGAAAGGAAAAACAGAAGAGAAAGTCTAACAAATGTTACTCTGTTGAGATTTTGTAAGGACATGGCTTGAATGAAGCTGGCTGACTGTGACAGGCACTGTAGATGAATTTGGTTATAAACATTTTCTTACAGTGAAAATGGGTGGAAGAACCACAGATGCTACAAGTACACTATAAACCCAAAGTATGTAGACATCCCTGTTTGTAAATCTTTCTTTTTGTGTCTGTTTTTCATGGTTTCGGGCTCTCTTAGCACAGTGCAACAAAGGCGAACTCTTAATGTGTCAGCACAGCCTGTTCTCATTACCAGGGCATCAAATACCAACGCTTTGTCACGCCCCTGTCAAAGGCAGCTTCTGGAGTCTTTATGAGACGCGCTGGGCTGTCAACTAACTTTAATATAAACCCATCCGGGGCATTACTTGATGCTGAGAGCTGCTGATGTAGCATATAGAACCAGAAGGTTAGTGTCCCGTGTGAAACCAAAATTCACTGTTGTTTTAATGTACATAGTCATCGCACAATGTCGTCATTCACCTCATGTATTTACGCCACGTTACACTGTGTTAAAAACCTACGTATTAAGCCAAAACATGATCTTTTTTCGAAAGTTAACCAACTGGTTTTTCACCTGAACCTTACCACGACCGCTTCACAACATTAAGCATGTGTTACAGCTGTGCATCACACAGATGAGGGTGACCTGTATGTCACTATGAGAAGCAAAGGGGTGTGACAAAGCGACAGAGTGACAGAGATCTTATTTCAGAATCATGTGCTTCGTCTATGTCTCTTTGCTGTTTCCCCATGCACAAGGCCAGTTAAAGAAATGGCTCTCCTAATTTGGTGTGGAAGAACTTGACTGGTCTGCACAAAGTCCCGACCTCCACTCTACTCTACACCATTGGGATGAGGTGAAACATCGACTCTGAGCCAGACCTGATTACCCAACATCAGTGCTGGACCTCACTGATGCTCTTCCAGCTGACTGGGAGCAAACACCTGCAGCCAGGTTCAAAAATCTGGTGGAAATGTAATGTAATGTTTGGGTGTCTACATACTTTTGGCCATTTAATATATCTGATATTTAAAAAGAAAAGTTATTGATCATAAAGATAAAAAAAGAAAAATGAAGTAGTCTTCTGGTATTTCTTTAGTTTTCAGTCAATCCAGCTTAAAACCACTAAAAGTAATTTTATCCAAACTGAACAATGATATCTGAGGTTGTGACGGAGCCACAGGTTGACCCACCTCCTCATCTAACTCCTCAGGTTCCTCCTCGTTCTCAAGCTTTTGGAGAGAAGCAGCACCACAGTGAAAAACACAGTATTTATTTTTACGTTTTATCAGGTGGAGAGAAGGAAACCAACGTTTATTTCTGGGAGTGAAAACTAGGAGTCTATGAAGGAGGAGGAGGAGGGGGAGAAGAGTTCAAGTTGAACTCTTGTTTATGAGTAAATTGGGATCAAACTAAAAATAGACACATATGCTGCTGGGTAACAAGAGGTTTGACGGGAGGTTCACGGCGGGTTTTTGCTTTAATGAACTTGTTTATTTCAGATGTTTGTGTTCCAGGAGCAACAGGGGAAAGGGGAGCGAGGGCAAAAAAGAAACCTAGACATACCCTCTCCTCCTCAGCAGTTATCTGTAGAGGGAAACACACACACTTATTCTCACCTTACTTAAATTAACTTGCAGCACACATTATTCTTCACCTGCTGAACCTTCATCTAAACAAATGACTTTAACAAGCTACGCTTAGTTATAGATGCTTCTACACTCTCATTATTAGAAAAATATATCAGCAAGGTTACTTTATATTCAAGCAGGAGTGAAAAGTCAAGTGAATATCAAAGGAGAAATACGAGAGGGGGAACTCAAACTACAGATTTACTCCCGCACAAAATACAACTCTATTTTTCAGGGTTTCCACATTGCACATGAAAGGTTACAACTACACTTATTCTTCTTCCAAGTTTCATTCTTTTTAATTGCTCTTTGACTGCACAGAGATCTGACTTTAGTTATAGTCTGAGATCACAAGATGGGTTGGGATCTTGTTGTCTGTTCCAAGAGCAAGGACTGAGCTGGGAAAGAAGGCTTTTATGTGCTCCGCTCCCTTCACTTGGAATAGTCTTCAAAAAGACTGAAACCAAGAGAATTGTCTGCGCCTGAGGCTCCTATTAGAACAATGGTGACTCAATCTGTTGGTGCTTGTCACTGTATATGTAGGTAGGTATTTTGACAGGTTAATGTATATCTTCTATGTGTTCTTGTGGTTATGGTTGTTTGTCAGTAACATTTTATCGCCCAGGTGAAATCTAGAATCTCACTGGGATTTAACCTGGTTAAATATGAGTTAAATAAAATAAAAAAAGCGTTGAAATATGAAACAGCTGCAGGTTCAGCACAAACACAGAAAAAAAAATTCCAGTATGCATAAAAAGAATCCAACTCTGCTGCTTCTCCTGGTAGCAACTGAAGAACCCAAATTCATATGAAATGCCTCCATTAATTAGGTCACACCTGGAGGACGCTGAGTTGACCCATATAGGTTTGTCTATGTAGTGGAACGTACCAATACCAACAGGATTGTAGCTTCTCCAGCACCATTTGAAAAACCAATGGTGTGCATGTCTGTAACCTCACAAATAAATCACACAGCAGACAGATATTTGAAAATCCAGACACAGTTATTGGATTAGCTGTGATTGTTGAAAATGTTTTTCACCTGTTTACAACATTTTTCTGATTTAACAACATCATTTACTTCCAACTGCTCGCAAATTTTTCTAACAGCCTCTGAGATCCTTTCATTTTGCTGATGAAAAAAAAAAAACATCAGTGTCTCAAACAGCCATCAAGATATCAGAGCATTTCAGTCCAACTGACATGTTGTTAAAGAGTAAGTTAGGTATTTTTCAACCCTGTTTTCACACATTTTGTCTTAGTGACTAATGTAACCACATTGCAGCCTCTTTGTTTTTGACACTGACAGGCTTTGACAGGTGTAACAACTTATGGAAAGAATCCCTGCTGAATAAGATGTTTCAATTAGAGAGTAAGATCCTTTGTTAACACTTTATTTGAAGGTATCTACATAAGAGTGACATGACACTTTCATGAACTTGTCATAAACATTATGTATATGTCATACACGTTTATGACTGCTGTCATTAAGTGTCATTCAGTTTTTGTAATGACAAGTTGACATTGTTTGGGTTGTCTTGATTATGACAAGTTGACATTAATTAAAGTGACATTACCAGAAGATGTCTTTGTATCAATCATTATGTCAACTTGTCATAAACACAAAAAGAGGTGCATTTCTTGTTAATAGTGGGGTTTCCATCCAAATGTATCGAAATTTTTCAGCAAATTTTGTGAAAATGTGCAAAAGAAAATGCGAATTTATGCCTGTTTCCATTCGTTATTGTTTTGCAATTATTGGGAGTCAACAGGAAGAGCAGTAGGTGGCGCTTCTCGTGAAAAATGAACAAAATAAAAACACCCCCATAGAAGAAGAATGCGCTATGAGATGACGTCATAAGAGAGCGTCTTATGCCCACTGTAAACAACAACACACTCAACTGACACTCAACAACTGACCATTCCTGATAAACCTGTCGGCTCCTGGGAGAACTCTGGTTAGCATTTTGTCAGCGTTCACAGCGTACCTAACCATCTTGAAGAAGAGACAACAAAGAAGAAGTTTAATGTCAAGAGTACTGTCAGAAATAGCTAGAAGGAGACCACCACAACGTTCTCTGTGTGTATGGGAACGCAGGCATGTGAAGGACTTTTGGGAAGTAGTTGTCCAGCAGCATTTCACTCACGAACTCTGGCTGAAACATTTCTGTATGTCAAGGGCCACATTTGAGGATCTGTATGCCGGTACGTCATTGTTTATTCGCAAAACCTGTTTCCATAGCAAAAAGTCGCATTTTCCTTTTATCGATACGCTGACAAATCCACCCCCTCCAAGCGTAAAAACTTATTTGCAAATTTTCGGCCTTTTTTAGAATTTCTGTCCATCCAAGGGTTTTTTTTCGCAATTTTTGAAAATGCGAATAAAAATAGGTGGATGGAAACCCCACTAATGTCAAGTTGTTATGACAAAGACATCTGGTAATGGTAATCCTGGTTAATGTCAAGTTGTCATAATATGACATCCCAAAAAAATTTAATGTCAACTTGTCATTACAAAAAACTGAATGACACTTAATGACAGCAGCCATAAACGTTTATGACATGTACATAATGTTCATGACAGGTTCATGGCAGTGTCATGTCATAGTTATGACAGTGTCGTGTCACTCTTATTTAGATACCTTCAAGTAAAGTGTTACCAGTCCTTCTTGTCTAACCAGAATCATTCTGAAATCGCCATCCCCAAACACACCAGACTCCATTTAAATAAACCATAATTTTTGTGCGTATAGAGGCAGCATATTTTCAGATCTAACTGCTTGAATTTAGGATTAATTTCCACCAAACCAGGGTTGGTCATTGTTAAAACAATAGAAAGGTGAACCAAGAAAATAATGGGATTGACTATAGAGATTTGGGGTTGTTTCTGTTTAAACAAAAAGGATCTTATTCTCTAACAAAAAAGGTCTATCTCTATAGGATCCTTTCAATAATGTTGTCAGGCATTTAGAGCGGTGGTTCTCAAATGGTGTGCCATGACGCAACCCACTGATTTAGAGAAACAATCTGAGCCTGTCAGTGGCAAAAACAAGCACTTTTAGTAGACGTAAACTGACAGTGCGCAATTGCCCAATAACGTTACATTTCAGCCTGTGTCTTGGTCAATAATGGACCAATTTCAAAAGCTGTTGTCTCCATTAGTCACTAAGACACAAAAACATGACAGAACAGGTTGGGAAATCTTTGTAACGGGAGGTTTAAAATGCATGTTCTCACTTTAAATTAATCCTGGCTGCTCCAAATGAGACCCTGATTAGTTTTCTCCTCTCTGGTGTAAATGCAACAACACTGCGTTGCCACCGTTTGTGAGAACAGAACTGAGAACAATCTTTGCCATATGTGATGAGCTTGCAAGCTTATTTGATGATTTTGTTGCCATTTAAGCTTGAAAAAGCATTGGAACAGTTTCTTATTTTCAAACCATGCTCTGGTCTGAAAAACAACCCTCTCACATGAGTTACATTATCCTGCTGTGTGTACTACCAGGGCTTGTCTTTCACATGATAATGATGCCACAGTGAAGGGTGGCAGATTTCAGTCCTGTTCTCTTAAGACCCAAAACACTGCCCGTTTTCATTTCAACATTTTGACCTCAAACAGGAGAGAAAGACCTCATCAGTGGCTGCAGGATGAAATGAGAAACTCTCAGGTCTCCATGGCAGATGATTAAAAACCACTGGTGCAGGACAAGTGATATGCTTGTGTGCTCATCGGTTATTGCTCACCTGTTTTGCTCCCATCGACTCAAACATCTTCTCCAACAGGACCCTCATCTGTTGGATGTTGTTCATCAGCACGCAGGGCTGGAGGATGATAGATGAGGGGTACAATGGGGGCAGGTGGTCGAGAAAAAACAAAAGGAGGGAAACAGAGTTGAGAGAAAAGAGCAAATGAATGAAATATAAGGAAACAGGAAGATGAAATAAGAAAAGTAAGAAAAAACAATAGAGATAGATGTGTAAGAGCCACAGAAGTGGGCAGCAGTAACTAAAATATTAATCTACTCCACAGAGAGTGCACTAGCTTTCAAAGTGTTTGGTCTCTCTCCAAATCGGAGAAGAGCACAGAGTGGCAGCAGAGTGGCGACACAGCAGTACTCACTATCTTCTCCTTCTCACAGTAGGAGGGAAAGCTCTTGGCTAGCAGGGCACAGTACTGCAGCAGCACTTTGGTGATCGTCTGTGGAAACAAGATAACACACACATAGGACATGTTTACTCTGGGAACTTCTGGGGTGGTGGATCTGAACACTGGTATTTACTCCTCTAGTTTGACTTGTTTGATCAGGCGAGAATGCTGCTGTTTGAACTCAAATATTCACACTGTCACGGCTGAAAATGTCTCTGTCTTTTGCTAAAAGAGCTGCAGGCGGAGACATGATCACATCGGTCCACTTCTAGCCTCTTCACACTGGCTCCCAGTGTGTGTTAGAAAAGATTTGGAAATTTTACTGATTACTTTTAAGGACAGTCCGGACAGAGCATTTGCTGTCAGGGCTCCGAGGCTCTGGAACAATCTGCCCGAGGAAATCAGGTCGGCTGATTCAGTGATCTCTTTTAAGTCTCTTCTTAAAACTCACTTTTATCTGAGAGCCTTTCCTGATTTTATTTGAGTTTTAAGTTTATTCAAACTGTCTTTAATTTCCTCAGTTTTTATACACTGAAGTGTTTTTATCAGTTCCTTTAAAAGTTGTTGTTTTTCATGTCTTGTCTGTTTAAATTACTGACATGTAAAACACTTTGTAACTCTGTTTTGAAAAGCACTTTATGAATAAAGATTATTATTATTATTATTATTATTATTATTAGTTGGTAGTGACGAGTAGGGGTGGTTGATATGGCCCTAAAATATTATCACAATATTTCAGGGTATTTTTGTGATAACGATATTCTGGATGATATGACAAATTAGTACTAACTTCACTTGATACTTTAATTTTTTTTTTTTTTTTTGCTTTCAAGACTTCAATAAGTTAAGTCTAAGGGGAGTCAAGTCTCAAGCAAGTCTCACATCTCAAGTCCTCATTTTTGTGTCCTCATTTTGGTCCATGTCCAAGTCCCCTGTGTACAGCTCTGCATGCAGATCTAAAGGACCTCTGGATATGTGGAGATGGGTATTGATATTGATGACAATTCCTCATGGTTGGAAACTAGCAGGACAAAACAAATGAGTCCTTTAGTAGGCAGCCACTATGCTTGTTCAGAGTTCCAACGGACAAAACTGGATTTGTTGGGAGTGACAGAGTGACTCGTTGGTACCACTGTCATCCTGCCTGATTACACAAAGTATTTTGTGTTTGTTGATTTGGCAATGTATCTTAAGTGTTATGTGCTAATTTTTGTTTTTGCAACAACCCTCCTGCCAATCAAAGACTGTAGGCGGAACTCAAGGGACATCTTTTTCCGTTTGGATCTCTGTTGATGATCAGTTTCTCCAGGCACCATCTTCTTTACGTGTCCAGCCATGGTGGCTCTTAGCTGTCACACGCAACATGCCAGTTCCATTTCTATTTTTAATGAAAACACTCTCCTTGTAATCAGAGGAAAACTCATCATATTTCTTTCCTTCAACTAATCTATCATTTACTGTTCACTCTATGGATCAAATTGGACACTGAGTTGCCAGTTTAGTTGGCTAACCTTCACACAAAGTGTACTGTGCTTAATAAGGAGTCATACATCATGTGTCTGAGGTGTGGCACGGTATAAATCAGGCAGACCAGCAAGAGTGACTTTGGGTACTTTACTATCTCCGAGACAGCTATTATCTTGGGCTTTTCACACATGACATTACAAAGGTTTATCCAGAATACACCAACAGTTTGAGATACTGCAGACAGGGACAGGTAGTGGATCAGAAACGTCAATCACACTGAAAAGTTTCCTCCTCCGTGTTCAGAATTTTAAAGGTACTCTGTGGAGTTTCTGACCACTGGTTGCACTGTAGAGCAGTGCTTGTTGAGCAGTTATCTCATCATTTACATGAGGACACACTGAATGCAGTAGTGGAAAGTATTCATCCATCCATTATCCATAACCGCTTATCCCATTCAGGGTTGTGGGGCAGGGGGGCTGGAGCCTATCAGGGTACACCCTAGACTATACTTCCACCACAATTAGCATGTGTATGTGGGGTTTTTTAAACATGGGAAACCCACTAAAAATAGGCAATAGACACCTTTCCAATTGCCAGTAGACCACAGCTATGTACATGGCTCTGCAGCAGATGAGTATGCCTTTCTGCATTTGTGTGTGTGGGTTCTTATAGTGGGTCACATTCAACACCACAAACAGGTCAGAAAACAGGATAGTACACGGTAGAAACTAGCATGGCCGACTGTGACAACTTCACGGTGGTGACTTCTTTTTATATATCTTGCTTTTTTAGGCTCTCTTTCAAACTTGGTGCAGAATTTGGATGGATGTTTGAGCGCTGCTTGGGTGGTGATGGACGATATTTCGTGGTGGTCTGTCATTGCATATTGCTGGTAAAGGGACTAAAATTAGCACGTTTATCCCGGGTGCTGAGTTTCCATCAATGCCGATTGGAGCCATAGCTGATAAATACCCATGTGAATGCCAATTATAACCTTTCCCATTACATTTCTTTCTCTTTTGTTTTTTTCTATGCTAAAGAACATTAACTTAAAGTTTATGTATTGTCTATCTACCAGTATATTTCAGTTTTATAAGTTGTACAAAAACAACAACAACGAATAAACAAAAACATTAAAAAAAACAGAGGTTAGCGGGTGTTAGCATTTTTTCTGTGCAGTGGTAAAGTCCAAGTGGCTATGGAGACAGACAACCATTCACATTCACACCTACGAACAATTAACCTACACTGACATGTCTTTGGATTGTGGAAGCCAGAGAGCCTGGAGAAAAAGGGTGGGTGGGAACTGGAAAGTAACTACATGACTCTGAAATACTTTGAGATACTTGTACTTCACTTGAGTATTTCAGTTTTCTGCTGCATTATATGTCTACTCCACTTCATTTCAGAGGCAAATATTGTACTCTTTACTCCACTACATGTAATTTTGGCGCTTTCATTAATTTGCAAGTTAAGATGGCTAATACAAACACATCTGTCCAATAACATACGGGCCTGAATTTTAAGTTGATGGTCAAAATGACACATTTTGTTTGGAAAAGGTCCAACATTTATTAAAAAAAGAAAAAAGAAACAGGCAACAAAAGCAAATATTCCCATCAAAAAACGTCTGGTCAAATGACACTTTTTCCTCATCATATAAATGCATTCCCTGAAACTGTAGCTCAGTTTCTCTGAACTCTAAAGGCAAAACTGAAAAGAGTTAACCATTTTGTCAAAACTCCACAGATCTCTAACAAAATGAAACACTGCACTTAAAACCATGTCCTCTCTTCTCAAAACAGATTCTTTCCACCAAAATGACACACAGCTAGCATATTTTCATGTAGGCCTTCTTCTCTGTTTCCTATGCTGTTCCATTTTTCCCCAAACACAGCAGAGCTCGCCTGAGGCATCTTTAATGCTCTGACACGTGATTGGAGTGTTTTGCCAATTGTGTTCGAACAGCTGCGACGTGAGTGAGACCAATTGGCAATTAGGGTGTAATATTTTGAAGTCCGCTCACAGCTGGTTGTCTGAATAACAGGAAAACAGTAGCTTAAGTGACAGGAAACACCTTTTCATGCGTTCTGGAAAGCTGTAGGTGTGTCACCTGATACTGCTTGTTTGTCAAACACTATAAATTGTCATGATGTATTAATTCTTTGGCTTTCTCGCGAGTAAACCCTCAAATGTCCAATCCTGTGTTTTGAGTCTCTTTAATCTACAATAGACTTCTGTAGTTCGGAGGTTTGTTGTTGATACATGATCTTCAAGTTTCAGAGCTGTGTGCACAATTTTATTTTTTGTGTGTATAATAAATGTATTCTTTCAATCAATCATTCCATAATAGACGACAAAATACAAAATACAGCTATCAATATGAGTTCAACCTTGACTTGTGCTGTACGCCAGAACCATGTTGATACTTCACAGTGCTATGTGCCACAAAAGACAAGCAAGCATATATCAGCATAAAACTGTATGCTTTTCTCCACAGATGATCTGAGGAGAGAAAACAAACCCTGCTGCACTCTGCAATTTAGAGACGCCCTGTTGAAATACTGATAGAATACTTATCATTTTTACGTGCCTTTGGCCTCTTTGATCCATGCTTACAGCAGCACAGCGGTGGCATCTTTTATAGATGGTTAAGAACTGCAAGCTGATTGAATAGTTGTGCCAAAGATTTTCACACAGGTGCATTAGAGATTCATAATTATGCATGCATTTCTATCAGCTATGAATAATTTTTTTCCTTTTGTTTAACACAGTTTATTCAACACAGTTTGTGGTCCTTCAATGAGATCTGTGCGAACTGTTTTGAAAAAGAGTGTGAAAATGTGTGAAACCTAAAACAAAGTGTGAACACATTTGCAAAAGAAGACTTCCGTTGTGCTAAGAAGGTGATGATGAAGATCAGTTGGAGCCCAGTTTCAATAAGCATGTGTCAGCAATCGAGAAAAACTGTAATGAATCAGTAAGTAGACTGATCAGCCACAGCATTAAAACCACTCTGTCATCACATTACAATGAAATATCCTGCTGGGAAACCTTGGGTTCTGGCATTCATGTGGATGCCACTTGACACACACCACCAATCCAAACACCATTACAGACCAACTACACCCTCTCACATGTCACATTGCAAATACTACTCAGGAATAGCTCAAGGAACCTGACAAAGAGCTCAAAGTGTTGACCTGGCCTCACAATTCAAATCCATCGGAGCATTTGTGGGAGGTGCTTGTACCATAAAGGTCCTGTGTACATGCCTCAACAGGTGAGAGGCCACCGTGGATCAGACTCGGCTCTGACCTGTCCAGGCATGGACACAGGACCTCTTGTGGCAGCAGGGTAATGCTGACAGATCCGCTGGGTTGCAAGGTGGGGCTCCAACACCTCCCACAGGTGGTTGATCAGATTTAGATCTGGAGGCCAGGTTGACACCTTGAGCTCTTTCTCAAGTTCCTCGAGCCATTCCTGAGCAGTTCTTGTGGTGTGGCATGGCACATGATTAAGGGTGCTTTTAGACCTAGAGTTGTCTTGCTTTTGTCTGAATCAGGGAATAATTTTGTCACAAGTTTGCACAACTGCCTAGAGTTGGTTCGTGTTTTCACAGCAGCATTTACAAGCGGACCAGATCGCTCTGCTCATCGTGGACTATATTGCTGTCATTGTTCATTTTAGTCAAACCATACAGTTTGAAAACGAGGCGCGGCTCCAACTAGAAAACAATGTTTTGATGCATTGGATGTGCTGAATGTGCATATTAAGGCAGTACAGGAGGAGGTGCACATTAATAATCCTCCAGGACTGTAACATGCTCATGTTTAACCCAAACAATGTGTCATGTGACTGCAGTTGCTTCACATCCAGGTCGGAGAACACCTTCTCACCACAAACCAACTGCACCAAAGTTCATTTGTAACCGGACTGAGACCACCTCTTCAAGAAGGTCTCGGTCCGGTTGTTTTGGTGCGCACCCGAGTGTGATTGCTGTGCCCAAATGAACTGCACTTATGGGGCAAATGAGCTTGAGTTCGGTTGAAACAGGGCAGGTGTGAAAGCACCTTGATGTTATTTACTTCACCTGTCAGTGGTTTTGATGTTTTGGCTTATCTGTGTAAAACCCAATAAGACTGATGTTAATATTTTTCTACTTTAACTTACGTAAAAGTTGGAATGCAGAACTTCAACTTCTAACAGAGTATTTCCACACTGCATTGCTACTTTTACTTAAGTGAAAGATCAGCATACTTCTTCCACCACTGCCTGAAATGTTACAGGGATGAATGTTGTATATACACTATATACCATCAGTTGCTACCCAGACCTACAAATCAGATGATGTGTTTACCTCAAAATTGCTCGTATTTATCACATAAAAGAGAGAGGAATGATATGATATCCCTCACTTTTTTTTACTACTCAGCATGTTGAGGCACTGCACCAATAAAAAAGGCAAAAAATGGAGGTTTTAAAATATTCTGCGAGAGTTCACTAAGATTATGAAATCCATCTGACGTTTTCATTCAGGCCTTAAGGATAAACAACGCTGAATGTCATGCTTGTCCACACTAGAAACTCCACGGGGTACTTTTAAATAAATCAGCAAGTCAATTTATCGGTTGTGGTGTTAACTCGGGGACAGGAAATGACAGAAACCAGCCCTGTGACCTCACAGCGTCTCAGGTTCGTTGTTAGAGATTTCTGTACTTTCTGCTGAGTCAGCCAGATGGCCCTCTTACGTTCATGCATTAAACATGTGGGTGGACGGCTGCCTGCATTATTTAGTATGGCTTCCTCTCATTGTACGACTCTGTCTCTCCCTTTATTCCTTTACTGCAGCTGTCTGTCTTTTTACTGTAATCTCATAGTTTTCCAAAATGAGATATAGCCGTCCTGGCCTGTAGAAGGAGGAGCAAGAGAGGATAAGAAAAAGGAAAGAATAAGGACTTGGAAAGTGACAAAGAGAGGAACTGGGCAAGATATGGAAAGAAGATTAAAGGCAGATATGGACAGGAAAATATCTGAAGGCAAAGCAAAGACAAGACGGAGAGTCCATAAAAGAATGAGACTGCAAGATATTACAAGAGTAGATGAAAAACAAACTTAAGACTAAGACAGGGAGGAGATGAAAAGGTAAAGAGAGACATTAACATGTGTGGAGTGCAGAAAATGAAAAGGGAGTCAAAGGTTGGGGACAGAGAGATGGACAGCTCAGAGTGATGGCTTACATTAGCCATTCTTTATTTAATGAGTCCCATATTGATCGAGCCATCACACCACACACACACTCACAGAAATATATGCACACACAACTCTTGTGAGAAAGGTTTGTTAGATTTAATGGCTATGCCTAAAAGCAACTGCCTTAAATTAAATTACAAGAAAGAAATATTACATCAAAGGTTCAATAACAAAACACTGCACTGTACACATTTTGCAAACAAATACCTGAAACTCATCAGCAAATATCTCAAAGGCACGAAAAACTCTAAAGTAAAAAAAAAAGTCAACTAAAGAAGAGCTTTGTAAGTAAAGTTCTTTATGATTTAAAGCATTTTGATGTAGGCGGTTTTATTTCAATGTCATTGGGGCAAAATCCCATTGTAAACTTTGATCATATTGGAATTCACGTGGATTGAGAGAACACTAGACTTTTACACCTGCTCTTGGCTCTGGCTCTTGGCTTTAGAAAATCTAGCCTGTGACGAAAGACTGGCCAATCACTGGTCATTTTAAAGAGAGGGTGTTTCTATTGGCTGTTGTACAAATATAGATGTCCATTTAGTGAAAGCCTGATTCAATGGCGGAGAATCCTGCTGAGAAAGTTGCTATTCCAGCAGTGGCAACAACTGCTTACACTGCAAAACAAGCCAAAAGTTAAGAAATGTTGACTTATCAAAAAGAAACTCTAAAAATAAATGCAAAAAAACACATTTTAGAGATGGAGAGAAATCGTTGCTAACAGTTTAGCCTCCTGCTAACTGAAGCCAAAGGCTCATAGGTGCTGCTTCAAGTTCACATTTTACTTTAGCTAGAGCCTCGACTTAAAGTGTGTCCTCTGCCTCACTCCCTGCCGCTATAGACTGCCTTGCCAAGTAGAGAACAGGTAGCAGCTCTGGAGACAGACCTCCAGTCAGCGGCTGCAGCAAGCTGAATACAGCCAGCACAAACCCCAGCTCCAGGATACCAGACAGCCCCGACTCTAAGAAAACTTTCTGTTGCTGCCGGCACACAGGTTAGACCCTCATGCTACTTTTCAAAAAGAGAAGGGGGCAGTGGGAGTGGCCAAACACAAAAGGGGCATGACTTCCTGGTTTAAAGACTTGCAAAAGATTAGGTGAAGAAATGTTCGAAAGGCAACTGTTTATGCCAACTGGCAAAAAAGGGTAATGCATGGTGTATGCTTGTTTGTGGTCGCAGCTATAGCAAATTTACATTGGTAAATTGAATGACCTGATGTATCATCAGTACTTTTTTGAAACAGAGGAGGGCTTTTCTGTGTGCTTACAACGTGGAGGGAAAAAAACAGTCTCTGTAAACAGATATTTGCATGTATGCAGAATATTTAGGCGATTGGACTGAATTTTGCAATTTTAAGTGCTCTAGTTTCTGTTTGAAGTCCGAGTGGTATTGACGAATCACATTTGAGCAGCAGGTAAACAATGTGTATGTAGGGGGAGAATGCACTGGCCAAAATGCAATCTCAGAACCAAATGGCTAAGCCCGGTCTCACTCCAAAGTCGTCGTAATGTGGTGCTTGGGCAGTGACCAGAAACCAATGAAAAAAGGCATCCTCTAATGTCGGCATGATACGTAGCCGGTTGCCGTTATAGTGGGGAAAAGCAACGGGACCACGAGGAAAGTTAAGGCGGCAAAGAATGTGTCGACCAGCTATCGTGTGACAATAATTTAGCTTTTTGTTAGCTTTTTCTTGTTGCTGTTTATCCACAATCATATGAAAATATTTGTTTATAGAGATTAGCCAAAATGACGACACATGAAAGTCTAAGCCTAAATATCCACTAGCTATGTTGAACCTCCTGAAATATTGGCTGGTGTACCAAGAAACTTAAGGTCATCAGATGATAGATGATAGATGGATTCCAGGATTTATAAAAAAACTAAAAAGTTAATGAACGAACAAAGCCTTGTCCACAAAGATCCCAGAGAGATATAAGATGTGTGGTTGATCAGTGGTACAAAGAACAGACTTATGTAAACAAGGCTTTTATGTTACATATCTTACCTTGGCGAAGCGTCGATTATATTGTGCCACCACAGCGGGGTCGGGGCAGTCCAGCTTCTTGATGATCTCAAAGCTCTGGTTGAGCTGAGTGAAAATGTCCACCACCGAGCTGGAGAACAGAGCATGCTCAGACGTCTGCTGGAACTGCAGGTGGACAGAGAGGACAAATTGCAAAATTTTTAGCCCACTGGTATTAATCTTTTAAACAGCAAGTCTCCATTTCCAGTCTGCTCTATTCATGAAGCACTGTTCCTTACAACCTCCTTACTGACTCATACGTCGTCTCCTTCTCTACTTTCTTGTAATCAAATAATAACTCAAACTCATTCTTATTTCTGTGCCGAGCTACCATAGCTGTGCTCTTGTGTAATTACTTTAATTTCAGGGCACTCTGACCATTACAATTATTATCGTTCATCTGAAAGGATTGCTGGTCGGGGAATAAGGGGCTTATTAAACTGTTGCACTAATCATATGTTCCTGCAGATAAATTCACCAGCTAAATGTCCCTTTTGAGTTCAAACGGAAATGTAAATGGTGCCCAGAGGGTTGGTGTGGTAGTTAGGAGAACCAGGCCACATATTTCCCAAGTGACCGAGTCCTGCCGTTGTATCCTGTGATCTGTCTCTCTTACTCTGAGAAACTCACAGTCTATGGATCCATAACGGATTCTTTAAGAGCCAGAGGGGGCCAATAAGCACTTAACGCCTCCTCAATAAAATCTGTCTCTAATGGACTCCTTGTAAACTCCCATAAGTTAAAAGAGTTGTGCCATCAGGCTACTTAAGAGAGTAAAGAGGTAGAGAATATGTGTGCTGAGTAAAATAACATTTGCTTAAAGTAGTCTCTGAAACATCCTGTCCTGCTTTGTTTTATGACATTTAAAAAAATATGTGAGCTTTTTCAGAGTCTGCTGCTACACTCACGCAGCATGTTCCCCTCACTGAAACATTTATCCAGCACACACTTTCAGTGTTTAGCACCTCTGCATCCACCTGTAGGCTCTGAGTCTATCCTCCCTTCCTACTTGTAAGCTTGGTGTCTCTCGTGGGGAGTAACGAGGTGGGCACTGCCCATCATTCAGACAGCCCATTTTTTTGAAGCCCCGATAGTCTGAAAAATGTCCTACTTTGCCAAGAATACACTCTGCCAAATGAAGGCATATCGCCAATTATCATGCAGAATGACATTGAGACCCTCCAGGACACCACTTTTTTTTTTTACTGTAGCAAAGGCATGACGCACCCTATTCTGCCTCTGATTGGCTAGTTCCTGTTGCCTCTGTTGCCAAGACACACCAAACCAACTTCAGAGAACAAGCGGTGATGAAAGCCCCCTGCCTCGTCGCTTATATCTCGGCTAAAAAGTTGCACATGGACACACTGCAAAGACTACAGCTGACTGTCAACGAGCATGTAAGTTCTGTGTGAGAGGTAATACCCCTCCACACCAGCAGATGGTGATAGTCTGTATTCATCAATCAAAGAGGGAAAGCAGGAAACTGTCTTGACAAACCATAAGGAAACTTTTCTGCTAAAGAACTCAATGGCTACAGAAAATAATCTTGGATGTTATTTTGGTCTCACTCCCTCTTGACTTTAGCTGTTTGTTTACTTTCCTCACTTCCGTTTCCCTCTCAGTATTGTTGGATTTCAGTGATGCTTTGACACTGTGGACCATGCAATTCTACTGCAAAGACTAGAAGACTCTCAGGACCTGTCCTCAAGTGGTTCAAGTCACATCTTCATGACAGAAATAACTTTGTTTCCAGCTAAATAGAGATAAGACCAAGATAACTGTCTTTGAGAGCACAGAATGAAAGTTGGACTAACCACTCTCACCGTAACTCCCTAGAAATCTTGGCTTTATTGTGGGCTCTGATTTAAATTCAACGGATGAGATCGCATTATAACACCCACCAGCAGGTGTGCTCTGGTTCTGCGCAGTGCATTGTGGTTATTGTAGGTTTTCCACCTCTTGAGCAAAAGCGAATGCCACAGTCCTTTTTTCTCATATATGCGTTTTCTGGCATAGATGGTTTAGTGTGAAGACCCTCTTGATGCAGGTGAAACACTTCTTTAAACTGTACAAACCTACTCCTAAAACGTTGTACCTCTTGTATCATTTGTACTTTTTAAATTCTAGATCTTTTACCTTTGCCACATCTTTATTACCCTGTAAAGCACATTGTATTGTCCTGGTGTATGAAATGTGCCACACAAATAAAATTGCCTTGCCTTGCCTTTAAGCAGTCAAAGTGTTCAGTGACCAAAAGCCTTTTCTGCCCTAAAAACACTTTCTGAGCACGAAGAGTTCCCAGAAGATGAATTAAAGCTTTGGGACCACCAGGAGGTCGAGAGACAACACTTGTCCATCATTCTCTTAATCTGGGACCAGCTGGCAAAAGCAGAACTCTGCTACACGTGGATCAATTGAAGCATCCTTGAACAAAAGGTCATGAGACTGGTGCTGTCTTTCATTCTGTTGTAGGTGTCAGCGTTGTACAAAGCTAGCAGTTTTTCCACTGCTGTTGGACCTCCTTTCGCTCAACAACTTAGAAAAATAGAGTTTCACAACAGCAAATCGCGAGGAAGCTGCTGGTTTATGATACTGGATTTGCTTCTGCTGTATACCTGGGTAGGTTTTACGTTATAATAAACCAGATGTATCAGTTTTTATTCACGAGCAGGAATTGCAAAAGAGAACTTCACATTTTAACACCCAGCAGTGTTAATCAGTGGCAGTGAAATCACTTTGATTGTTTATTAGGATTTTTCAAACATCATTGTGTTCTGATATTTTTACTATGTGAGTCACTTCCCATTATTTTTCATATCCCCCCTCCAATTTCCTTCTTGTTGTGAGCACTGTGACCCGAGTCTTATTTCATGATTGTTAGCGGGAAAAAAAGGACTATGAATTTATTACAGTAATGCAAGATATGTGTTGTAATACACCAGTCATAATAGCTTAGATCACAAACATGATGTCTCATCTCCGCTAACTGAGTAGCCTGCAAATTGTTCCTTTTATTGCCTTAATTAAATTCTGGTGTCTGGTGAGGCAATTTCTTTGTCCACAGGAAACAAGAAATTGAAACTTCAGACTGATATGCTAAATTTTCTTCCAACGGGGAGACTGTCGATGCTTCGGTAAAAAGATGTCATTTGTAAAATTGGTAAACAAAAGCTTCATACATACTTATATGTTCTTCCTGTTAAAGTGTATGACACTCAGACGGTGCCATTTTGAATTATTATCATCCCTGTGCCTCCTTTAATACACATGGACGTATGCATATGGCTTTACATCTATGGAGGTTCATTACATCGCCCTATATTCCTCCAGAGGTAGTGACATGAAGCAAAAATATGTGTAAGGTGAAAAGAAGTGTGCATGCTAATGTTACTGTAGTCTGACCCTCAGCACACTCCAACTTCTTCAATTCATAACTCAGTCAGATCTGAACACAAACACATGATGCTTATATTTTTAGATTCAGCGTGGCTTAAACTTTTCTGGGATATCATTATCTCTGATGTCTCTTGCAAACAAAGACCTATAAATCCACTTTGAAACTAAAGGAAAATAGATGCTCCACATAACTCCAGAACTTGCCTCATAGTCATCACATTTATCGCTATTTCAGCATACCTTTAATGGCGGCAATTTGTCAAAATATAAACAAATGTAGCTCAAAAAACTAGTTGTAGCCTGAAGCTAACTAACTGACTCTATAGCAACATTTTTCTTCTTGTTCACATCCCTTAAATTTTGGGAATTGTACATCCAAAACATGGAGTATGTTTGCTTTTGATTCCATAACCACAGCCAATAATGAAGCTCTAATGAAAGTTCAGTCAGGAAGAAAAATACTTCTCACACTCAGGCTATAAGTTTCTGTCTCACCCTGCCATTCACTCCATGCACGTACGTTCACTCACTGTCTCTAGGTGACATTGTCTGGGCAGGTCAAGTGAGTCATCAGCTGATTGACAATCTAAGCACAGCGGCACACCTTCTCTCTCTCATCTTACTGCTCCTCATTTTAAATATGGCTCTTTCTCTGCTGTAGTTCTTTCTTGCTGCTGTCGTGTGCACCCTCCACCTCCCCATCACCACCTAGTCTTTACAGATTCATTGGCCTTATCAAACTCGGCAGTCAGCAGCCACGACCACCACCAGTGTCTGGACTCCATGGGGGGATTTATCTTCCCTTGATCACCAAAGACTTCTGTTAAATCTCAATCAGCACAAATCAGCTGTTAATTTGTACACTCATATTTTGTATCAAATATTATCTTTACTTCATTCTTCTGTCTCTCCTGATTGCAATAATGGCACTGTGTAGTTTGCTAGCACAGAAATAAACATAAATAATTGAAAACTGTGGTGTAATCAGTGACAGAGCTGCAGGATGAAAACAGTTTATCTCACAGACACCCAGTAAGTTGTTCGACTACAGTCTGTGCTACCGATAGCATTTTCTAAAACCTAATTTTCATTTGGATTTTTGTGTTATTGATTTGTTATCCTTTTTGAAAATAGTGCAAATGAGAGCACAAAAAATCTTTAAAATACATTTTTTAAACTGAACAAAAAAATATCTGAGCCCTAACTAATGGATAAGGAAGGATAGACGTATGCCGAGCTGAAAACTTTCACAGAATAATTTTCGGACCATATTTTAGTCTCTTTTTTACTCACCCCTTCCCTCTTGTCTCTCTCCAGCGCCCCGTGCATGAACTCCATCGACACCTCCTCGTTTTCAGCCAGCCAGGCCAGGACAAACTGAAGGAACCACCTGTAACAATAAAAATTTTTTTGTCATTATCTGTCTTTGATGAAGCATGAAGCTGACACACAAAACATGAGAAAAACCTACTGGCTCTGATTCTGTTTAGTCAAATGAAAGTAGTGTCGTTTTGAAGAGTACAAACTAACTGTTTTGTTTAGTTCTAAAGCTTGCAGATTCAGAAACATCTTTTAAATCCCCTTCTACAAAACATATCTTAAAAAAAAATGTTTCTTATGTCTTACTTGTTTCATTTAATTTGTTTGTTTTATTTTATCTTACTGAATTTGTAAAATGTTTGTTCTTTTAATATTTTTCCTGTCTCATTGTTACCACTGACTATGTTTTATTGACGTAAATCACCTTATTTTGTTTTGAAAGCTGCTGTATCAATAAAGTTGTCATCATAATCATTACTCTGTTGTCCACACTTTTATCGTCAAAACCCAGTGAGGAGAGCTTTGAGTGTGTGGATGTGTATGTCAATTATTGTGCATATAAAAACAGACAAAATCTCAATAGAAAGGCAGAAATGATGAATCAAGATGAGCTGCGTTTTGTCTGGAGGAGCCAGGGAAAGAGTGAGATAATGAGTGTGTGTGTTTGTGTGTGTTTGAGTCTCTTACGCAGGGTACTCAGGCACAGTGTCAGAGAAGGCGGGCAGGTCCTTAACATACTCGTTGTAAAGCCACTTGACCTTGAAGTGCAGGTTCATGTAGTCAGCAGTCTTACAGAGTTTATGCTTCTCGTGTTCTGCAGAAACGACATCAACACACACACACACACACACAAACACAGAGACATAAACACCAGATTTATCTCTCGAGGTGTGCTGCAGCAGTAGCAGTCGGTTTACAGTCTCTTGGTGGAGATTTTTGACACTTTGAAAGTTTGTGTGTGTGTTTGTGTGTTCTCATGGGTTTTTCACATTTTTTTGTGAAAGGTAGTGAATGATGATTAGAATCAGTAATTATAAGCATATCCATCTATATCAGATCCGATTTCCACTCTGATTAGAGGCTTCAGCACACCACAGGTCTGAAATACATTATATTACAATTATTTTCTTGGTAGCATTACAAAATATATCAAGGGTAACAGATGGATGGACAAATAAACACTGAACAAAGAGAGCTCCATCCATAGTCTGTCCCCTTGAATTCATCACAGGGAACAACAACATAAAAAAATAACTTGTCAGAGTCAGACAAATAATCCTGCAGTACAGTCACACGGTGATTTGGGCCAGTCGTAATTTCAGAAATGCTTCGACACAGTGGTGAAATTCTTCACTGCAGCTTTCATCAAAATCCAATCAGTGTTGTTTGTGTCACATGAACCAACAAACAAACAAATGAATGGAGGAATGAGAGCGAAGTGACCAATCCTGGAGTCCAAGTCTCCACACTGATTTCATTTCGGGCTCCAGTTATGGAACAGCTCCAGCATTACAAACAAACAGTAGTATGAAGTGGTGGAGTCGGTGCCACAGTGCATCGAGGTACTACAGTACTTTCATCAAAATATCTCTGTAGTTCTAGAGTGATCCTTTGTAAGAGAATGGCAGTAAGAGAGAAAAGATGTCAACAAATGTGTAACCTATACAATAAGGAGGCTAATGTCTATTTCTACATGTCTAAGGATGTCTAACAACAAATAATTATAAACAATGTCAAATACTGCAAAGGTGGCATCTCCTTTCCTACAGATCAGAGGTTCCCAGCCCTTTCATTTGCTTATGGACTGTAAGGAAACATATGCAAGCAAAAGCAAAATACAGATCCTTAATAATAATGTCCCTTAGAGCTGGGTAGGCATTTTTATCTTGGCTTCATTGGGTAAAAATGATAAACTTTGAAAATACTGTAGTTCAAGTGCTCTGAGAGAAGACTAGACCTCTGTACCTCCTCTTGGCTGTCTTCAGGCTTTAGAAAATCCAGTCCGTGACGGGAGGTTTTGGCCAATCACAGGTCATTTCAGATAGCGGGAAATCCTATTGGTTGTTCTACAAATACGGACTGTGCTGGTCTAATTTCAGCTGCTAACGCTGCTGACCGGAGGTCCATATCTGTAGCTGTTGCCCACTCTCCTGCTACTGAAGCTGTCCACAAAGGAAGGGGGTGAGGTGGAGGGGCCGTGGGGTGATTAGCTAGCTAATTCTTGTCTCAGGCATCTCAACGGTTTCTCTAAAAACAGAAAAGTCTGTCCTTTGCATTTTTAAAAAACTTTTGCGTTTATATGACAACGTTATTGAAACGATCCCCGTTCACACAGAGCTGCAAAATCTACTGGAAACGCTGTAGTATGCACGCCAGGCCAATGGGTGGCAGTGTAAATTTGCAAAGCAACACCACGGCATGACGCCATGCGCCTGCGCTGAAGCGCCTTCCTCTACAACACAGTGATTACAAACCAAAACAAAGAAGACACAATGGCGAAAGCATGCACAGATAACTTTGTCTGGATGGACGAAGAGGTGGAGTTGCTACAGTAACAGATCTACACTTCACTTCAAATCAACAGGGTGAGCAGCACAAACAGAGCTCGCCATGTTGTCGTGACGGTCGGCGTGCCTAGTGACTGTAACCGTAATGCGCATGTGCGAAAAGTCTCCGTTTTCAGAGGAACTGCATATTGCAAGTTTACATAACAATGGAGACGCTGCCATTTCCAAAAAGTTGCACTCTGGAACCTGTTTTCAAATGTTGCGTTTTCAGACACCCAAAACGCCGCTGTCGTGTAAACGATCGGCCAAAATGCAACTAAAGTTTACCGTTTTCAGTTGAAATCATTGTCGTATAAACGGGGCCTCATTTGTGGTCTGATAAACAGAGAGAGTAAGGGAAAGGAAAGGCTGAATGTGCTACGCGCAACTCTTCAATGGTATAGGATTAAATAAGTCAATGTATGGGGAATGCTTGGCTACCTTTTTTTGCCTTCTCCAGATTTCGGCCTACCGCAGCTTTAGGGGACACTTTTTGCGCTAATTACCTTGAACTTCACGCCATAAACATCAACATACTGATTCTCAAGTAAAGTGGGTCATCAGTAAGCAAGGTAACCAATCTGCTATCGGCACCTTTCAGCACTGAGCAGTACATAAAACCTGCTTTTTGTGCTTTTTAAAATATATTTTGTAAGCAGCTACAATTAAATAAAGACAGTATTTTTTAGTTTAGTTTCCTTGCTCGCACATTTTTTGCACACTCTTGTCTCTCTGACAGAGTGCTCCAGGGATGATGTTTTTCTGTAGGCTAACACGGAAGTTCCCTCATCAATAAGCCAACAGGATTTTTCAGTTGGATTTTGGATAATGGCAAAAAAATAAGCTGTAGGGCAAACAAACGTTTATGATACTTATTTTGCTCAGTAAGATAATCTTCACAAATGAACGCCACTTTTATGATTTTTGAAGCCTAAATGCAAGTGCCAGAGGTAAAAAGCTAATGTTAGACCATAAAGGAACTACACCACGGTCGCATGACTTAACGAGGCCGCCACAGCGTGGCTGTAAAGCGGTGCTCGGCATGATGATGTTCTGTATTCTCATTTGGCTCTTGTTAGCAACAACCTTTTACGACACAAAAGAGCTTCAAAATTCATGAGTGGGGTATTTACTGGTGTGTTTTATGTCATGAGCAAAACATGAAGGTCTCTAAAGCTTGTGTTAACCACAGACCTTATTTCAGGTATCTAACCAAATTCCTATTCAAAAACCCACTGACTTTGAGACAAGGGAATCGTGAGTGCTAAAATGCTGACTCATTTCCATGTTTTAGGACACATCCCTGGGGCACGCTATAGAGGTGAGATAAGTAAAGAAACAGAACAAGCCAAAACCAAAAGTTACATGATTTGTGAACAGGTATTTAACCCCCCAAAAAAGGACTCAAGGAAGACCTTGTGTTATAACTCTATTTTTCAGTTTGCTGGCCACTGATGGGCTGTGGAGAGAAAATTATGTTTGGGAGTCACAATGACTCTCGTTGTTGATATAAAAAATGGTCCGAGGTGCAAAACAGGTTGGGAATCTCTGCTAAAGATGACTAATAACAAATACACATACACACATACACACGCATCTTACCAGCTTCGAAATCAACTTTGCGGATGCGAAATGTGGAGGGAGCTGAGATGGCAAAAGAATTACAAAACAAACCAATGAGAGTTCAAGGAAAAGAGAGGAGCAAGTTTGATAAAGAAATGACAGAGATGAGAGTGGAAAAACATTATATTAAAACACAGTACTAGTGGAGTTGGAGGGTAGTCTGTCTAGACACAGGGGGAAAAAGTCTAAAAAAGGGTCTCCTGAAGGACTTGTCAGTGATCAAATCAGTCAGAAAACATCTTGAAAAAAAAATTTGTTGACAGAGTGCCGACTCAGCTACAAAACTCAGTCTCACAGGCCTCAGAGTGCCAAACAATGTTTCAGGATAGTTTCTACAACTTCTGCAAGTCTAATATGAGACACAGTGAGAAGTCAGAATATTGACTGGCTAAGCAGGTTTCAAATGGCTCACTAAGTTGAAACAGCTGTCTGTGCAGTTATCTCGAAAGTATATCTTACAGTATAATGTGGAGAGCTCGAGGGGGAATCAATCTTGTTATAGACACAACACTATCTGTTTCTCGCACTGTTAGAAACTGTTGTATCTGCTTCCATTATGACTCACAGGACCTGGAGTCACCGCGACTGTAAGTGAGATTTTAAATTTTTTCTAAATATTTTTAATAGCATTTTAAAAATCATTTCAGGTTTTTGATGACATACAGTATAAAAGATTCTGCTTTCCATTGACACCTGCTGCAAAATTATGACCATTGTCCAGGTTGGCTCTCAGACAATGTTAGACAGTTGCTGCCTTTAAATGGAATCATGTTTTCCATGTTTGTGACAAGAGTCCATGAACGGCGATTCTCTCATAAGTCGGCCCGTCCTTCACCGTTCCCGTCATTTGGCGGTTAATGGCCTCTTCGTTTGTGAAGGCAAGGAGGGCGCGCAATTCCGTTTCTCCCCAGTTGCGCATCTTTACAGTGTCCGTCAGGTTTGCGTTTCCCTCTTGCTACTAGCTGCTCATTCCTGCTATCAGCTGTTTCCTGTTAGTCCACGGCCAGTGGGTCGCATGTCCGGCGTCATCAACCGCTCCTCCCGCAGCGGAAGGGCGCCTCGTTTTTTTTTTTTTTAACCAAAAAGGTTCCGCCAAAATGTCTACCCTACAAGACGGAAAATTGGGCACCTCGGATCAACTTGCCAATCTGGCTCTGTGTGTCTAAACGCTTGCAGCTTGCTGGCAAAACGGCCCAACATTTGCTGAAAACCTGGCAGTGTAAAAGGGGCTATAGTTTCACAGTGCCCGGCACCGTCAGGAGGAGAAGCAGCAGGACAAGAACAAAAGTTACGGCGGTGAAAGTCCGAGTGGAGTGGGCGGGAGGGTTTGTGGATGGGTCCAACAGACACTGACTTTTACCTGGGAGAGGGATGATCGTGTTCCATAAAATCATGAAGCCAAACCCTGTTCTTTTTTCCTAAACCCAACCATGTATTTTGTTGGATAAACTTAACCATGTACGTCTGTTGTTGAAGGAAAAAATGTCAATTTGTGGTGTTGTACCGACGTAGCGCATTTATTTTGAAAGAAACTGTAAATTTCCTGTGAAAACGAAAGTGTATTTTTTAGAACGTACAGGGTACCTTTCAGGTCGAATCTGGACAGAGAAAGTCCTTGACCAAATGGTGTTATGTGACGAGGTCGGAGTGAGAATGTGTTTGAGGCTGTCTGCAGTGCGTTTTTTGGCTGAAGAGACTTTTTTTCCTGCAACTGTCTTTTGTCTTTTCGCTGAGGCATGGAAAGGTAAGCATTGATGTAAACTTCTCCTATGTATTATGCGCTTGCCACCTTGCTAAATTGTTAGCTTTGGTGGCTTCTAGATGCCAACAGATGTCCACAATGCTGTGTTGTTCTGTTGACGTAACAACCTGAATGCCAAACATAACGTGTACAAAACTTCCCATGACCTCAAGTGAATGAGTTCCATTTAAAGGCAGCAAATAGCTTTGACTTCTGACTGTGTCTTTCATCAGCTACATCATGTTTGTCTATAACCTCACCGTTGTTCCAGCGGTAGTGATTGACTTTATGCAGAACTGGAAGAGACGACGCCAAAGAGAAGTTGATGGAGTGAGAGAAAGGAAAGTGTGAATGTAGAGGGGAAGAAATGGCGGCAAGTTGTTACTTCTTCTCTTACACACACACACAAACACACACATGCTGTATAAGGACACACACAGTCTTACCCTCCAGAGCATATTTCATGTCCTGAGCAAAAAGCCTCCAAATGACCTCCGCGCTGACTTTACCCACATCGAGTTCCTGAGGAAACCTGAAATGGAGAAAGAGGTCAGACAAACTATTAGTTAGTCTGCTGGTGAGAGCATCCTTAAGCAAGCTGTATATATATATATATATATATACAAGCTTGCAATCAATCAGAAGACACACAAGCACACACAGTAGCTTGGGGTTGTCTCAGACCTTTACAGCTTCGAACTAAGAGACTCAAACTGAGATTGATATTTTGTGAGCTAATATTTTATCAGCTTACTTTACTTGCACTTACTCATTAAAAAGAAACAGCTTGCAGAAACAAATTTAAATAAAGTGCTGCTGGCAAATTTATTTTCTGTCATAAAAATCCAAATAACATGTTGAAAAGTTTTAAAAACAGCAACAATTTCAAAGATTTTTAGATTTAAGTTTGAATTTAAATCATCCAAATAAATTGCAGAAACCACTGCCCACATCAGGGCTGCCTCCTAATAGTCGACCAAACGTTAGTTGACCAGAAAGTTCGATAGTCAGCATTATTTCATTGGTCGCTAAGTCGCTTATGACTGGACCATGTGGGAATTTGAAAGAACAGACACAGGAAGAGGCCACGCTCAGCAGTCAGACAGGAGTCAAGTTACAAATCAATCACAGCCGACAGATATCTTTCCCTTCTTCTGTAAATATTCAGTCTGATAAACACAGAAGAGTTGATCATGTTAGTGCAGGGCTACCCAGAGCTTTACATCTGTCCCACAGACGATAGGGCAGGCACGACACACTTAAAAACAGCTCCTGGAAGAAGATCAGCTCTGCACTCAGGATTTCAGGTAAATAGGCTGATGCTCAGACTCATATTTCCAGGGCTGGTACCTGCAGTTATTCCACAGGCTAGTTAATAACATGTCGGGCAGGAAATCCAAAGTGTGGGATCATTTTGAGAAGGTGAAGGACGAACCCAAGGTGATATGTAAACTCATCTTCATTGGTCGACTACAAACATGACGTATCATCTGAAACATGGAAGTAGCTACATGCCCATTAGCCCACAGCGTCATTAACAGGCGGCTCGCTCAGTGTGTGACGTGCACTTGTAGATAAAATATAGGCCTATATTAATGAAGGTTCATTAGTACGGTTTTGTATTTCTCTATAATGTAGCACAGTGTTAACAATGTTACTGATACAATTCTTTCTCACACCTTGTACATTGTGTTGCTCCACCCAAAATTTATAATTCATTATTTACATTAATATCATAACCATGCAGGCTTCTCGTCGACTAATGGCCCTAAACAAAGACAATTGGTCGACTGGGAAAACTTTTATTTTGTAGGTGCAAATGATTATTTTAAACAGTTCAACCTGTGATACTGATTTATCGCAGTATACATTAAATAATCCAACTTGTACTTCTTGTATATGGCAACAGGAGACTGCTGTGAACAATTTCTCTCAACAAGCTGCTGTAATTTACAGCAAATTCAACATGTTGTAAGCAGTAACTCGAGACAATGCAATAGCTGCACGTCATTCCATTAATTTCCCCAGTTATAAACTATGACATAATGGAAATAAACGCAAATTTTGACTGTCAACTCTGCTCATCTCAGAGCTACAATATGCCAAATAACAGGCAATAAAAGGGAGCACTGACTGGTTAATGATGGGTGTGTAGGAGTTCTTGTCCTCCTCAATAATGGAGACGATGAGCGTGATGAGTTTAGGCCAAAAGTCCAGATTCTGGATGCTTGGGCCCTGCTCCTCCTGCTGGCTCTCCTCTTTCTTCTCCTCTTCCTCTTCTTCTTCTTCCTCTTCCTCCTCCTCCTCATCATCCTCCTCCCCTTCCTCTCCTTCTGCTTTTTCTTTTTTCTTCTTCTTCTTCTTCTCTGGCTGAGGCTGGAAGACAGAAAAAGACAGGAGATGTGTTTGTGATGCGTTTAAGTTCATTACACCTAGGAGAAGCTGAATGTCCAGTATTTGCAAAATGAACACATGCTGTTGTGAAACAAGTGGCAGGCAGAACTAAAACATGTTTTAGTGCTCAGAAGCTGCATTTTCAATAAATCATCTGCAGTGAATAATTTATGACAATAATTACAATATTATTTCTTCACTACACTGCTTTGTTTTCAAAGATTCTGGCTCCATGTTTGTGTGACAAGTTCTGCACATTCTATGAAGCTAAAAAAAAGGAGCCTTTTCTTGATTACCATGCAAAGTATTGTTAATTTATACTAAACACAGGCTGGTTAAATGAGTTCAGACACATTAAGTAAGATATGAATCTTTCCGAGCACGGTGAAAAATCTTCACTGTTCTGGAGAAAATTCTTCGGCTGATGGAGCCTCAGTTAATAAGTGCATCAATTAAGGCAAAGCCAGCATATGCTGTATGGACTGAGATTAAAAGAATACTTCATCCCGCAAACGACCATTTGTACATAATTTACTTGCCCTGTGGTTTATCGAATCCATGAAGAAAACTCTGTTTTTCTCACAGACCTTCGGGGTTAATGAAGAAGCGGAAAACAGAAAAACCGTTTGATGAATTGAAGTCATAGGTGTCCGCGTTTAACAACAGCAAGATTATATCAAAACATCTATCCACAAACTCTCACACAACTCGTGCAGTATGATCCAAGTGTCATTTATCCAGTCGTATGCACAGTACTTCCCAAACAGACAGACCTGTCTGGAACTATGGTCTCCTCAAAGCCAGACTCCATTGACAAAAACAGTAATTTTGCCTTGCTGAACATAGGAGCTGCTGATTAACCACTTTCTCTATGTATAGTTTGTTTGTGTTATTGTGTGACTTAAATGAATCCGAAATAACACCTAACACCACAGCAGCTCCTGTGTTCAGCGAGGTAAAATTACTGTTTTTGTCAATGGAGTCTGGCTTTGAGGAGAGTATAGATAAGTTTTACTTTCAGTTCAGTTCCCCATTGGAAAGGGCTGTGTGTTTGGGAAGTACTGAGCATACGACTGGACAAATGAGACCTGTATTATACTGCATGAGTAGTGTGAATGCTTGTGAATGGATGTTTTGATACAGTTTAGCTGTTGTTAAATGCGGTCACCTATGATTTCTTGGTCTAGTTCAGACCAAAGATTCACGACGAGACGAAACCGTTTCAGAAAGTTGCAGAGAAAAGTTACAACGGTGTGAACTGGCCGGTCTGAGCTTGACTCAAACCGGCTGATGGTGTCACCTGCAACTCTGCTGGTCAAACTGCCGCGGCTAATTTTAAAGCTCGTCACCTGTTTCTACAGCCAATGGGCTTGCAGTGTAGTCTGCTGGTCAAGTGAAAATGACCGCAAACGGCATGTTCGCTAGCTGCAGAAGGTGCTCCGTCCTTGCTGAGCTCTTTGTTTCCGTCCTCATGGTGTGCTGGTGTAGGACGATGGGTCGCTGCTGCTGCTTGCTGTATGTGCTTATGCCCCGCCCACACACACATACATTCTCATTGACTGGTTATTTATATTATTGTGGCGTATTGATTATGAATACAGTCCATCTGATGCTCATTTTGCTACAGTTTTTCGCTGTTTCATCACCACTACAAATGCAGATGTAGCCATTATCTCACTATCACTAAACTCATATTTTAAGAAGGTACAAATTATATTCAGCCACAAAATAAGCCTGAAAAGCTGCAAATCAGAATGGAAATACAGAAAGTTGTTGCATAGAGACGATACACCGTCTCATCTAGTTGCATTGGTGTGAACCAGCAGGTTTTTAGAACGTTGCAGAACGGTGCATTGGAAGTAGTTGCCTGTTTCAACTCATCTCATTGTAAATCTTTGGTCTGAACTGCACTTTAAATTCATTAAGAATTTTCTCTATTTTGTTCACTGGACACATGCGAGAAAACAGTGTTTTCTTCACAAATTCAGTGAACATGGGGTGAGATACAGATCCTGTTGTTACTGGATTTATGTACTCTAAAATGAAGCTTATAGTTTGCAAACCTGTAGATAAGCAGAGTAGAATATCCAACTGTGGAAAAGGTGTGACAGAGTACACTACAGTACAGAGTATAGTGTACCTCATTGCAATATTTACAATACTACTGTTGAGGCAGAATTAAGCCACGGCTCTCAGTGCAAGACGTTATGGAGAGACTGTCACCACAACACCTTTAGTATTCCTATCAGGCTTTTCTGTAGCAGTCTCCAACCTCTGACCAGCAAAAAGGTAAACTGTCAAATGGGAATCAGCTACTATTACATTATTAAATTCCCATGCATCAGATTTAGGATGGCCCATTTCCTCAGAGCATCTACTATAGAGGCTCAAAACATGTAGATGCTGAGCAACTCACTGGTGGTACAGCGGGCTGGAACTGGCGGTTGAAGAGCTCGAGACAGTTGTTGAAGATGTACTCGTAGGTGGAGTTCAGGCAGGCCTTGACGCAGTCCCGCACCACGTTGGCGGCTCTGGGAGGATTCTGCAGCTCCAGGACCTGCACAAGAGCGGAGAAGATAGACATAAGTTGCACAGAAACACAGATATTCACGCACTCTCAAGCTGTAGGCTGGGTAAATATAAACACTATCGTAGGTTTTTGTTAAAGTCATCTAGAATATATAAACTGTTTTGACAATAAGCAAGAAGCTGTGATCAGCACATGAGGTTTTTTCATATTTGTTTTTTCGCTGGAAGGTCATAAAATGTGTCTCAACAATCAGAGAACCGAAAATGTCAAAATGAAAAAACACACAACAAAAGAAATTATATAGTTTTCACGATATCAGAAATTTAGAAATTAACAGAAATAATTGGACAAATTAGGCCCAAAAGTGAGATTCAAAACAGTGGAAGAGAAAACAAACATGAATATCAGCACACGCACACACACACACACACACACACACACACACACACACAGAGGTTCACGACATTTCCTCTGTCCTGCACTGTGAAATCAATCTTCCCCTAACAGACCTGATGTCGACAGCACAGGCTCACTCTGAGACATTAGTCAGAGGCTGCGATCAATCCTGCAACCCTGCAGCTCAACTTTGTGTGTATGTGTGTGTGTGTGTGTGTGTGTGTGTGTTTGCTCTTGTATTTCTACTCTGATAAAAGTCTTCACAAGGACCAAAATCTGCAAAAGATACTGCCAATTTTGGGCGTTTTGTAGTGGCAGTGGAGTGGAAACTCCAGGTTATATAATACAAGAGTGTGAGTTAAGAGTGTGATTTTCTTATTTTTAGATATGCTTTAAATAAATGTGCCCGTGTTCTGCAATAAATAAGAAAAGTTTTAAAACTAAAAAATAACTTAGGAAAACCAGATTTTAAAAACTAAATGTTTTCTGTGCAATTTGAGATGCAGACAGCAGTCATGAGTACAACAAAACAGACAATACATACAATTTTTAACACACAGTATCCAGTATCACACACTGTCAGGGGTAAATCATGGACAATTACGGTCACTGCTGGTTAAGATAAGCGATAGCAGATGGGACAAAGGACGATCGGTAACACTGATGGAAGCATCTGAACCTCAACATGGAGGGGATGCTGAGAGTCTGAGACAACAGACTGAGCTTTAGAGGTGACCCTCTCTTCATACAGATGCTGTAGGTTGCAAAAGTAACACCAGTGATCTTACAACACTACTTGACCACGAATAGGTGATGGTTTGCCTTCTTACCGTCAGTGTTCACATCAAAATAGACAGTGCCCTGATACTTGTATGCACAGTACTTCCCAAACAGGCAGCCCTTTCTGACGGGGAACTGTACTAAAAGTAAAGCTTATCTATGCAAATCCAGACTCCATTGACAGAAACAGTAATTTTACCTTGCTGGACATGGAAGCTGCTGATTTACCACTTCCTTGATCTATAGTTTGTTGGTGTTATTGTGTGACTTTAGTTTAGTCCAATCTAACACCTAAAAACACCAAAGTCACACAATCACACTAACAAACTAACTGATGAAGGCAGCAGTAGACCAGCAGCTCCTGTGTTCAGCGAGGTAAAATCACTGTTTTTGTCAGTGGAGTCTGGCTTTGAGGAGAGTATAGATAAGTTTTACTTTAAGGTCAGTTCCCCGTTGGAAAGGGCTGTCTGTTTGAGAAGTGCTGAGCATACAACTGGACAAATGAGACCTGTATTATACTGCATGAGTTGTGTGAAAGTTTGCGAATCGATGTTTTGATATAGTTTAGCTGTTGTTAAATGCGGTTGCCTACGCACTGCTTCCACCATCTCCCTGACCACACAAGGAGCAGGAAGGCATCTCATTGGTTCCCTGGGTTTTTTTTGAGACCAAGGTGGCAAAGGCCTGTTGCAGGGGGCATCTTGACAGCTGTACTTTTAGATATGGCCCCCCCTCTATTAAATATGAAAGGAGGCCCCCACATGCTTGAGCTTTACACTGCTGACTTGTATAATCAGAACAGACATGTCCTGTGATTTTCAGCCTTCAATGATTATATTTACCCTTTACAGCAGGCACATCCTGACAGCTGAGAATATTACTGTCAGGTATTATCCCCCCTCTATTAAATATGAAAGGAGGCTGAAAATCGCAAGACATGTCCGTTGTGATGATAAAAGTCAGTGGTCCTGAAATGTGTGTTTCTCTTCTATAATACAAGAGTTACAATCTACATCTTGGAGGCGACGTCTTTCCACATACGGGCTTCCTTCGCCTTTCAAACGGGGCAGAGCTCCGTGGGAAACAGTAGGAGAGACACAGCCCGAGAGGGAACCGGGATCTGACACAACACTGGAGAGAGAAGCAGGTCAATGGAGCTGTGCGTCGGACGAAAAAACAAGTGTGTCGCACCGAATGCGTGCAGCTACGGCGTCGCTTTGGGTTGTGAGTGTGCATGATGCGTGTCTACATGGAAAGTAATGGGTTTGTGCGCGCAAAAGACGCTACATGTGAACGCCCCCCATGCACACACACGCTTTAACAAGTCGATGGCCAAAATCACCCAGGTGGCCTGCCTTTGTCTTAGCTAGGCAGGGAAAACCCTGGTCACACCAATTAACAAATTCATCCAGTACTGGGCCATGATCGCGTTCTGACCCATGAAGAAGACTTATAATAACAGAGTCATCCGCGTAATATAGGAGAAATCTAGATGCGTGATTACTCTAACATTCACCTATGTATAAACAGAATATAAGAGGAGAAAGAGCACATCCCTGAGGGGATCCTGTGGAAGAAAAACGCATACTGGACAGTGTCCTGTTAACTCAGAATCCTCCAGAACCTATTTGTTAAAAAGTCAACGCGCCAACACACAATGCTAAAGTCCAAATTAACATTAGATAAGTAGTAGTGATGATTATTAAGCTGGTGTTTTGTTTCTACCTTCATCCTGAAGAAGGTGATGCTGGTGAGAAGATCCACTGTTGACTTGAGGTCATGGAGGCGAGGCTTGCTGCTGGCTGGGAAGTTGTTCTGCAGATACACACATAAGCACACATGTTAAACAGCTCAATTAACCAGTTGTATCTTCTTTTTTGGTCAGTAAGGGTCTTTTTATACTAAACCTGATTTCTGTTTTTTCAATCATAGAGGCTGTTTGCCTGGTGATGTTCTTCATATGGAGCTCCTAATTTACTCAGCTGACAAAACTCTATAAAAAACCTGCTGTGACCCCAGAATAAACTTTAGAGATGGAAAAAAAACAACATTTGAGTAGCTGAGCGGAGGATATTTTTTACATCAAGAGCATATTGGAGGAAATGAAGAAGCCAAATGACGGCAGGAGGTGGAAAGAAATTTGCTAAAGACGGTGTGAGACAGATCATAATTGAATAGTCTATGCTGACTAGCTGCATTCAGACTTATACTTACCCACCATGTCATTTTTGTGTCAATGAATGGGGACAGAGAGACGGACTAAACCCATAGATCTGTGTGTGTGTTTGTGTGTGTGTGTGTGAAGAAAAGAATAAAAGCAGCTGAGAGCAGACACTCACTCTGTACATGGAGAGGTCGATACGCAGGGAGTTGTGCAGTTGATCCAGAAGCTTCACAAAACGATCTCTCTGTTGGAAAGACAAAAGAATGAGCAAAGAGGTTTTACTTGGATTCTTACACTTGTTCAGACAGTGAGGAAGACACAGGCACGAGCTATTTGCAGCCTCTGTGTGTGTTTGAATGCATCTGAGTGTCTCTGTGTGAACGTGTGTGTAATCTAGCACCATGGCGAAGAACAGAGGGACCGAAATGATGCAGAGACAGAGGAGCGTTTTGTCACAGAGAGATATGAAAGAGGAGAAACAATTCCACTGCACATTTCCAAAATATGAGACCATTAGAGCTGCCTGGGTTTATTTCAGTTTGGAAAATCAGTTTCTGACTTTACGACCCTTGGTGATGATTAAAAGCTTTTTGTGTTGAAAGAAGAGAGAAACCCTGCAGGACTGGTAGTTTGGTTTGGTACATGCTGCTACAAAGCATAACAGGCAGATGACAAATAATCTGTTAGTTATTATGTGTGATAGATCTTTTGACACAACTGTATTTGTACAATCTGAATGGATAAACAAGATACCACTAGTCTGATGTCCACAGAGAGGTCGTTCCAGAGACCAGAAAAGGCCCAGTCACCCTTGGTTTTCAGCCCAAAGTGTGGAATGGCTGGTAAAGCCTTGGCTAAAGACCTCAGGTTACGACCAGCACATATGGAGTCAGAAGATCTGAGATGTACTTAGTCCAAAAAAGACCTTAAAAGTTATCTAGGGGTGACCCCGAATAGTCGATGATTCGGTGATTCGATTCGGAGAAGTCTGATTCGACTGCCAGACTCGCTGTTGAATCGTCGCAAAATGTGGTTATGAAACAAGACCGTACCATTCTGACTATATGGGGGTGCTCACTGCTGCTGAACATCTTAGAATGTATTTGTTTTCTAGTAATCCATGATATAAAGCCTATTTTGATACAAACATCAGCCTAATTTCTGTTAATAAAAAACTGAAAATGACACGTGTGTTTAATCAGTAGGCATAATCATTACTACGCATGAATAAATCACCCAGTTGCTCGATCCAAATAAGCTGAGGTGAGTGAGTGCGCTGCAGGACCATCAGAGCAGCATCGAGGAAATTTGTTCTCCACGTTTGACCCATCCCCTGAGGGAGCGGTGAGCAGCAGCGGTCCCGCGCTCGGGAATCATGTGGTGATGATTTACAGTGGCAGAGCGCATAAACAAACACTTTGGAGGAGGTATGTGCTCTCAAATCAAAATTTATCGAAGGATTATTCATTTACCTGAAGTGTCTGGAAACAAATTTCACCGCTGATTGTTTTCTTGATAGACTCTGATTTTTTATTTGGCTACTTTTTTTCCGACATGGCCAAACAATTGAGAGCGGTGACGCACGGTCCATGTGGATGAACTTGTATGAACCTGAGTTGATTAATGAAGTAACTTGAAGTCAGAAAGAAGGAAAACTGTTTCTAAACCTTATGAAGATGTTTTTGGATGTTTATTTGTGAATGAAATGGCAAGTTCTGACGAGTCAGAAAAGACTCCTGTTAAAGACATGAATGAGGCTGCAGCGCGTCTGCGCTCATCTAGAGCATCATACCTTGATGAAGTGAAAGGAATAAAGATAAAGATAAAATGATAACTCTTTTACTTTTATTATCATTATCTTATTATGCCAACTGAAGAATTAAATTTGTTTATTTGGGTGTTATAGCTCTTTTCTCTGGAGCGGAAACTGACGCAAATGACTCATTAATCAATGAGGCAGAAAACAACATGATTCAACGATTAGTCGGCTAAAGGAAAAATCTGTCAAATCAGATTCGACTATGAAAATTCTTAGTCGGGGACACCCCTAAAGTTATCAATATATCTTAAAATCAATTCTAAAATTTACTGGAAGCCAATGACGAGCAGCTAAAGTAGGAGTTACATGACTCAAATGTGTAGAGCGAGATACAGTGCTCAGAAGGAGAGAAAATAAAAGCATGTATGACAATCTCGTGACGTCTACGGGATAAAATTAAACTGATCTTGGATTACGTAGTCACCAGCACTTGAACTCGGTTGATTGTTGCCCACTTTGGTTTCAACAGGGCTACTCCAAATATTCTCCTCCTTATCTGCATGATTACAATGTTTTTAAACTATTTACTTTACACCTGCTCAGTGTGCCAACAACAGGTTCATCCCAAGTCTCTCATTTGTCATTTCCTCACTCCTCACTTGAACCAGGATTTGTTCTGATGCGCCATTTTGAAGGCTGTCCCGAAGCTCTTCTTTCTGATCTGAGGAGCGAGGAGCTAGGAGGGAGGAGGGATCTCTGAGGAGTGATGAGCAAGTACACACGAGAGCAGCCTTCATGGAAGTCTTTTATCGCCCAACACGCCCCAATATTGTATTAAATGGACGCTGTTCATGATGGACTGATCTGATACAACTCATCACACCTGAGTTTCATACCACAGTGAGAACAGTTAAGAGATTAAACTCCGAAGTTTTATATTTTATTTGTTTTCTGCTCACCATCTGGTTAGAAAACAGCTGTTTAAATTGTAGGTTTAAACAACGGGAGCACGAACAACTTTCATTTATTAGAATGATTTTTCTTTTCAAGATCTGTTATTTCCCACGTTAGCTTTTATTACAGAGACAATTAAAGTCAGAGAGAGGCTGTCTATCAGTAAGAAACACTTTATACATCACTTATATCTTTCCATTCAGTCACACGTGAAGCTGATCACTCCTGAGCATCAGTTTGATGAGTTACAGAATTTCAATTTTCCCTAAAGCATTTATTCTAATAAATAATCTCTAGTATTCAGAAGACATCGTAATCATATCCCAGGTTATTAAAGATTGAATTCACAAACTGAATATCAATAAATACAGATGCACATAATGAATAAAAAACATAAACGCATTCTGTGCCCCTGAGTGGAGCGCAGTAGAGTATAAATAAAGAATGCAGGTTATTATTTATGTGCAGGTGTTTGTTAAACAGAGAGAAAATACTGCTGCTCTGCCGCTGATAACTGTGTGCCTTTATTAGTGTGAGCACAAACACAAACAGCTGTTAAAGCTGACTGACAGCTGATCCAGCTGTGTCACTTAACGTGACGCTTCTGAGGAAACAAAGGTCCATTTCTCCAAAAACACATTTCCTCATTTCCTCTCTCCTCGCACGGTTTCCTTGCGTCTCTCCATGCATCCCTAGTGGGAGGGACTATGACACAAGGAAAAGTCGCGAGTGAGGGAAACATGGATGCAATTTAAGAGACTTGGGATGCACTCTATACCACGGCTTTCAGAGGAGCTAACTTATCTTTTTGGTTCTTTACGGGGGGCAGGTTGTTTGCTAAGAAGCAGTCACAGGTGCAAGCACGTAGGCCAACTTGCTTTATGTTTGCACATCTGATATATGGAGGATGTTTCTAATCTTTAAGATAAAAAGAAGTTTATGATATTGCGCCATCACGTTTCAATGGTGTTGGCAGGAATAGCACGCAGGGCAAAAGAAATGCATGGCAAAAAATATCATACTGTCAATATTGTAGAGACCCCCACAAAATTACAAAGAACATGTTTTCAGGAGAGCATGTGACTTTTTAAGAGAAGCTCCCGTGTCTCTACTGTGGTTCACACTCTGCCTCTGCTCAGTTTAGCTCCCAGCCAATTAACGGCATACATACCTGCTACATTCATGAACCTGAGTACACAGCTGGCTGATATTGCAACAAAAATATTACAGGAAAGGCAAAACTGATTTTAAATTACATTTCAGAGATCTCAGAGTTCAATGGTTTTATATTGATATTTTGTAGTATTTTGATAGTATTGCATATATTTACATTGATTTATGTAATATTTAAAAATATTTTGGAGAGTCCTCCATGAACCACGACTGCCAGCGGCACATGTACTATAGTTTGAAAATCAGTGCACTAGATGATTGTTAAAGTTGTCAGGTGACTGTGCTTTGTGTTGACATGTTTGCTGTGATGCAGTCTTTTCCCTTGTCATTCATGCAAGTCGTCACGTCACCCACCCCACTATAAGGAACTCCCTTTGGGCTCCGTTTCCAGATCAACCACCTCTGGTTGCACCCTAGTGTTCCCCTGTCACCAGCTGATCCCTGTTTTTCCATGTGCATTAGGCCACCAATCAAGAGCCATCTGAATACGCCTTAGGTAAGTAAGGCTAGGGCGGCTGTGATTTGAACTGAGCAGTCTCACCTGTGCTTCTCTATGCAAATGTTAACTTGTATGCAGGCACTAGACAGGCTCAGTGGCTTCGGGCTCTGGGTAGTAGCCTTAAACCCTTTTTAGATAGGAGTTGTGCAAATTTGCAGGAAAAACCAATCAGTCTTTTTTCAGCATTGGCAGTATAAAAACAAAATCGGGGAATGCAGCAAAATGCCGCCTGCCTACTTTTGTTTATACAGAATGTACCTTTTTCGGGGCAATAGGGGGCGTGAGCAAGTAACAAAACGTGTAGCTCAGTGTGTGACGTAACCAGTGACGTGGGAGGGAAGCCGAGGCTGGTCAGTCCTTCGGCGATTCTCTCATAAGGTGTGCTGTCCTTCACCGTTGCCGTCATTCGACAGTTAATGTCCTCTTCATTTGCGAGGGCAAGGAGGGTGCGCAATTCCTTGTCTCCCCAGTTGCTCATCTTTACAGTGTCTGTCAGGTTTGCATTTCCCTCTTGCTACTAGCTGCTCGCTAATTCCTGCTATCAGCTGTTTCCTGTTTATCCACTGCCAGTGGCTCGCACGTGCGGCATCATCAACAGCTCCTCCCACAAGTCATCAACAGCCCCTCCCATTGCGGAAGGCCGCCTCGGTCTGTTTAAACTTAAAGAGTTCCGCCAATATGTCTACCCTACAAGGCGGAAAATTGGGCACCTCGGATCAACTCGCCAATCCGGCTCTGTGTGTCTAAACGCTTGCAGCTTGCCGGCAAAACAGCCCAACATTTGTGGAAAATCTGGCAGTGTAAAAGGGGTTTTAGTGTGTTTGTTTTTGCTTTCTTATTGCTCCACAAGTAGGTATGT